CCCCCCCCCCGCAAAAAAAAAAAAGAATCTGAAGCACTTGCCTCCTGCATGCCAGGATCCCAGTGGGGGGTGGGGTGGAGAAAGAGAAATTGAATCTCATTATCCTCTAAATCTACCTAATCTACCTATCACTTTCAAATAGGAGAAGATAGAAGAAAAAGTCACAGTGAGGAACAGTCAGGACTTTACAGACAAAAGTGACAAAAAAAAGCAACGGCATGAACTAGAAAGGAATGGAAGAGAGCCCCCAAATGCAGTGTGTCAACCTGGAGTCCTGATGGAGTCTGTCAGCTGCCAGTGCTTGGGCTGTCTGAGCACTAGATGTTAGGGGCAAGAGGCTGCCTGTGCTGCTGATTCTGTCACTAATGGCACAGTATTTATGTTGTACAGAAACTTAACTGAAGGATTTTTGAGTGATAATGGGATTTGCTTTAAGGGAAAGCCAGAAAGTATTTTATTCTGATGAAGAGTATCCCAAATGAAGAGTGAGTTTGAGATTAACTAGCCGTTTCTGCAATCACTACTGAGACTATCAGCATGTGCATTAGAGAGTTTAAAGGAGTAGGGTGCGTTTCTGCATTCATCATCGACCTTACTGAATGTTACCAACACCAGATATTTAGTTCTTTTCTCCCTTTGGGTCCTAGGTTTCAAGCCTAGGACCTCATACATGTCAGGCAAGCGCTCTACCACTAAGCTGTATCTCCAGTTCTAAACATGTCGTTTTTTTACATGTATTATATGCATGAGTGTTTGCCTACATGTATGTGCATCAAGTGCATGTCTAGTGCCCAAGGAAGCCAGAAGAGGGTACTGGGTGCTCTGGAACTGGAGTTAGAAATAGTTGTGAGGCATCTCACATCTGTAGGTTAAGAAGAGAACCCATGTCCTGTGCAACAGCAGCAAGTGCTCTTCACAGCCGAGCCGTCTCTCCAGCTCTCACGCTCTGGCGAAGAAGAGAACCGACTTGCAGATTGTCCTTTAACCACCACATGAACACCACAGTATACGTGCCCCACCCCCACCAAAAACAAGAATGTAAAACAACAAAATAACCACAAACCCCTGAGAAAAAGAAAGCTTGTTAGTAATTCAGTCACTGAGGTGGATCTCTGGGGCACCCTGGCATACACACTCAGAACACAAACACGAAAGAACCTTTGAAAAATTGGTTGTATTACAGTTGAAGAGAGTTTTTTGTTGTTGTTTTTGGCTTTTTGAGACAGAGTTTCTCTGTGTAGCCTTGGCTGTCTTATCCTACAGAACTCACTCTGTAGACCAGGCTGGTCTCGAATCCAGAGATTCACCTGCCTCTGCCTCCCGAGTACTGGGATTAAAGTTGTGCACCATCATGTCCAGCTAAACAGTTGTTTAAAATTTTTTAAATTTATTTTGTGTGGGTGTCAGGGCTGTGTGTATGCTATGGCACATGTGGAGATCAAAGGGTAACTTCTGGAAGTCATGTGGGTCCTGGAGATAAACTCAGGTCAGTAAGCTTGGCATCAGGAGCCTTACCCATGGAGGCATCTTGCTGGCCCAAGCGATTAAGTTTTTAGTCTGCTTTCTGATATTTGAGATCCCATCCTGGTTGTACATGTTGGACAAGTGCTTTACTGCTGAGTTGTTTGTCCAGTCCTTGGCTAGTATTTTTCATTTATAGCTTGACTAACTGCCTGATTCTGGAGGAGTGTGAATTGGGGTTGTTGTTGTATGTTTTTAATCAAACCTTAGTAGAATGCTTAATCCTGATGGTGTGAAGACACATGTCTCAGAATTATCCATGACAGAGATTTTTTTTTCTCTTTCGGTCTTCAGTGAATGTGATCCTATTAGCTAAGAATTCTAATTGGACTTAGTTACTATTTTTCTCCATATGTTTACATTAGGAAGCAAACTGACAGGACAGTATTAGGTTTTTTTTTAGTTCTGCTCTTTTTAGTTCATGGGTATTGGTGTTTTGCCTTTGTGTATGCATGTAGTGCCTGAGAGAGAAGAGGGTGTCAGATCCCCAGTACTGGAGTTGTGAGCTGCCATGTGGGTGCTGGAAACTGAGAGCAGCCAGTGCTCTTAACCACTGACCAACCTCTCTAGCTCTTTTTAGATTCTAAATATGACTTTTCCTCTCCATTCAGATGCACAAATGGAGTCTTAAATTTTTCTTTCCTTGGTTTTCCGAGACAGGGTTTCTCTGTGTAACAGCCCTAGCTATCCTGGAACATGCTTTATGACTTTGAACTCAAGAGCTTAAAAAATTTTTAATTGAATACTTCATATCTTTCTAATGATTTTTTTTATAATTACAGGATTTATTTCCTACAGAAGTCTTGTGAGGCTCCTGCACAGATAGAGTGATGATTATACAGAGAGTGGTATTGAACTCCCGACCTGGTATGTATCGTTCTGTGAAAATGAGCAGTCCTGGTCTCTGTAATCATTCCTGGAAAGAGAAGAATAAGAATTGACATGATATCCGTGTGGTAAACTAAGGTAGTAATGTAAATTAAGATTAGTAAATTTCAGATCTTTCAGTTTGAGGTTAGAGTGAGTTCCAGGACAGCCAGTGCTACACAGAGAAACCCTATCTCAAAAAAAAATAAATAAATAGAAAAGAAAATAAAGAAAAAGACTAGTAAATGTGTTAGATAAAACCTTTTAGACAATGTCATATTCAGTTTTCAGATGTCAACTTTTCTCCTTTTTAAAATATTTATTTAACTTTATTTTATATGCATTTGGTATGAAGTTGTCAGATTCCCTGATACTGGAGTCACAGGCAGTGGTCAGCTGCCATGTGGGTGCTGGGAATTGAACCTGGGTCCTCTGGAAGAGGAGTCAGCACTCTCAGTCTCTGAGCCATCTCTCCAGCCCCAGATGTTAACTTTTCAAGGCCATTTGAATCATGGAAAGTTATATTGAAAGTGTCTAATTTTGGATTTTTCCTTGTGGTAGGTGTGACTGATTATTTATATTGGCTTTTCTGTTTTACGTGACATACACCATCTTTTATCAATACTGACATCTCGCTGGGTCATAGAAACTTAGGTATGGCAGTAATCCGAGTGTGGGCCCACTGTGTTGTGGTCCTGTCTTGTTGCCTGCTTACCATGTTTTCTGCCCTCGGTTTTAGTATAGTGAATAGCTAGCTTGAGACCTTTACATTGGATCCCACCTTGGAAATCAGGAAATGGTTCCTGAAAAGAAGTTTGCTCTTGTTAAACATAATTCAAGATGAATACACTTCAGTGATGTTAGCGTCCGCTTAAACATTTTATTTATTTGGTTGGTTGGTTTTGTTGGTTAGTTTTTTGAGACAGGGTTTCTCTGTGTAACAGTCCTGGCTGTGTTGGAACTCACTCTGTAGACCAGGCTGGCTTTGAACTCACAGGGATTCACCTGCCTCTGCCTCCCTGAATGCGGGGATTAAAGGTGTGTGCCACCACTGCCCGACTTTAAGCATTTTTCTTATACCTCATTTTCTAGTTATCTTATTTTTAAGACTTTAAAAGCAAAATAGTAAATGTTCATGGAAGCCTCTGTTTGTGTCTTACAATGAAGATGAAAAAATTACCTAATTTTTTTGGTTTTTTTATTACTTTATAAATTTTAACTCCATAATTAAAGGTTGAGTTCAGTTTTTTTGAGGATTTATTTTTATTTTATGTATATAGGGTTTTGCTCCCATGTGTATCTATGCACCCTGTGCATGCAGTGCCCATGGAGGTCAGAAAAGGGCATTGGATCCCCTGGGACTGGAGTTCTAGATGCGTGTTAGCAACTGTGTGGGTGTTGGGAATCGGACCCCAGACCTCTGGAAGATCAGCAGATGCTCTTAACCACTGAGTCATCTCTCCAGCCATCCTGTGTCCCACCCTTAGCTCCCAGCTTCCTGTCCTCACTTCCTCCCATTTTTTAAAGAGAAGGTCTCACTATGTAGCCCTGGATGGCCTGGAACTCACCAAGCTGGCCTCAAATTCTGAGTCCACGGCCTCTGCCTTCTGAGTGCTGAGATTAAAAGTGTGCACCACCGCTACACAAGAGAGTGGGATTTTTCATTTTCAGAGTCTTCCTACTTTGAAACAGAATATGTTATATACCTATAATCATTTTTTAAAAACAAAATTAGTTTACAAGAGTATTTCTGAACTTAAATTCAAGAGTGATGGGAACTATTTGAAAATTTATGCTGAGTTACTCTTGTTTGAATTAGAAGGGAGTACTTTAAATCCTAGGGTAACTTTAGAAAATGTTATGAGAAAGTAACTTTTCCTAGGCATGGCTCTGTGCACCTTTAGTCCCAGCATGGGATGCAGAGGCAGGTGGATGTCTCTGAGTTGGAGAACTCAGCCAAGGCTACATAGTGAGACTACCTGGGGGTGGGGGGGAAGCAATATTTTAACTTCATATTTTTGCTTGAAAATCTAGGGAAAAATGGAAATCCAGTGGCAGAGAATTTCAGGATGGAAGAAGTCAGTTTAGCAGATAATATCAGTGAAGGACAAGTTCAGGTTAGAACTCTCTACCTCTCTGTGGATCCTTACATGGTAAGAAACGGGGTGTTGTAATTGATGAAATAATTCTGGTCTTATGTTTTAGTGTTGTTGCATCAGAATTTTATTGTGCTTATTTGAGAAATGATGTCTTTTTTTTTTCTGGTCTCTTGAAACAGGGTTTCTCAGTGTAGTCCTCTAGTTCTCTTGAACTCAGAGATCCACCTGCTTCTGCCTCCAAGTGCTGGGATTAAAGACGTGCACCACCATGCCCATCTTAACACTCCTTAACACTTATAGACGTAATACTTGGTGTGAAGAAGTATCTCATTGTGGGTTGATTTCCCTTTTCCTTAATGATTAATTTTGAGCATATTTCCATGTGATTATTGGCCACTTGTATGTCTTTGAAGAAATATCTGGGGGCTAGAGAGATGGCTCAGAGGTTAAGAGCACTGACTGCTCTTCCAGAGGTCCTGAGTTCAATTCCCAGCAACCACATGGTAGTTTACAGTCATCTATAATGAGATCTGGTGCCCACTTCTGGCATGCAGGCATACATGGAAAAAATGTTGAATACGTAATAAATAAATAAATTTAAAAAATATCTACCTAGAGTACACAAACATCTTAAACTTGAATTATTTGGGGCTGAAGAGATGGTTCAGAGCAATTACTGTTCTCGCAGAGGACCCAGGTTCTATTCCCAGTACCCACATGGTATCTCACAGCTGTCTGTAACTTTAATTATAGGGGTCCAAGTCCCTTTTCTGAACTTTTTGGGCATCAGATATACACTTGGTGCACATACACCATGCAGGAAAAACATTCACATTAAAAAATAACAATAAATTTGATTAAAAAACAAAAATGTCTCATTTCATGGAAAATTTAAAAAAAATGATCTGTATTATTGAGTTATAGACTTTGTTTTCTAGATATAAACCCTGGTACCCCATACTGCTCTGTAAGAAATATCTCCTCGCCAGGACAACTAGGACTGTTACACAAAGAAACCCTGTTATGAAAAACAAATAAAAAATAATTATCTCCTGTTTTATGGGTTGTCTTTACACTCTATTGCAATGACAATATACTTCTTGTATGTTATTCATTTTGATAAAGTCCAGTTTACTACTTTTTCTTTTTGTCATATATGTTTGATCTCATATTTAAGGCTTTGCTTCACCCAACACTATGAAGATATAACCCTAACTTTTCTTCTAAGAAGTTTATAGTTTTAGCTGTAAAATATGTGTGGCCCATTTTGAGTTAATATTTGTATGTATTATGAGAAAGAAGTCTGTATTATAGTTCTCCGAGGAGACAGAAACTGTGGGAGACAGATGCAGTTATAGAGGCATAGATAGAGAGGGGATTTGTTAGGCAATTAGCTAACACAATCATGGAGACTGAAAAGTCCACCAGAAAACCAGGGAGGCTGTAGCCTGGCTCAGTCCAAGTCTGAAGGAGACTTGAGAACCAGGAAAACAGATCATGAAAGGCCTGGGAACCTGCTGCACTTGTCTGTTGGAAATGTGAGTCCCAGAGACCAAAGAACTTGCAGTTCTGAAGTCTAAGGGCAGAGGAAAGACATCCACTCCAGAGAAGAAGCGGATTCTTCCATATTCCAGGTGATTTGTTTCTTTCATGCAGCCCCTGACACCTAACTAGATGGTGCCTTGTGGGCAGATATGGTCCACTGAGCCCACTAGTTCATATGTGGAGGCTTCAGAAACACCCGTACAGATATCAGATCTGCTCAGAGACATCGTTTAAGTCAAGTAAGCATCTCGGTCTAGTAAGACGGACATCTAAAATCAGTTCTCTTTCTTTCTTCCTTCTTTCTTTTTTTCTTTTTTGTAGTATTGGGAGTGAGCCTATGCCTTTGATGTTAGGCAAGCATATTGAACTACAACCCCACTGACACCCTAGATGAATCATCCAGGGTTCAGCTTCAGTCTTTTGGTGGATACATAGTTATGTAGCATGAACAATAAAAACCCAGAGACAGATATTGGGGTTCACCCTGAAGATCAGAAAATCAACACAGCCAAGCCACTAGAGAGCTCTTACGCTATGAAATCTTGAGCCTGAAAGTGAGAGTTCCTGTCTCATCCTGCTTTATATTCCTCTCTAGTGCTGGGATTAAAGGCGTGAGCCACTACCGCCTGCCCTCTATGGCTGACTAGTGTGGCTGCTGGGATTAAAGGTGTGGCTACCACTGCCTGACCTGTATCACTGACTAGTCTGCTGCTTTGCACTGATCTTCAGGCAGCCTTTATTTATTAAAACACGGATAATAAACTGGGCAGTGGTGACGCACGCCTTTAATCCCAGCACTTGGGAGGCAGAGACAGGCGGATCTCTGTGAGTTTGAGGCCAGCCTGGTCTACAAGAACTAGTTCCAGGACAGACTCCAAAGCTACAGAGAAATCCTGTCTCAAAAAACCAAAAACAACAAAAACAAATAATATCGCACTATACAGTTGTGTAGGTGTCGTTTGTTGAAAAGACTGCACTTTGCTCCTGATACCTTTGTCAAAAATCTGCTGACAGCTGGGGGAGGGTCTCACACCTGCACCCCAGCACTGGGAAAGCTGAGGCAGGAAGGTGACTGCAGTTTGATGCTAGCTGAATTACAGCGAGACTAAAAAATAAATAAATCGTAAGTCAGTTGACCATAAAAGCATTTACTTCTAGATTCAAACCTTATTCCATTAATATGTGTGTTTATTCAAATGTGTCTTGTTACCTTGATTATTATGACTACAGTGAGTTTGGAAAGTAGCAAGCATGAATCTTCCAATTCTGTTTTTGTTTTTGTTGTAGTTGAAAGGTTTGTTTGTTTGGTACTTCTTTGTCAGTTGGTTTTTTGCTTTTGTTTTTTTTTTTGTTTTTTTGGGGTTTTTTTGTTTTTTGTTTTGGTTTTTCGAGACAGGGTTTCACTCTTTAGCTCTGGCTGTCTTGGAACTCACTTTGTAGACCAGGCTGGCCTCAAACTCACAGATCTCTGCCTGCTTCTGCCTCCTGAGTGCTGGGACTAACGGCATGTGCCACCACTGCCCCACTTAAAATGTTTTATTATATTATTTGTGTGTGTGTGTGTGTGTGTGTGTGTGCGCGCGCGCGCGTGTGTGTGTGTGTGTGTGTGTGAGTTGGCCAGAGGACAACTTGAAAGAGTCTAGTCTTTCCTTTTACCATTTGAGTCCTGGGGACCAATCTTAGGTTGCTAGACTTGGTAGCAAGCACCTTTACCTGCTGAGCCATCCCACCAGCCTTATAAAATAAATGGTCATTTCCCCTTCCATCTTTGAGTCTGTAAACAACTGTATTAATTATAACCACTGAACCGTCTCCAGGCCACCTATGTGCTCTGGTTTACATGTGGAGACCAGAGCACAGCTGTGCAGTCAGTTCTCGCCTCCCACCTTTATGTGGGTTCAGGGATCAAACTTGGGGGTCAGGCTTTTGTTGACTGGCTGGTAAGCAAGCCTCCAGCATCTGCTTGGCTCCGCCCCTAGAGCTTCTACAAGTGCTGAGGTTGCAGATACACACTGCTGCACCCAACAGTGAATCTTTAAAACTTCCAAAAGGAAAAGATGGGCCCTAGGTGGTTTCCTTAATGAATTCCACTCATTTTTAAAGATTACATTTATGAACTTGTATTTTTGTGCATACTTGCATGTGCACGTGCATGACTGCCATGGCTCACAGGTGGAGGACAGGACAACTGAGAGTTGGTTCTTTCCTCCTTCTATCATGTGGGGCCTGGAGACTGAACTCAGGTTGTCAGACAGGCTTAGTGACAAGTGCCTTTACCTGCTAACTGTCTCAAAGGTCTTACTGATGTGCCAGTACTACACTGTTCTGATTACCATACTCTAATTTGAATAGATCTAAATTTACTTATTTATTTTCAGTTGTGCTTCTTTACTGGTAAGAGTTAGGTACATGGTTTCCCCAATTTTTGCAGAGTAAAATAAGGGGGGGGGGATGGCACAAGAGAGACTTACCTGCTTTTCTTTCACTGGGTAAATTGAGCATCCCTTAATGAAGGCTTTCCTCTCCCAGCGCTGTAAGATGAATGAGGACACTGGCACTGACTACTTAGCACCTTGGCAGCTGTCTCAGGTGGCTGATGGTGGAGGTATTGGAATTGTAGAAGAGAGCAAGCACATACATTTGGCTAAAGGCGATTTTGTGACTTCTTTTTATTGGCCCTGGCAAACCAAAGCCATTCTAGATGGGAATGGCCTTGAAAAGGTGAGTATAATATAAAACTTTCTGATCTTTCTTCCTTTATTCTCATGTCTTCATTCATATTACTTTGTTAGGGAAGGACTAAAATTGGATTAGATCCCCAACTCTCTGATCTCACTTACTATCACCTTAAAGGTCTTGATGCAGTATACTTACAGGGAGGGGCATAGAGATCTGAGAGAGGAAGCTGGGCGTGGACACTAGTCAATCTTTAGCTCTGACTTCTTGGCTTAAAACTGTGACTTCAGTATTGCTTAAAATGGACTTTTGGCGGGGGGGAGGGGGTTCGAGACAGGGTTTCTCTGTAGCTTTGAAGCCTGTCCTGTAGACCAGCCTGGCCTCGAATTCACAGAGATCCACCTGTCTCTGCCTCCCAAGTGCTGGGATTAAAGGTGTGCATCACCACCACCTGGCTAAAATGTACATCTTTTATTTTAGGTAGACCCACAACTTGTGGATGGACATCTTTCATATTTTCTTGGAGCTATAGGTATGCCTGGTTTGACTTCCTTGATTGGGGTACAGGAGAAAGGTCACATATCTGCTGGATCCAATCAGACAATGGTTGTCAGTGGAGCAGCAGGTGCCTGTGGATCTTTGGCTGGGCAGGTAAAGTCTTCAAAAATTACTTGACTTTTCTAAAATAGAAGGCATAAGCAGATCACAGAATCCATGTGTATAATTTAAAATATAAAACTAAGGGCTGGCAGGGGGAGGGGAGAGGCAGGGAGGGGAGCAGAGAAAAATGTAGAGCTCAATAAAAACCAATAAAAAAAAAAACAACTGAGGGCTGATAACATAGATCAATTGGTAGAGCGCTTGCCTACCATGCATGTAGCTCTGGGTTTGACCCCTAGCACCAGGTAAAGCAGGTGTGGTGACACCTGTAATCTCAGCACTTACAAAGCAGAGGAAGAAGATCAAAAGTTCAAGGCTATTCTCTGTTACTTAGTGAGTTCAAGCCTAGCCTGGACTACATAAAAGTTTGTCACAAAAGTAACTAATTTTAGAGTTAGCCATTTGTAAGTTCCTGTGATATGGCAGATAACTGCATACCCACGCACATGCAAGCAACAGATTAAATTTAATTAAAGACTGAACGTGGGAGGGGCCTATTACGGTGAAGGAGGAATTCAGAGGAACGGGAAAGGTGAGAGGGAATGTGGCCAACTATAACCAAACTATAGGATACATATATATGAACTTGTCAAGGATAAAAATCATCTTAACTAAAAAGATTTGTTATTTTTGTTTGATGTGTTTGTGTGAGCACATGCATGTTCGAGTGTCAGATCCCTTGAAACTAGAGTTACAAGTGGTTGTGAGCCTCCTGATATTGCTGTTTCAAACCAAACCCAAGTCTTCTATAAGAGAAGTAAGTGCTCTGAACCACTGAGCCATCTTTCCAGACTTCTTCTTTAAAATTTTATTATGTCATTATTTTGCACATTGTTGGCGGAAATCGTATTACCTGTTTAGATTCTGTTGATAAAAATGAAAAAAACAGGTTTTTGTGTCTCTTTCTCTGTTAACTAAAATAGATGTGGCAAATGTTAGAGTAGTTCTGTCATCTATATAGGGATGGAAATCATAGAGATCTAAAAGACAAGCAGGGAATAGAGAGATGCCCAGTGACCAAGAGTACTCACTGTACTTGCAGAGAACCCAGGTAAGTTCTCAGCACCAGAGTGGCTTAGAACTCTCTAACCGCAGGTCAGTGCTGCCTTCTGGCTTATAGGACACCAGGCATGCACATAATACACATATATACATGCAGCCAAAACACACAGATAAATACATCTTCACAAAATATGATAAAGAGGGGTGTTGGGTTGTAGCTCAGTGCTTTGAGCCCTTGCTAAGCATGCATGAAGCTCTATGCTCAGTTGCCTGACCAAACAACAATATAAAATCAAACTCTTATTTTAAAGAAATTAATAAGAATTCTTCATCCTCAAGAAGGTTATTTATTAATGTATATTTTGAAATGGAGTCACTTGTCTCCCTGGCTGACCTCAAACTTACTATGTAGCTTAGACTAGCTTTGAATTCCTATTCCTCCTACCTCCACCTTCCAAGTGCTGATACTGCAGAAAGCTATTGAATTGTAGGTATGTGATAAATGTTTTCAAAGAACTGTACAAAGTTCAATGTTTTATAAATAGTAGCAATATTAGTTATCTCTTTGCTGTGATAAAATGCCTGCCCAGGAAGGAGGATTTTATTTGGTGCACAATTCCAGGCTATGTTGCATTATGGCAGGACGTCATGGCAGCAGGAGCACTCAAGACACAGAAAGCAGCGAATGCCTGCACACAGCTTGCTCTCTCCTGTGTATTCAGTGATGTGCCCCAGCCTGTGGAATGGTACCCACCACATTCGGTGGGTATTCCCTTTTCAGTTAACCTCCATAGACGTGCCTAGAGGTCTGCTTTTGTGGTGATGATTCTAGATCTTGTCAAGATGATCAGCCATCACAGTAGCTGTGGTGGTTTGAATGAGAAGTGCCCCCTTAGTCTCCATTATTTGAACACTTGTCACCCAGTTGGTGGTGCTGTCTGGGGACGGTGCAGCTTGCTGGAGGAAGTATGTCTGTCACTAGGGGTGGGCTTTGAGAGTTCAAGACCTCATCCTACTTCTAGTTTGCTCTTTCTTCTTCCTGCTTGTGGCTGAAGATGTGATCTGTTTCCTGCTTCTGCCACCATGCCAGCTGCTTGCTGCCTTGCTTCTCCTGGGAAATGTAAACACAAATAATCTCTCTCTCTTAAGTTGCCTTTGGTTGCTGTGTTTTATCACAGCAATAGAAAGTAACTGATACAGTAGCTTTTATAGTATGGGAAACAATGTATTTTAGCTATTGTTTGTGTTCTCCACAGCCCTGAAAATTATTGAATTTTAAGAGTTATAGCTTGGGTCTGATTACTTATTTTAAAAATTACATTAAAGTAATTATATACTTTATAATAAATTATATAAATTTATATAAATTATATATATTTATATTGTATTATATATTTATATATTATATATATTTATATATAAATATTATATAAATATATATATAATTATATATATACTATATATATTTTTTTAAGGATCACATCTGTTCTCAGTCTCTTTGGTTTTAATTTTTTTCTCTTTTCATTTCATTCTTTTTTCTTTTTTTGAGACATAATCTCTTTATGTAGCCTTGGCTATCATGGAACTTGCTATATAGAACAGGCTGGCCTTGAACTCATAGAGACACTTGCCTCTGCTTCTTGAGTCCTGGGATCTAAGGCGTGTGCCACCACATTTTAAATGTTTTAGTCTAAAGCACTGTAATGAAACCTAAATTGTGATGAGTGCTGTCTTAGGGTGAATCTGGATGTGATGGAACATCATGACTAAAAGTCACTCGGGGAGGAAAGAGTCTATTCTTATATTTCCAGGGAACAGTTCATCACTGGGGGAAGTCATGGCAGGAACTCAAATAGCAAGCTAAGGCAGAGACTGTTAGAGGACTACTATTGACTACCTTTTTAATCGACTTCAGATCCACCAGCCCAGAAGTAGCACCACCCACAATGGACTGGGCCCTCCCACTCCAAACACTAAAGAAATGCCACTACAGGCTTGCCTACAGTCAGATTTTATGGAGGCATTTTGAAGTTCCTGCCTCTCAGATGATGCTAGCTTGTGTCAAGTTGACATGAAAATTATCTGGGGCACATATTCTCTTATACTTGCAATATCTTGTGTTCTTTGACATTTTTATGTTTGTGTGAATATAAAGCCACTTAATTTTCAAACATTTCCTCCCTAGATTGGCCACCTGCTTGGCTGTTCCAGAGTGGTGGGAATTTGTGGAACACATGAGAAATGCCTCTTTTTGACTTCAGAACTGGGGTTTGATGCTGCAATTAACTATAAAAAGGGGAATGTGGCGGCACAGCTCCGAGAGTCGTGCCCAGCTGGAGTGGATGTCTACTTTGACAATGTTGGTGGCGACATCAGTGATACGGTGATAAGTCAGGTGGTTTGCTGGTTTCTTTCCATTACAGATCTGATACTGTATTTTATGTATTGTGATATTTTTGCTTGATACGGAGGGAAGCTATAAAAGTGTAGTGTTCATTTTGACAAATTCCATGATTATTGTGTTTAAGATATACAGAAGATTTTGATACTTGCTGTCATTTGATTGCACATTTGTGTTCTGAATTTCAGTTTCTGCCTCGTGATATATTTTCACCTTTAGTTTACTTTTGTGAAAAATTAAGAGTTACACTTCTGGAATACTGAGATTCTGACCTGTATCTCACCAACCACCAATCACCTAACAGCCATAACCCCTGAGTTGGGTAGGGAGATGGTTTTCATAGATTATCTATGTTATATATTTTTATTGACAATGTGGTAAAATATCAACAGTTGATAATAAAAATAAATAGATATTGACTATATGTAAAATTACTTACAGTTGAGATTATATCATTTCAATCTAAAGAAATATATGATCGGGCTGGAGAGACAGTTCAGTAGTTAAGAGTGTGTACTGGTCTTGCAGAGGACTGAGTGTGAATCTGTGTGAGCGTCCCTGTCAGGCAGCTCAAACCACCTGTATCTCAAGCTCCAGGGAGAACTGGCCCCTTTGGCCTCATCAGGGACCTGCACTTATGTGGATGTGTCAGTTATGGAGACTACTTGGTCATGGGTTTAAGCCAATAGAAAGTCTTTATTAGATGGTCAGTGTTTGGGTCCCAGTGTAGCCCCAAGCCTTTCTCAGGGTGAGCTTTTAAGCACAAAAACCGTATCCTGAGTTGACATACTTCAGGTAACAAGAACAGTTAATCAGAAGCAGAACTACAGAAGCCAAAAAGCAAGGTTAATACATTTAGACTTTCCCAGAACTATGGACTTTGATGGATTAGGCTTTTGAGTTGGCAGGTGGAGCTGTCAAAGTGCTGAGTTTAACAGCCTGAATGTTACTTCTATCATGGAGTCAGCTGTGGTAAAGTCTCGGGACCTGCTAAGGTCTGGGGACCTGTTACAGTACCTATACATGTTTACAGACCCACCATATAAAATAATAAGCTTTAAAAAAATAGACATACTAGTCAGGTGGTGGTGGTGCACACATTTAATCTGAGCACTCGAGATAGACAGAGGCAGATAAATCTCTGTGAGTTCAAGGCCAGCCTGATCTACAAGAGCTAGTTTTTCTAGGATAGGCTCCAAAGCTGAAGAGAAACCCTGTCTCGAAAAATCAAAACCAACCAACCAAACAAATAAATAAAATGAACATAGTACAAAAAAGCAGCAAGGTCACTGGCAACTAATGTAATTTTTTTGGTGATCACCAAACTTTTATTCTATATTCTTTCAGAGTGGACTTAATAAAATTTGTAGGGGCTAGAGAGATGGCTCAGCACTTAGAGTACTTACAGCTCTTGTGGATGACTGAGTTTGGAACCTGGCACCTACATCAAGCAGCTGAAAACCATCTGTAACGATCTAGGGAGATCGAAGGCCCTCTCCTGGCCTCCACAGGCACCTGCATGCATGTGGTGAAAATTTATGGAGGCATGTGCATGCACGTGCACATACATAAATAAATAAAAAGTACTTCTACATAGGTAAATCTTCAAAATAAATGAAACTAATTGAAAAAAATTTAAGTGTGGTGGTTAAATAGCTTTCATTGATGTAGTCCTAAATCCATCAATAGGAAGGTGGCTGAGGGTGTAACTGTCAGTGTTTCTCTGTGCAGATGAATCAGAACAGCCACGTCATCCTGTGTGGTCAAATTTCTCAGTACAATAAGGATGTGCCATACCCTCCTCCACTGTCCCCTGCTGCAGAAGCAATCCAGAAGGAGAGAAACATCACAAGGTGTGTGTGCTACCTTTCCCTTACTATACTGGCACAGGGGCTGGGGCTACGGAGCTGAATTTCATAGGTGGGAAATGTTTCATTTATAGTTTTTTTTCCTTATTAAATATAATTGAAAAGGTTTTTTTTTGTTTTGCTTTTGATTTTCGAGACAGGGTTTCACAGCCCCTGCTGTCCTGGAACTCACTCTGTAGATCAGGCTGACCTCAAACTCTGCCTCCCAAGTGCTGGGATTAAAGGCGTGCACTACCACTGCCTGACTGAAAAGTATATATTTAAAGAGGTTCAATATTTAAATTTTGGTTAACTGTTTCTCGGAAAATAGATACTTGGCTTTGATTAGATGAGATCATGTGAGGCTATGAAGGAATGTTATCTATAAATGAAAAATCACAATACTGTTGCCAGGGTTATAGATGATAAGCAGATATAAACAAAGTTTGGTGTACTTCCTTATCCTCACACCTAAAGCTGTATCTGCCCAGACTCAGCGTGGTTATAGGCTAATTTAAAGACAAACAGGGATTGCCAATTTGAAAGATTTGATTGTGTTCATTTGTTTTTGTTTTCAAAACAGGTTTCTCTGTTTAACAGCCCTGACTATTCTAGAACACTCTTTTAGACCAGACTGGCCTTGAACTCACAGAGATCTGCGTGCCTCTGCCTCCCACTAAAGGCCTATGCCACCACTGCCCTCAGGTTCTCACTCTTGAAATATTCTCTAATCGTTATTCTTTCATTCTCTGTTTACAGAGAGAGATTTACCGTGCTAAACTATAAAGATAAGTTTCAGCCTGGACTTCTCCAGCTGAGTCAGTGGTTTAAAGAAGGAAAGCTAAAGGTAAACCCTCTTTTGTTTTTTGAAACCACGTCTCATGTGGCCCAGGCTGGGTCTGAACTTGACAATTACCTTGAACCCTTAACCCCCCATCTCTCTGCCTCATTGGTGCTAGAATTCTAGGCATGCTCTACCATGCTTTGTTTATGTGGTGCTGGGCTTGAACCCAAAACTAACCAAGTACTCTACCAATTGAGTCACATCCCCAGTCCAAATTTCTATTAACTATAAAAGTATATTTCTGCTGCCATTTGGCATACTTTTTTTTTTAATTTACTATAGCGAACATTGGTTTCATTACAAAAGATTGGCTAGAGAATTGGCTCAGTGGTTAAGAGCACATTGCTCTTGCAGAGAACCCAAGTTTGTTTTCCGACTTGAATGTCAAGCTGCTCACAACTGACTGCAGCTGCAGCTCCAGGGGCTCTGTGAGCCTCTCTGAACCACCTAAGTAACTGCTCACACGCACATACTCCACAGAGACACACACGTAGACACATAGTTTAAAAAGTTAATCTCTGAATAAAATTTTCTCCCAGATGACCATAATCTTCTGATTGAGAAACCCTTTTATTAGCTCTATGCAATATTTTATTAAGCTCAGGACTGTAGAGGCTGCTCAGTGATTAAGAACACTTGCTACTTTTGCAGAGGACCCAGTTTGGTTCCCAGCACTGACATGGCTGCTACAAGTTGTCCATAACTCCATCCAGGGGATCCAGTAACCTCTTCTGGCCTCCCAGGACACCAAGCACACAGTGGTACATACATGTACATACATCTATGCATGCAGGCAAAACACAGATGAAAATAAAGCTAAACAATTACAAAGCTTTACTCTCCATAGATTAGTTACAAAGTCAATAGGTATATCTCCTGAAATCTAAATTTGTAATGTTCATTAACTTAAGTATTTGTGGAACTGTACTTAGGAATTCTGATTTCTTTTTTCATGCTATTTCTGGATGTTTTGTCTACAGAAATTTTTGTATAGCACTTGCTTGCCCTGGTTCTCACAGAGGACTGAAGAGAGGTGTCAGACCCTGGACCTGGAGCTACAGGTGCCTGTGAGAGCCATCAGTGCACTGGGAATTGAACTGGGTCCTCTGGAAGAGCAGCCAGAGCTCTTAACTGATGAGCCATCTCTCTAGTCCCAGAAATTGTGCTCTCTTAAAAGTCACATAAGCACATACCAGAATGCTCTGTGGATATTTTTTTAATGAGAATTGGTTAAATTTTATGTAACTAGAACGAGTTACTACTACATTTTATAAAGTACAGAAAGCAGTTGTAAACTCAGTAGTACAATTACATTACTTTAGCTTAATATAATCTATTCCCTTATAATTTTTATAGATTTAAGTAAATATCCTTTTAATATTCATTTCCTTTATGGTTATTCTGATTTTAGTTGTTGGGCAAAATTAGAAGTTTTTTGTTTTGTTTTGTTTTGAAGACAGTTCTCTGTAGACCAGGCTGGTCTTGAACTCAGAGAGATCCACCTGCTTCTGCCACCTGCCCAAGGACCGGGATTAAGAACATGTGCCACCACAGCCTGAAATTAGAAATTATTTATCTGGTATCCAGATAAGATGTTCTTGGAACCTGAAAATGACAGGCAAACTTGTATATGTGCACACTTAGATCATTTTTTCCCTAGAGGGTGTATGTGGACTGAGGGTGTAACTTGGTAGAGTGTTTGCTTAGCCTGCATGAAGCCTAGTCCACCCCAGGAGGGGAAATAAACAAAACAAAACTGGGTGTAGTGGCAAGGCCTGTCATCCCAGTACTTGGAAGGTGGTGGCAGGAGAGGGTCATAAATTCAAGATCATTTTCAGCTAAATTGCCTGTGTAGTTTGTTTAAGATTAGATGGGGATGAGAGTGTTGGGGCAGCAATGAGATGGCTCGGTGAATATGGACACTTGCTGCCTAGTGGATGAACTGAGTTTGATCCGCAGAACCCTTGTGGTAGAAAAGTAGAAAGAACTGAGCTGGGCATGGCAGCTTATGCCTTTAAACCAAGCAGTAGGCTAGCCTTGTCTACAGAACAAGTACCAGATGTCCTCTGACTTCCACATGCATGCTACGACATGTGCATTCACCCACAAAACAAATAAATGTATAAAAAATTTTTTAAGGCGATCAGACAACAGGAATATAGGATTAGGATTTTACTGAAAAATGGTGGCTACCCATTTTTCTACTGTATGCAAAATCCTAAATTGCATTGTTTCCTTTTATGGAAACCATTAACTCTAAATCTAACTATTTTTGATTTACAGATCAAAGAGACTGTGATAAATGGATTGGAAAACATGGGAGGTAAGATGAATGAAGATTTCTTCTACATATGTGCTCAATGCGTGTATTGATTTTTCTTTTAATGTACTTTCATGGCCTCTTTCATGCTAAACACACTTTACCACTGTGCTAAACCCTAGCTCCCCACCCCTTTTCTTCTTTGTGGAGACATTGCAGAGCTGTGTTAACTGAAAGACTGTGCGGTGATGGAACCTTGTGCATGCTAGCCTTGTGCATAGCTAAGGCTGAGCTATGTCTTCTTTCCTTCGCTTTGTTTTGTTTATCTTTTTTTACAGGAAGAATGGGGGTGGAGCAGAGCTTTTCTGATCTGGGTCTTGTCTTCTGATCTGGTCTGATCTAGCCCTGGTTGGCTTTGAATTTGATTGGTGGCTGAGGCTGACCTTAGATTCCTGACCTCCCAAGTGTTGAAATTACAAGAATTTGCCACCACACCCATCTTATTCATTGCTGAGACTGAGGATTGGGCTAGTTGGTAGAGAGCTGATCTACCATAAATGATATACAAATCATGAATATTAGCAACCACTATAACTCCAGAACTCAGATGGTAGAGGCAATACAATCAACTTAAGGTTATTCTCAGCTAATGAGACTGTTTCAAATATAAGTTAAAATAAAAATAAATAAAATAAACTGGGTGGTGGTGGTTTACACCTTTAATCCCAGCACTCTGGAGGTAGAGGCAAGTGGATCTCTGTGAGTTTGAGACCAGCCTGGTCTACAGAGTGAGTTCCAGGACAGCCAAGGCTACACAGAGAGAAACAGTGTCTTGAAAAACAAAGAAACAAACAAATAAATAAAAGTTACCTCTTCCCTGAGAAACTGTCCTATATATGTAGGTTTCCTTATATATTGCAATCAAACACCCTTAGGGTTCACTTTAGCGATATTTAATATGTGTATAAGTTACTTTTTCATTACCTGAAACAAAATCTTAGCAATTATTTTGCTCCTGATTTTAGAGGGTACAGTTCATGATCACTTAGCGCCATGCACTTGGGTAGGGCAGATCATCCTGGTAATGGGTGTACATGAAGGTGATAGAAGAAGACAGGAAGGGCCCAACTCTGCTGACTACTTTCTCCAGCTAAGCTCTACTTCATGAAGTTTCCAGAACCTCCTAAAACCGCATCACTAGCTGAGGACCATGCACTTCGTGGATACACCATGAGAGTTCCTTCTGTATGTAATAGTTAAAACATCATGGAGAGAGCTGGGCAGAGGTGGCACATGCCTTTAATCCCAGACAAGGCCAGCCTGGTCTACAAGAGCTAGTGCCAGGACAGGTGCAAAGCTACACAGAAAAACCCTGTCTTAAGAAACAAAAAACATACCAAAACAAAACAAAAAAACACACAAAAATTATGAAGAGATGACTCATTGGTTAAAAGCATTTGCTGCTCTTTCAGAGGATCCGGGTTCAGATCCTGCCACCGACATGGCAGTTCATAACCAGTTCTAGGTGATCCAGAGCCCTCTTTGGGTCCCTACTGGCACCACACACATGTTGTATACTTACATATGTGCAGGCAAAACACCCATAAAAATAAAATAAGTCTTTTGTGTGTGTCTTGCCTGCATGCATGTTTGTACACCACATGCATGCCTGGTGTTCATGGAATTCATAAGAGTGTTGGACCTCATACAGCTGGTGCCAGGAATAGGGATGGTTGTGAGCCACCACATGAGTGCTGGGAACTGAGCCCATTTCCTCTGCAAGAGCAACAAGCACCTCAGCCAATAAGCCGTCTCCCCAGCCCCAGATTTTTATATATATTAAATACACACACACACACACACACACACACACACACACACACACACACACACAGTGTTTCTATGTGTTCTGTTTTGGAACTCACCCTGCAGACCAGGCTATCCCCAAACTCACAGAGATCCACCTGCCTCTGCCTCCTGAGTTCTGGGATTAAAGGCGTGCACCGCCACCACCTGACCCAGTGATTTTTCTTTTTAGATTTGTTTTTTGCCAGGGCAGTGGTGGCACATACCCTTTAATCTCAGCATTCAGGAGACAGAGGCAGTGGATCTCTGTGAGGTCGAGGCCATCCTGATCTACAGAGAGAAACCCTGTCTCAAAACAGCAAAAAATAAATAAATAAAAGGCAGAAAAATCACTGAAGAAATTATTCAAACTAATGTTGTGTGTCAGACCTCTAACAAACATATAGTAACATTTCTCTTTTCAGACGACCTATTCTTTTCTTTCAGTTGCGTTCCAGTCTATGATGACCGGAGGCAACATCGGGAAGCAGATTGTCTGCATTTCAGAAGATTTTTCTCTGTAGTCTGCGTATCTTCATCAAGGAAACCCTACATTTCCTACTGTGCACAAAGATTCTTAAGATACATTTAAAAAAATAATCTTACAGTACACATAGTTCTTAATTTAAGTGTAATTGTAATATTTTTAGTTAAATAACCTTCTTATTTTCAATATCATATATTAACTATATATCTAACTTGTGATTGTTAACCATAATACAATGGTTCTCAACCTGTAGGTTGTGACCCCTTTGGAGTCACTACCAGATATCCTGCATATCGGATATTTACATTACAATTCATAACAGTAGCAAAATTAGTTATGAAGTTGCAATGAAATAATTTTATGGTTGTAGGCCCCACAATGTGAGGAACTGTGTTAAAGGGTCACAGCATCAGGAAGGGTGAGAAGCACTGCCACAATAGATTTGGTATCATCTGTTTTTCTCTATTTTATTTTTGAGACAGGGTCTCAAATATGAAGTCCACACTGGCCTCGTACTTATGATTCTTGTGGCCTGTCTCCTGAGTGCTGGGATCACAGGCATGTACCACTATACCTGACTTATTTTCCTTGTAATAATAACTAGTAATAATAATTATTTTGGAGATGGGTCTGTTAGTGTAGCTCAGGCTGGACTGATTCCTGAGGTTCCCCACTGCCAATTATCTCTGGGGTTACAGGCACGTGTTACTCACTATACTCAGCTAATTTTGTTTGTTAAAACTCTTGTTACATATATTTGTATCAAATATTTAAAAACTTCTGGATAGTTAATACAACTGTTAATGGATCATATGTAGGCATATCTTTAAGTTATTTTTAAAACTGGGTGAACACTCTAATTCTAAGGTCAGAAGCAGTTAACATCTGTTGAACTGGGGAAATTTTTAACATTATTCTTAAAGTGAGAGTATTAGAATTGCGATGGGCTTTCCATATTTCATATGGAAGAGAGACTGTAAAAGTCTTTATGTACCTATGTGTCTTGTCTGTCTGTACACCACATGCATGCCTGATGCCTGCAGAGACAGAATAGGGCATTGAATCCCTTGGCACTGGAGAGAGTTTTGAGCCACCGTGTAGGTGCTGGGTTCTTGAGTGCAGGTCCTCTGGTAGAGCAGCTGCTGAGCTATCTCCCCAGCCTGCCCAAAGAGGGACTTTTCATGGTAAGCACATAGGGTTGGGGGCAGCATTGGGAGTATCAGACTGAGGAAGAGAAGTTTTGGGTTGGGAGTGATATGAAAAGATAAATAACGTCAGTTGAGTTGATGAGAGACTCAATAGACCAGATTTACACCCAGAAGACTTGTGTTCTCCCAAATTACTATGTAGCAAGCCTAACAAAAGCTTGTGTTTACGTTAGGAATATTTTTTTTAGATAGTCTGTTATGTAGCTTGCTATGTAATTCTGGCTGCCCTGGAATTTACAGATCTCTAGCTGCCTGTCTACCTCTGGAGTGCTAGTGTTAAAGGTCCGCACTTTGGGAACCTTTGGAGGGCAAGTAGGTATAAACATCACTGAGAATTTTATTGGTTAAAGTGGGTTGGGGAAGTTATCAGGGCAGAACACTGTTCAGTATTCTAGGGGCCTTAATTCCCAATAGCAATCCCCACTCCCCAACTCGCCCCAAGTAAAAAAGCTTCAGAAAGTGGTGGTGGTGGTGGTGCACGCCTCTAATCCCAGCACTTGGGAGGCAGAGGCAGGTGAATCTCTGTGAGTTAGAGGCCAACCTGTTTTACAAAAGCTAGTTCCAGGACAGGCTCCAAAAGCTACAGAGAAACCCTGTCTCAAAACAAAAAAACAAAAAACAACAACAAAAAAGGCTTCAGAAAATGATAGGACAAAGTAAACTAACCAATGGTTGTAGACATGAATATTCCACATATATTGATGTTTTTATTAATTGTAACTCAACCTTTAGAAAAGCAAAATTGAAAATGTTTTCTAAGTGTGATTTAAGACACTTTTTTACACAGCCAATGTATTTTATAGGTGACACTTCCAATAAATACATTCAAACTGTATTAGTAATCACTCAATCCAGTTTTGCATCGGTCTATCGTTGTTTTACAAAGAAACTGGACCAGTTTCTTTCTGGAGGGTTCTTCATTTCTTCATATGTTGGTGAACTCCCAAATCTACTTTGTTTTTTGTTTTGTTTGGGGTTGGGTTTTTTGGGACAGGGTTTCTCTGTGTAATCGCCCTAGCTGTCCTGGAACTAGCTCTTGTAGACCAGGCTGGCCTCAAACGCACAGAGATCTGCCTGCCTGCCTCTGTTGGGAATAAAAGTGTGTGCCACCACCACTCAGTTTGTTTATTTTTACTTAAACTTTAGGATTTTAGCTCCTAGTAAGTAAACATTTCCTTGCCATCCCAAGGTTTCTTTTCAGATGTTATGTAGCCCAGTTGTCCTTGTCATGGCAGTTCTCAAATGGGTTTACAGCCATGCTTCCCAGTGCCCAGCATGGAACTATGTACCAAGGAATTATTCCACCCGGATGGCCTGGAATGTTTTGTTTTGTACCCAATCTACTAATCCCTAGCTTGTTTAGGTTCTTAGTTTATCTCTAAACATGAAAATAAACGCCTTAAGAGAACATTAATTCTCATGGGCACTGCCTTTAATCCCCCACTATTGCGTACCACATCATGGTTTTTTTCTTGTTATTTTAGTTTTGACAGGGTCTCACTGTATAGCCCTAGGAGGCCTGGAACTCCCAGTGCTGGGAGCGCTGGGAATGATTACTGTGCTACCATGCCATTTCTTTACATTTCACGTAGTCAGTCAAACTCAAAAGTTCCATCAAGTAGTTCACCATGGAACTCAGGTATTTTAGCCCTCAGTCAGGACATCCAAGATTCTTGAACGTTCCCAAAGCTGTACGTGTGCCTAAATCCATACCCAATCGAATGGACAATGCAGAGCTTGACTGTGCAGGTCCCTCCTTGGGTCCTCTTCATGGAGAGTTTTGGTGTTTCGGGAGCATTGCTTCTCGTTAACTGTCATAACTTCGCAGCTGCGGGGAAAGCTGCCCACCCACCACGGCGGCACTCAGCCACCTAGCGGGAAGGCGGTGACGTCACGGCTAGAAGGCACTGACCTGGTTTCAGACTTCGGGACCCGAGAGTCCTGGCGGGCAGGGGGCGGGGTGCTGCGGTTCCACCGGCCGGAGCCCAGTGTGGCTGTGAGGGGACCGGGAGGTCGGCCCAAGCGGCTGCCCGAAGGTCAGCACCTCAACCCGAATAACACCCGCGGGGCGGAGAAGAAAGCCAGTGGGTGTGCTGGTGTGTGTGTGTGGGTGGGGGGTGGCCAAACTTCCTGTCCCGCTCGGGAGCTGCTTCCGGCGGGAGCCGGAAGACGCCGTGTGTGGACGGAATTCGGGACTGACTGCCGGACGACCAGCTGCCCTGTACTGGAAGGTGAGCCCTGGGTTGGGGCTGGCCTCAGCGCTTAGCTAGGTGTTCCCGGAGAGAAAGGAACCCACGACCGGGTTTGGGGGTCTGCAGCCGAGTTCGTCCCTAAGGGCACAAGGAAGCCCCCCCCCCCCCCCCCCCGGGGGCTCCCCCCCCCCCCCCCCCGGTGTCTGGCGGGCTGAGGGCGACCGGTTCGACACCCCACGCCTTCGGCCCTACGCCTCCCATGATCTGGGGCGCGCTGTCTTGGCTCTTCGGCTTGTTTTTGCGAGCGGTGCTTGGAAGCCAGTTGCACCCAGAAACCCGGAGTCAGCGAGTCCCCTGGGCGGAGGCGCCGGACTGCACCCGCAGCCGGGCCTGTCCGCGGACCTTCGGGCCTTCCTTGCACCGAGGCCTTTGTGCTGGCGGGAAGGCCGGCCAGCGATGCCCGGCCGGCGTTTCACCCAGAGCGACCGCTTCCTTTTCCGGCGTCCCCTCACTCCCTGGGTCTGGAAGGGGGCTGCCTGAGGACCAGGGCTGGACCTCTGGCGTCTCCTCTACCTGCCGCTTCAGGCCCGTGTGTGGGCAGCGAGGGCTGGTAGCCTGGCTGTGTTTTGCCTATTGAATTTTGTCCTCTGAAGTTTCTCAGAAGAAGATCCAATTAGTTATTAAACTTTATCCCTTTTGCGCATGAGGCTCTGAAATGTACTTAGGTACCATTTGGGAGTTAAATATTGAGAAGGCATTCAGAGTTCATACTTTTATCTTGGCACAGGGGCCAAGGTAATATATGCAAAGAGAAGGAAAAAATATTTTGAAGACAAACAATTCTTGGTGTTTGGCCCCGAGAAATTACGCTTTGTGTTATCGTAGTGTATAGCAGAATACAGGGCAACCGAGCATCAGAAGATGTAGGTTTTTATTTAAGTCTTGACCTCGTAGGTGTCAAATTTGGAGAAAATTTTGCAATTTCTAAATTTCTAAATTTTTGGGGGGAGTGTATTAGTGAAGAGGTTTGACCCTTATTCTGCGACACTAAACTTTGAGTATGAGGGGTGATAAACATTCTTGTATTTTAGGGGAAAAATGAATGTTTGGGTAAAAGATAGATCGCAAAGAGTATTTTTATTTTATTTTTGGATTTTCGAGACACAGTTTCTCTTGTAACCCCGACTCTCCTGGAACTTACTTTGTAGACCAGCTGAGCCTCAAATGTACAGATCGCCTGCTTCTGCTTCCTTAGTGCTGGGTTTAAAGGCGTATGCCACTTCTGCCCTGAGGAAAGGGAAACTTTTAAAAGCAAGGTGACCAGTTAGAAACCTGTATTAATAGCGTGGTTGCCCCCCACCCCCAGTGTATTTGAAAGATACCGAGAAATCTAAACAGTATCACAGCAGGAGTAAATGATTTGGGGAATTCATTAATGGCTGGGATTATTTAAATATGAAGAATGAGAGAGACTGCTAGATAGAATTTGCAGACGAGTGGGAAGGAGATTGAGCAATAAATAAAAGGGTTAATTCAAGAAGAACAGGTTTGGTAGGGGAGGTGGTAATCTGGGTTTGGATGTGGTTTGGTTTGAAACGCTGATGGATATATATGTGGAATTACTCGACAAGTAATTGATAGTAAAGGTTTGGAAGTCAGAAGAAAAGTCCAGAGTAGAGGGGCAGGGAATTGGGTGTCATTCGTCATGTTACTGATCCTCTGAATGTTTAGCCATTGCTTCTTATGTGCTCACAGGGAAACTTGTATGAGGTCTTTCAAACTCCTAGTAATGAGTACTTTAGAAGTGCGTAGTGACTTCAGGGTTTCTTTTGGGAAAATGTAAAATTAGCCAGGCATGGTAAAATTAGCCAAGACCTCTCAGTACTGGGAGGTCTAAGCAGGTGGGACCAGAAGTTGAAGGCCAGCCTCAGAAATAGAGAGTTCCAGAACAGCTGGGGCTATGCAAGAGCTTGTCTGAACCGTCCCCCTCTCCAAAAAACACACACCCACAAACAAAACTGATTGTGTATGGGATTGCACAACTGTGGGTATACTAAAGACAGTTGAATTGTACTTTTCACAGTGGGTGAGAGTGGGATCTGCCAAGTTCAGAGCAGCAGTTAGGAGCACTGCTCTTGTGGAGGACCTGGGTCTAGTTAGTTCCCAGTACCACACATGGCGATTCACAACTGAGGACCCAGCACCTTCTGCCTCCATGGGTACTACATATGTGTGGTGTACAGACAACATGTAAGCGAAACACCCATGCACAGTAAATAAAAACTAAAAATCTTACAAAATGGGTAACATTTATGTTGACTGTCTGAAAGTTTGTGACAAGGGCTCACTGTGTGTGTAGCCTTGCCTGGCCCAGAACTCACTGTGTAGACCAGGCTGGCCTCAGACGCCTAGAGATATGCTGATCTCTGCTTCCATATTGCTAAATTAAAATGTGTGCCACTGCGTCTGGCCCCAAACTTGTTTTTTTGGAAAGATTTGCATTGCAAGAAGTTTCCATTGCAGCTTTTGAAGTGGTTAAGTAGATAATGGACTTGGAACTAGCTGCAGGCCTAGCTTACGTGTTTGCCCTTGTACTGCTGGCCAATTAATGTGCTTAGCAAGGTCTGTGTTACAGATGCAGTCCACATAGAGCACTTGATGAACCGCTATGCTCTTGAATGGATTGTTTTCTTTTCATTCTGAGATATGATCTTGCTGTGTGGCCGAAAGCTCCTTAGTCTCTTGCTTCAGTTTCCCCATTGCTGAGATTACAGATGCCTGTTCCACCCCTTGCTCTTGCAAAGATTCCTGGGGCTTCAGCCTTTCTAGTGCATTCTACTTTATTTGTTCATTAAGTGCCTATACAAGCCAGAAATTTTGGCACCAGGATTGTATGGCTGTATTCAGTTACAATATGCATATTGCAGTTGTTCCAGAATAGCCTTACTTGTTTTCAAAGACTACTAAAACAAAAACACTAAAATAAAAAGACACAGTAGGTGACCAACCCCTAAGGGTGTGTGTGTGATGTCTTAGTGATTCTGCAAGTCAAGAATCTCAAAGTTGGATGTACTTTAGTAATAATCTGGACAAACATCTGGTGATTTCTTGGCTTGTTATGTGAGCTGAAATTGGGGAAGAGGAATTGCTAAGCCCTCTAAATTTAAGATCAGACTTAGATGTAATCACTTCCTATTTGTGCCAACTATTCATGCCAGCTTGCTTATACAACTTAATAACTTGATCAGCCTTGGTTTCCTCCTCTCATGAAGATGAGTGGATAAACCACATTAAGCTGTTGTAGTGCTTGAGGAACAAAAATGTATGTAGAAAGAAAAGTTGGACATTTATGATGCTTTGCTTTATGTGGTATGTAAAAGGAATATTTCATATATATCTTGTAAACTGGACTGCAGGCCACTGTTAACATCAATAACGCTTTAATTCCAGTATTCCTTCTAAGAATTAGATGTATTTGTGTGCACATATGTGGGTGTCAGGGTACAACATGTAAGACTTAGTTCTAGCACATGGGTCCTGGGGGTTGAATTGAAGTTGTCAAAGAGTGGTGGCCACCTTCACAAATGGGTCATCTTACAGGCCCTAATTCCAGGACTTCTTATTTTTCAAGACAGGGTTTCTCTGTGTAGTCCTGAACTCACTCTGTAGTCCAGGCTGACCTCGAACTCAGAGATCTGCCTCTGCCTCCTAAGTACTAGAATTAAAGGCGTGTACCACCACCGCCTGGCTTCCAGTATTTCTTAATGTCTGTCTTAGTCTAACTTTCCAGTCTACCCTGGTGTTAATGGAAAGCTTCCATCCTAGGTACATTTCTTTTTTTTCTTTCTTTCTTTCTTTTTTTTTTTTTTCTATCTTTATGGATAGCAGTACTCCCACTTTTATCAGCAATTACACCAAACTAAGTGAATTCATGTGCCAGAGTACTGGGGTGGACGGGACTTAAGCACCAAGAGAGTTTTCAGCTAGGGGTCTAGTGAGGTCTGCAGTGGTAACCAGGGAAGGAGGGAGGGAGAGTGAAAATGGGTGTGCTTTTGCCTCTGGGAAGTACGGAACTGCCCGGGCTCTGGGCACCATCACACACGTTGATGTGCTCTACCCATCGAGTTACACCTCTCAGCTTGTTACTTGTTTTTGCTTTTCTGAGAAAGAGTATCGCTGTAGCCCAACTGGTGGTGAATTTGCTCTGGAGCCCAGGCTTCCTGAGTACTGAGAGTCCAGGTGTGCACCACCCCATGCCCCCGTAGGCTTGTGTTTTAAATGATCAAAACAGCATAATTACCTTGAAGAGCCAAGAAAAGTGAAGCCACACTGACCTGTTACACAATATAACTACTGCATCTATGTGACTTTCTTTTTACTTTTTCTTATGCATGATGTAATTAGTGTTGAAATGAAAAAGAAATTTGTAATCAATTTTCTTTGTTGTATGGGCTTCACAATCTGTGTGTGTGTGGTGTTGTGACTCAAACCCAGGTATTTGCACATTAGGCAAATGTTCTACCACTGAACTACATTCCCAACCAAAATTGTATTTTGAAGTACCAGTACCATATTTAATTAACCATACCCTGTATTGTATAAATGTGTTCAGGTTTTCTAAAAGGTAATCACGTGTTGCTTCCTGGTTTTTGCTTTTTATTTTTGACAAACATCTTTTGGAATATAGCTTTTCCATATTGAAGACGTTTTTATGTGGTGATATCTGTTACCTGAGCACTCAGGAGGAAGAGGTAGAAGAATTTGTTGACAGTTGGAGTTCAACCTGGTTCATATGTGAATTTTAGACCAGTCACGGCTATATACCAAGATTCTGTCTTAAAAAAAAAAATTTTACTAGAAGGAGAAATTTTGTGGGAACTGAAGATATGGCTCAGTGGTTAAGAACACTTGCCATGCTGCTTGGTGGCGCACACCTTTAATCCCAGCACTCGGGAGGCAGAAGCAGGTGAATCTCTATTGCATTTGAAGCCAACCTGGTCTACAGAGTGAGTTCCAGGACAGCTAGGGCTACACAGAGAACCCCTGTCTCAACAAACAAACAAAAAAGAACACTTGCTATTCTTGCAGAGAACCAGAGTTTGATTCCTAGCATCCACATAGGGCTGCTTACAACCACTTGGAGTTCTAGGAGATTGATACTCCTATTGGACTCTGTGGACACTTGGAAACACGAGATATGCGTGCCTGAAATAAAAATAAGAATTTAAAAAGTAGAAAGTTTATCAAAACATAATGTTTTTATAGATTTTGATACTTAGTGGACTTGTTCTGTTTTAAAACAAATGTTATAGGCTGAATTCTTTGTGATTTTTTTTTTTTAGATATAAAGACATATGTTTATTTAGCTACATTTTCCTGCTGCTCTTAATGCTGTGTCTTTCTCTTTTTTACCCTATTTTAGGTTAAATTGGTTACCAGCCTAGCTCAGCATCTTACAGAAAAAACCATAATGTTTCTTAAAGGGCTATGAGTATAACAGGAAGGTGTCATTGACTCTGAATTAGATTTGAACCTGTGCCGTGAACAGCCACAGGATTTCAGAAGCTGAATCAATGTTATCAGATGAGTTAGAATCCAAACCAGAGGTGAGCCCACTTAGCTGTTTTCTTTGGTGGGTTTTCAGAATTTATGCTTAGTCCATTGCTCAGGAAACAACTTCTCTGGTGACTTAATAGTAAACATTTTTGACTTTGTGAGCCAAATGATTTTTACTGCAACTCTTACTGTACAATTTTTCTGTTACTAAACGGTTTCTTCAAGATTTTACTGTTCTGTTTCTATCTTTTGTGAATTTTTTACATTTGCTATTTAAGTATTTAATGAAATACTAAGGTGCTTGCTTATATAATAAAATATTTTATATCCCTAAAATGAATTTATATTATATAGTTGTGGTGTATATATGTGTGTGTGTATGTATATATTTATTACATAAACTGTTAATCTTACATATAAATGAAAATATTTTCTTTCTGAACATTATTGGGAGATTTAAGCATTTTATAATTTCATTCATTTTCCCACCTTAATTTTAGTAAATCTGTGTTCCATAATAGGAAAGTCACTAAATTTGAAATAATTACTTGATTTTGAAGATTAGAACTTCTAACTAGTTATGGCTCTTAGACAAGTCAGTGTTCTCAGATTGATTCCTCATTTGTGAAATACATGTTCACCTAGGAATTTAATACAAGGATTAAATATACCTCTACCTAGGAAAATGCTTTGTAAGATGTAATCAATACAGTACAGTTGATTTAAAAATTAAAAAAGCTTATTTTAAAATACACTTTCATTATTTGATAACCTAATTACATAAAAAAACCATTATGTAGAACACACACCTTGATGTGTAGTTTGTCTAGTTTTTCTGTGTATATGACTGAGACCAGGAACAAGAATGAATTATGTCATCATTTGTTGGGTAAATTTGAAAGTTGAGATTCGTTCCTAGCATCCTATTTCTCAGTGTTGCTTCTTTTCCCCTCCTCAGCTCCTGGTTCAGTTTGTTCAGAATACCTCCATCCCCCTGGGACAAGGGCTAGTTGAATCAGAAGCTAAAGACATTACTTGCTTATCCCTCCTTCCAGTGACCGAGGCCTCAGAATGCAGTCGGCTAATGTTACCAGGTAAAATATGTTCACTACAGGTGAAAGAAATCTTATGAGTTTAGCCTACTCTGTGGCAAGAGTAGAATGGATAATTGATTTTTGAAAGTAAAATTTAAGAGTCATGGGAAAAACAGCCATGGAAGTCATACATGCCTGAGTAATTTGAACATAGAATAAGGATGTGTGGGAGACAGAAAGGCCAGTGCAGCACCTGGGATCAGGCAAGAGACCTGAAAGGAGAGCAGAATGCCAGCTTAGAGTTAGATGAGTATCAGCATAGCTAGGAGGCCTGGGACCCAAGGGAAATCAGTGTGTTAAAGGCCCCTAAGAGGCCAAGGAGACGAAGACTAAAAGGAGGCATTAAATAATATTGGCAGAGAAAGGATGAGAAACCAGGCTGCAGGGATAGAGGTAACAGTGTAAAGTGTGGTATAGGTGAGGGAGTGCTTATCGAGTTTAGTTTGGGTGGTTGGTTTGTTTTGTATTTGAGATGGACTGACTGGCCTGGAAGTCAGTCTATCTGCTTCTGCCTCCACTGGGATTAAAGGCTGTGTTCTACGTTGATCTGTGTAATATTTTAAAGGGCTTTCTTCTCTCTCTCTCTCTCTCTCTCTCTCTCTCTCTCTCTCTCTCTCTCAAATCTAAGCTGTTTGAGGACTGTTTAGAATGTTAATACTAATCAGGGGGAGGGCAATGTCAGCCTGTTGATGACAGTTGTTTGTTAAAAATTCTGATTACTTCCTTTAGTGATGCTCTGAGGAGACTTTAAGGTTTTCTAAGATTCAGGAAAAACAGACATATAAATTATAAACATCCAGATTTCCCCACCTTGGACTGGAGAGGTGGTTGCAAGCGCTTGCTATGCAAGCATGAGAACTGAAGCTTGAATCCCCGCAGAACAGAAGGGAGCCGGCCACCAAGCCTGCTGACCCTGACTCAATCCCTGGAACCCACACGGTGGGAAGAGAGAATTGACTCCTGAAAGTTGTTGTCTGCCTTCCACATGTGCTGCATAGCATGGACGTGTGAGCATGCACTCTAGTAACTGTAACAAAGTAAAAAACAATCTGGCCAGGCAGCACTCATGAGGCAGGTGAACTCTGTGAGTTTGAGGCTAGCCTGATCTACATCTACAGAGTAAATTCAAGGACAGCCGGAGCCACACAGAGAAACTAAAAAGAAAAAAGAAAAAAATCTGTAGCTCCGGCTGCAAAGATCTGATACACAGTTTTGTTGAGAGGAGGTCTTGCTGCATAGACCAGGCTGGCCTTGAACTCAGAGGTCTACCTGTTTTTGCTTCCCCAATGCTAGGATTAAAGTGTGAGCGAACATACATGGCTTAATCCCCTCTTGTGGACTTTATTCATGAATAGACATGCATACCCACACGAGTGTACACTAATGGAGTAGGGAATTAAAATAAAAACAAGAAGTCCATACTCTGTTAGAATGATGTCTTATAAAGAGGTTAAAAAGAGCAAACATTGATAAGAATGTGGAGAAAAGGGAACCTTGTAACTGTTAAATTATGGAAAATGTATGGAAATTCCTCAAAAGCTAACTGTCAGTTGTGTCAGCAATTCCACTTGTGTGTATATCTCCAGAGGAGTTGAAATCAAGTAAATCAAATGTTAAATGCATGTGTGGAGGTCAGCAGACAACTTGTGGGAGTTGGTTTTCTTCTCCCGCCTTATTGGTCCCAGGGATTGAACTCAGGTCGTCAGGCTTTGTGGCGAGCGACTTTACCCACATGTTCTCAGCCACACTGTTGGCCCGCATGTTTTCTGTTATGATACATGGTGGCTACAGAAAAGCATAAAGCCACATTAGTACAGCTTGAGGAATAAATATAAGGAACTATCTGTGTACGGAGCTCCCCAAACAAGAACATCATTGGCGTCCAAGCTCTCCATAGCTCACTCTCCTTGATACAGAAACTTCTCTTCTTTAATGCACCATCACTTTTGTGATTATTTGTTTTGTTTTCCAAAATTAACCGTTCTTGTATACATCTCTAAGCAGAATATTTTAATTTTATCTTGTTTGTGATCTTAAATGAATGAAATGATATAATCTCTTTACAAGATGTTTTTGTACCTTGTTTTACTCTGTCATAGTGAGGTTCATTCTTACTATAGCTCGGTTTGGTATCAGAGTATTCTACAATATTTAGAGACCATAACTTTTTTGTTAATGTCTCTGTTAATGACTGTTTTCCAATATTGTGCTATGATGAACAGTGCTATTTTGAATTTTATGTTTTTCAAATATTTTTGGTGTGTTTGGTAAAATACGCATGGCATTGGATTGCCATTTTAAATTATTATGTGTCTGGTTGTGTGGTATTAGGAAGATTCACATTATTGTACAACTTCATTAGACCAGTAGCTTATGAAAATGGTAGTTGGTCTATTTTTATTATGATCTTATTTGTCATCTGTTTAAAAGAGAAAAAAGTGTTACCTGTCTTTTTTAAAGACGAATGAAAGCCTCTGGAAATAGTGTATACTTCATCACATAGTATAATTCCTGATTGTATAGAGCCATTATATCCATCTCCTCTTTAAATGGTAGTTTTCATTTAAAATGCTTTGTTTTCAAGAATTTAAAAATGGGGTGTTTTCAGCCTGGTCTACAAGAGCTAGTTCCAGGACAGGCTTCAAAGCTACAGAGAAACGCTGTCTCGAAAAAAGGGGGGGGGGGTGTTTTATTTTATTTATTTATTTTTGAGGCAGAGTCTTATGTGACCCATCCCTTAAAATAAACTTCTTTTTTGGATTTTTGAGATTGGGTTGCTATTTAGCCCTGGCTGTCACAGAATTCTCTTTGTAGACCAGGCTGGCCTCGAACTCACAGTGATCTGCTTGCCTCTATCTTCCAAGTGCTGAGATTAAAAATGTGTACTACTATGTCCAGCTTAGAACAAACTTCTTTAGAGCAAATCTTTTAAATTATTTATGTATATTTAGTGTAAACCCCAAACTGTAATGAAACATACTGATTGTTGTACAGAATTTCAGTGGTTTCCCAGGCTGTTTTTCCCCCTGTGATTATTCTAAAGCACTTTTTGTATTTGTAAATATGAGAATTCTGTATACTTTTATAAGGGTAGTAGAAACTAACTGAAGTTTAGTGTCTTAGGTGCTATTTATAGAACAGGCGAGCTCCCTGGAGGTGAATGCTACATGAAGCTATGGTGTTTTCTTTCACTAGATGATACTCCACATCAAACTAACTCCTCCAAGGAGGTCCCGTCTTCAGCTGTTTTGAGGAGCCTTCAGGTGAACGTGGGCCCAGACGGAGAAGAGACAAGGGCTCAGACTGTACAGAAGTCCCCAGAATTTCTGTCCACTCCAGAGTCGCCTAACTTGTTGCAAGATTTACAGCCAAGTGATAGCACTTCTTTTATTCTTCTTAACCTAACAAGAGCAGGTGCGTTTTACTCTTTTCTGAGCTCTACTCAGTTTTCAGGGGAAAGAGTTAGAGGTGAGCCAGTATTTAATACTCATAAGATGCAAAGAATCTTTATTATTTGATTAGAGAGTTGGTGTGCCACTACATCCTGCAACAGAAACATTTACTTGTTTGGAAAATTAATGTGGCGCCCTTGACCTGTCAAGATAGTGAGAGCAAGAACAGGCTTGGGGGAGGATGCTTAGTTCCAAATGAGTTGGTTGGTGTTTTGATATTGGAGGCACATTGAGGAGGGAGTACCTTTAGAGAGATAAAAATAAGAATCCAGAGTTCTTGAGAGGTTTGGGATAAGTAGGCAGCTGGGCTGCTCATCACATTCAGAAAATGTGAAACGTGGATCATGATTCTTTGATTCTAGAGATATTTGAAGCATATATAGAAAAAAGGTAAGTCTAGGACCCTGGGTAAGGGAACATTTAAGAGGACAACAGAATAACAAGGTGAACTGGGAGAAAATAGTGGATGGGAAACCAAAGGAGGAAAATATTTTAGAAAGAAAGGATACTAAATGATTCCAAATACTATAGGATGGACTAGCGAGATTAAATTTCTATCTGGTGACCTTTGCAAAAATTATTACTGGAAGATAGATGTGAGGAGAGAATGGAGTGTGACTGAGTGGAAATGCAAGTTAGAAGGGGAGTTGTTTTGAAGATTATCACACACTTCATGTTGAGACAGGGCAACATGTCTCAAACAAATCCAATAATAAAGTTGTTGGGCAGTGGTGGTGCACACCTTTAATCCCAGCACTTGGGAGGCAGGGGCGGGAAGACCTCTGTGAGTTCAAGGCCAGCCTAGCCTATATAGTGATAGCCAAGGGCTCTTAACTGCTGAGCCATCTTTCCTGCCCTAATGAAGGAGAATTTAACTGACGTATACAGGAGAGAAGACTGAGCATGGATTGGAAAATTTCAAATGGCCTAGTTGCAGGAAAGAACATTATGTCTCTGAAACAAGAGGAGGCAGAGTTAACAAGTGTGTGGGCTGAATGGAAAAATGATATCTTTATTATTTATAAGAACAGAAACTTGAAGTGAAAAGGATCTAGAATGATTTTTTTCCAGGACACAAAGTCCCTGTGCCAGGGCTACTAAAAGGATGTTGGCTAACCTCCCTGTATTATTGTCTTTCTTTCAGGTCTGGGCTCTTCAACTGAGCACTTCGTGTTTGTACAGGACGAGACAGAGGATTCAGGGAATGACTTCCTCTCTGGTGAGAGCACAGACAGCAGTATTCCATGGTTCCTCCGGGTCCAGGAGTTGGCCCATGACAGTCTGATTGCTGCTACTCGTGCACAGCTGGCAAAGAATGCAAAAACCAGCAGCAATGGTGAGACTCCTGTGGCATTTCCTTTCTGCTTTTCCATGCAGAGGTTTGGGTGGTGCAATAGCTAGATTTTGAATTGTGTGTAATCAAATTATTTTATTGATAAGAATGGAAGCCTAAAAATAAGTTGTCCTATTTTATAAAATAACTTGGCTTTGTCTGCCAAACCAGCTAAACTTATGTTTTGAGTTTCCAACTTTGGAGGAATGTACAGAGTATTTTTTAGAGAACAGCTAGGGACCTGGGAATGGTGGCACAGAACTTTAGTCCCAGCATTCATGAGGCTGATGCAGAAGGATTTTCAAGGCCCACATAGCCATAAACTTTTTATATCTAGAGCTCAAAGAAGTTAAAATAGTTTTATCAGTTAGTAAAAATACAACTATAAAGTTAATGTTGTCACTGTTTTGCTAAAACTATATTGCTGGTTCATGGCAGTTTTGTTGATTAGCTGATTGCTTTGTGCTAGTTATAGTATCTCTAAAAAATGTTTTTATGTGTGTACACATATATGCATATGGAGGTAAAGTACCTCCCCACTGCTAGGATTATACCACACATAATTTTTACATTTTCTAAGGGTTCTGGCCCCCTTACTTGTGTGACATGCATGCACTTCATGCTTATGTGACAAGCACACACTTCATGCTTATGTGACAAGCACTTCTCCCACTGAGCTGTTTTCTCAGTCTGTGGTATTTCTTTTCAGCTTGCATGCCTGTTCAGCTTCATGTGTGCTGCTGGTCATTTTGGAGTGCTTTCCCCAAATCATCAGTATCACCTGACAGCTTAGCAGTGCAACTGTCTTGGGGTTGAGACACGGCTTAGCAGTTAAGAGTGATTTCTCCTCTTCCAAAGGAACTGTGTTTGGTTCCTAGCATCCATATCAGGTGGATCATAACCTGTAACTCCAGTTCCAGAGGATCCCACACACTCCATGGGCACTGTACATACATGCAGACATACATGTTACCTTTAAGAATCATGGATGGGTACATTCAGAACATCCTATTACCAATCAAGCCTTCATTTACATAATATACCATTAATTTTAAGTTTTTTTCGATTAGTTCTCTTTCTTTGTATTCTTTCTGTATATTCATTAGCTTGTGGTAATTAAGTTATTACCACATGTGTCAGTATTATCAAGAGCCAAACCGAGATTAAACACAGAGTTGTCGGTACACAGCTGTTTGTTTGGAGCTTTGCTGATAATCAGGAATATATTTATGACTATTTTAATTGCTGATAATATAGAAACAAAAAGCTAAATAATATCTCAGAGAGCTTGGGGATTCCACAGATAATTTCAGAGTATTAACATTTTTAAAAACAATAGCTCCTGCACAGAAAATTCTATTTTTTTTGTTCATCTTCAAATAATTACTTTATTTGTGACTATCATAGTACATTATAGTGCCCTTTATTTATTCTAATCATTTGAGGGGGGGTTTCCCTGAGATGGTTTTTCTAATCCTTAGATTCTGAAACCTTCACCATTCTACTCAGGTTTAGGAAATAGTGCCATGTTTGCCAATGAGAAGCAGTGCAGGCCTGGGGTCCAGATGTGATGACATCATTTACTGATTTCTTGCCTTGTATGGTTTTAATTTTCTCATGTTTAAAGCATAAAGGTCAATATTTTAACCTGTTTGAGCCATTGCAGAGACTTAATAATTAGGTATAAGCTTTCAATCTAAAGTATTCTATGAATGTTTTTCTTACTCAAAAACCAAAAAGGGGATGGGGTGAGGTGGCACATATCTTTAATTACAACACTTGGGAAGCAAGGGCCGGCAGATCCCCGTGAGTTCGAGGGCACCTGGTCTATCTAGTGAGTTCCAGACCACCATAGCTACATAGTGAGACCCCATCTCAAAAATAAACAATAAATAAATAAATAAATAAATAAAGTTACCTTACAGTCTTAACAAGTGTCTTATATTTCTGAATACAAAGTAAACACACATAAGACAAAAAATACAGTTCTATTTTGTGTGTGTGTGTGTGTGTGCTCCCGCGCACACCCCTTTTAGGGATTAGAGGACAACTTTGTGGGGGTTGGGCCTCTCCTACCATGTGAGTCCTAGAAATAAAATGAAGATCTTTTTTTGGTTTTGTTTTTTTGTTTGTTTTCTGAGACAAGGTTTCTCTGTAGTTTTAGGGGCCTGTCCTGGAACTAGCTCTTGTAGACCAGGCTGGCTTCGAACTCACAGAGATTCACCTGCCTCTGCCTCCCGAGTGCTAGGATTAAAGGCATGCACCACCTCCCCCACCCCCGCCACCCCGGCTTAAAACAAAGATCTTAAAGTTTGGCAGCAGGAACCATTACCCACTGAGTCATCTTGCTGACCCTTGTTTTCTTAATGTATGTAGAAATTTGAACGTACAAAGCTTTAGTTGTTTCCTGGTGCCAATCTCTAGGTTAGCACAGGGTTTTAATAAACCTTTCATTTGAAACTGATTAACTGGATCTCTGAGGTTAATGGGAAATTTTATGTTATATATGCTTTAGTTCTGGTTTAACTTTGTTTATTAAATGTATTTTAACAAATAGGGAGCGGTATTATGAAGGAAAATGTTAATGTTAGCCAGCAGGACGCATCTGAAATTATGTCCTGATAAATGTCCTAGAACAATTAGTTTTATTACTGTTAACTTGGTAAAATGTAGCAAGGAGAGTATAGCAATAGAAGAAAAGATTGCTTGATGGGACAGAAACTGCTTTTGATCAGTAGGGACTGTGATGTAATAAAGCACATCGCATCCTGCTGTTTGCTTTTCAGAGGGAAATTTGGAACTGCAAATCCCATTCCTAAGTTGTATGTAATACAGAGAAACTCGGTGTACTCAGGGCAGAATAAATGACTGTGAGTGTTTTATCCTCTGTTGTGGAACAACATTTTGAAGGAGGGAAGGAAAAGGAGCACCACCTGCCGATATAGAACTAGCATACATTTGGAATGGACTGACTTTGTGATTTTAATGGAGCCATTGTTTGTTCTTCTCTTTGTCTCTGTTTATGGAACAGCTGCCTATAGATGTTCTCGCTGTTAAAAAAGTTTGGTTGAAATTTTTAAAACTCACCTGTGGTTTTGCATTTTTAAACATTGGATAACTAAAGATGCATGCGTAAGAGGAAATTGGAAGGTTGTTCTTACCCTTCAAGTGGTATGAAATTAATAAGTTGAATGAAAAGATGTAAATCTTAGGAGTGGCATCTGTGACAAAAATCTGCTGTAAACTCAGCAGAACAGTTTTGTCTTAAAATACAGCATTTTAATTATTTGTTTGTTTGTTTTTTGAGACAGGGATTCTCTGCGTAGCACTGGCCGTCCAGAATGTAGACCAGGCTGGCCTCGAACTCACAGAGATCCTCCTGTCTCTGCCTCCTGATGGGATCAAAAGCATGCACCACCATGGCTGGCTAAAATACAGGATTTTGTTATTAGAACTTCAGTTACCTCTGTAGCTTCCACTCTGGGTGTTACTTCTCTACCAACTGTTTTACAAAATGGTGGGGGAGGGGCTTGTTTGGTGGAGTAGGGTTCTTTTTGGGACTACTCTATCAAGGGTGGCCTTGAATCCTGATTTTACTAAAAGCTGAGATTACAGGTTATACCATCTTGTCTGGCTCCTACAGAATAGTTTTAAATTTGCTTTATGAAGCCATATTTGGTATTTTTATATTTGTCAGAAACTTGTTAAAAAAACATGATAACTGTGGGTAATTCTCTGGATGGGAATACAGAGTACTCTTGTGCCTATATATACATAGGAAACACAGGCAGATATCTGTTTAATGATCACTTGGGATGAAATGTAGGAGTTTTATTGTTTGAATCTAAGGAGGATTCTTCCCTGAATTATAAATATGTTGCTTGTTACAGGAGAAAATGCCCACCTTGGTTCTGGCGACGGGCAGCCCAAAGATTCTGGGCCTCTTCCTCCAGTGGAAAAGAAGCTCAGGTGCACAGTTGAAGGCTGTGACCGGACGTTTGTGTGGCCGGCTCATTTCAAATACCACCTTAAAACTCATCGGTGAGCCAATCATAAGAGGAACTTGTCCCTGAACAGACAAACTCCAGGAAAGCAGGGACTCCAGTTATCCTGGCTAAGACTGTCTTTCTTAGTCAGGTGTGATGATAGATGTACACCTATAATCTCGGCCTTTAGAAGGCTGGCAAGTTTGAGACAAGTCTGGGCTATAGAAAAAAGACAAGATCTCTGGTTCTTATTTGTTTTTAGATGGAATCTTATGCTGCCCAAGTTGCTGCAAATTCTTTGAACTTAAATGATCTTTCTACTTCAGCCTCCCAAGTGTTGGGTTTACAGCCATGCCAAGAAGCCTCCTGTTTGGTTTTTGTTTTTGTTGTTCTGGAATCTAAACCAGAGCTTTATAATTTGCTAAAAATATACTGTCCCCCGAGCTGTAGTCCCAGTCCCAACCCCCCCCCTTTTTTTTAAAGATTTATTTATTTATTATGTATACAACATTCTGCCTCCATGTACGCCCTCGTGCCAGAAGAGGCACCAGATTTCATTACAGATGGTTGTGAGCCACCATGTGGTTGCTGGGAATTGAACTCAGGACCTCTGGAAGAGCAGTCAGTGCTCTTAACCACTGAGCCATCTCTCCAGTCCCCCAAACCCCCTTTTTAAAATCAAGTTCTCACTGTTTGCTCAGGCTGGCTTTGAACTCAAGATCCTCCTTCCTTACACTACCGCATGCCGAGATAAGTGTGTATCACCATACCTGGTTGAGGGGTCTTGTATGTTAATAGAATTGTGTTGTCTGATTTACTTATTTTATTTGAGGCATGTGACCTGGGCAGGCCTCAAACCAAAAAAGGATGGCTTTCCCAGGCGGTGGCGGTACACCCCTTTAATCCCAGCACTCGGGAGGGGGGGACAGGCCAGCCTGGTCTATAGAGTGAGTTCCAGGACATCCAAGGCTGTTGAAAACAGATTAACAAACAAAACAAAAAAAGAAAAAGAAAAGAATGTCTTTGAATTCCTGATTCTTCTGCCTCCACCTCTCATTACCTCATTCTTTATAAATATTTCAGTAAGACATTTGGCATCTACATATCTTAAAGAGCAAAAATTCCAAGTCTCAGGGCTAGAGAGATGCCTCAGATGTTAAGAGTTATTTTAATATATCCAAGTTTGGGGTCTCTTGTGTGCCTTGAGAATAAGTAGAAATGTTGGCTTGTCACCACCAGCACAGTGTTTTCAGGTCTTTTTGCTCACTATGACTCTGCAGAAACGAGCGCCCCTTCATCTGCCCTGCAGAAGGCTGCGGGAAAAGCTTCTATGTGCTGCAGAGGCTGAAGGTGCACATGAGGACACACAACGGGGAGAAACCCTTCATGTGCCATGAGTCTGGGTGTGGTAAGCAGTTCACCACAGCTGGGAACTTGAAGAACCACCGCCGCATCCACACAGGTGTGCAGCCCTGTATCCCTTTATCGCTCTCTGTGGCGGTGCTCTTACTTGCTGCTGCTTCTACTTAGGAAAGCAATATGAAAGTAGAAATGGAGGTGCAGTGTTGAAGAAAGATTCCCTTCGTTTCAGTGTCTCGTGTGTTCTGCTCATTCATTGTCAGTACAATGGATGTGTCCAACCTCATCTGTGTTTGAGGAATGGACAGTGTTGATTCTGTCTCCATAAGCCTGACTTGTAGGAAGAAGGGTAAGGCTGTCCTGGATAGCAGTGACACCAGGAGATAATGAACAAGTCAGCTTGTTTTCCAGTCTCTCTGAACTTTGTATGGTTGCATTTATTGAGCCGTACAAATGTTACAGAGCATTAAATATGAGCCAAGATACAACCCCTGAACTTGGGGTGCTTGCTTTCTTGTTAGAGCTCGCAATGTGAGAAATAGAATAAATGTCAGAATGGATGGAGCCAAGTAAAGATTCCTTGCTTCTTAGTCTGAGATACTACAGATGCCTTTGGAGCCTTTGTCAGAAATGTGTTTTGCAAAACCTAATCACTGAATTTAGTACCTCTTCCCGCTTTTGTGCTACTCCTTGTCCCCGCGCAAATGACAGGAAGGTGTGTTTTAAAGGCATTTACAAAGTACAGTCCAGCTCAAACAACAATTGTTCTAGATTAGATTCCGTCCAAATGGCATAACCTTTCAGTATGTTAGGGAATGAATAATTCTCTTTTTAGTGTTCTTGAAATATTAATTGGTACTTATCCCAAGGAAGAAATTTGAATAAAAAAATTGGAAACTGTCTGGTGGTCTGTATTCCAGAACATTGAGAGACAACATTTGCTGCATACCCTGTTGACGTTACATAGCATAAGTTAAAGAAAGCAGAACACAATGATGGTCAGTTCTCAGAAGGCTGAGCCTGTTTCTCGTTGTCTGCCTGTAGGAGAGAAACCTTTCCTGTGTGAAGCCCAGGGATGTGGCCGTTCCTTTGCAGAGTATTCCAGCCTCCGGAAGCACCTGGTAGTTCACTCAGGTAGTAGAGCCTGTTCTGTTCATAGACTGCGAACAGTAAGAGATGAGGGTGGGAAGGCGGTGCGCAGTGTTCTAAGATGATAAAGATCGAGACTGAGAGATTAAGGCCCTTAATAATTATATTGAAAGGATTTTCTCCTCAGTTAGCTCTTCTGATCTCTTCAGATTTACATTTGCATTAGGCAGACCCTTTTCTGAGATCTGTGTTGGATCTTTTATATGTCATATTGATACGGATCCTGTATTGACATCTTCATTCCTCTGGGGTAGGATTCCAAAATCCCGAGCGCGGTGGGAAGGCTGATGTTAGTGGCAGCGAGACCTGTGGTGCTCATGTTCTCTGAGGAGGCATGGCTGCCCTGCTCAGTCTCCATTCTAATACACTGCCCAGTAGGGCTTCTTGGGAGCTAGCAATGGAGAAGAAAAGACCTACTGACCTGTTTTTTGCCTTGTATTATTAAATTCCATGTGATTCTGTCAGCTTGTTCATTCTATGCAGATGACCTAATCTCCCCTGATAAAAATGTCATTCAAACTTTCTGAAAACATTCTTTAGCAGCCATACTTTGTAAACTTAATGGAAAAATCTGAAGTGGTGTTTGTCTCCCTTCCCTTCTTTCCCATCTTCCCAACCAGAAATAAGCACTGAGGAAGTGGAGGCAAGAAGACTTGATTTTGATGACTACATCAAAGCACTTCAGTGGGCGTTAGGGATGTGGAGATGTATAGTCAGTCAGGGATGAGACTGTCATAGTTGAGATCTCAGTGCTGGAGATGTTTGGTTTTTTGTTTTGTTGAGACAAGTCTGTGTAGCACACACAGGATGATCTAGAACCTCTGACCATCTTGCCTCCACCTCCCAGGTGTGGGCTTTCTGCATACTAAGCAAATACATTACTAAATGAGCTGTCTGCAGCTCCTGGGCTGCTTTAATAGGATAACAAGTTCCAAGTCAAAGTGGCAGACTGATAGCTTGTGGGCCAGATGTGGATTTCACATGTGTATTGCTAGTGCTGTGTTGTACTGGTTATGTAAACTATGTCAGATGTACAGCCAGATATATACAAGAATATAAAAAGGTGTTTTCTTATGCCTTTTAAATTTAAAAATAACTTATTGCTTTTATCTTATATTCAGTTCATGTTCTGTCCAGTTGTCTCCAAAATTACTTCAATTGATTTATCTTTAAATTTTTATTTTATTTATTTATTTATTTTGTTTTTTTGAGACAGGGTTTCTCTGTAGCTTTGGAGGCTGTCCTGGAATAGCTCTTATAGACCAGGCTGGCCTCGAACTCACAGAGATCCACCTGCCTCTGCCTCCCGAGTGCTGAGTGCTGGGATTAAAGAAAGGCATGCACCACCACTGCCCGACCCTAAAGTCTTATTTTTAGAAAACCAAACAGCTATGAAAGATTGTATGCCAAAGAGCAGCCTTCAGTCTTCTGTCTACTTGATTGCCATCAGAATTTTATACTGTCTTTTGGGCTGTCCTATCTTAACATAGTGCTTTTTGCAGGAGAGAAACCTCATCAATGCCAAGTCTGTGGGAAGACCTTTTCTCAGAGTGGGAGCAGAAATGTCCACATGAAAAAGCATCACTTGCAGCTAGGAACAACTGGGAGTCAAGAACAGGAACAAACTGGTGAGGAGAAGGGTCTTGGTGCAGAACTGTAAAGCAGCCAGGCCATTGGCCTGCTTGGCTACTTGGAAATCTAGCTAGGTTTAGGGTAGAGAGATTTGGTTTCATTTGATGGACTTATAGTTTATAACAGTTGTACAGTATAATCATCTGTAAGCTTTCAAAACATATATTTTTCTTGTTCATGTTCCTCCCTTAACAATAAAGGAACTTGAAAAATGAGATGAGTAGTAAATCTCAGAACACATACTATTAAAAGTTCCACTAAGGAGCTGCTTTGCGTGCAGCTCAGTAGTAGAATGCTTGCTTAACATGTGTAAGACTGAGTTTAAACACCACAAAAAGGTGTGTGTGTGTGAACACACATGTGAACACACATGCGTGCGCAGACACTCACACACACACACAAATAAATAACAATTTCTCCAATTGTTCACAGCTGTAGATCCACTTGGAAAGCTGAGGTGGGAGGACAATCTGGACAGGATAGTGAGAGCCCTGTTTTAGGAAACCAACAAAAAAGCCAGGAATGGTAGCGCATGCCTATAATCCAGGCACCTGAAAGGTAGAGGTGGGAGATCAGCAGTTCAAGGCCAACCTCAACAATGTAGCAAGTTTGAGGCCAGCCTGGGCTACTTGAGACTCTGTTTTCAGAAAACAAAAAACAGCACTAAATGTCCCCTAACGAGGTTGAGGTCAGCCAGATGGTCTGTGATTCAGCTTTTAAAGAGCACAGACATTAAAGATTTAACATTTTTTATTTAATAGTTTGGCAGCCTTTACCATACTTTAAAATTAATAGAACCCCTTTTTCTTTTCCATGTCTTTCTTTAAAAAATTCCAAATACTCGACTTGGGAGGCAGAAGCAGATGGATCTCTGTGAGGCCAAACTCACAGAGATCTACAAGAGCTAGTTCCAGGTCAGGCTCCAAAGCTACAGAGAAACCCGGTCTCGAAAAACCAAAAAAAAAAAAAAAAAATTCCAAGTTCTCCTTTCAAGGGATGTCCTTATTTCGCTCTCTGTTATATGCTGATCTTCAGATGGTGGTCACATGAACAGATAATTATCCCTAAGGATTGGCTTCCTCAGTAGGTTTATTCTTGTTATCTGAAAGTGAGTGAAATGGGAGAAGCATCCAAGACAAAAGCTTGCAGTTCTGAAAGAGGTAGCCAGCTTCTCTTTGTGAAGAGAGATGAGGACCAGGCACAGCCTTGACTGCTGTATGTCTCTCACATCCTGTTCTCTGTACAGCTGAGCCACTAATGGGCAGTAGTTTGCTTGAAGAAGCTTCAGTACCCAGTAAAAACCTGGTGTCTATGAATTCCCAGTCCAGCCTTGGTGGAGAGTCCTTGAGTCTACCAAATACCAATTCTATTCTTGGAGTTGATGATGGTAAGACTTCTAGTTCTTTATGTGGGGAAACAAGTTGTAGCTCGGGGCTAAGGAGTAGAGTATCTCCAAAATAGAGGAGATTATTATTATTAATATTATTTCTTGTATGATGATGTGATTGAATAGTATTTGAATTTATTCTCTGGGGTGAATAAATGAACCTTTTCTCTTTTAATGATTAAATATGATGTTAACAGAAGAATAAAGAAAAAATTTTTTAAATTATCTGTAATCCTTAGCATTCTAGCCCAACTGTGTCTGTCTTTCCTGTTGCAGTTATGGAAGAGCTTAACTTTTAAAACATTTAAACAGAGCATAACCAGGTTTTACAGAGGAGATACAAAGCAATTTCTCCATACCTTCAAAAGCCATATCTTCTGGAGAAAAGAAAGGGCTCTCTAGGAAACAGTTGCTCCTCTGGTATAGAAATTTCACCCAGCTTACACAGGCCAGGCCCTCTTCTCTGAAACACTTACCAGGTGAGGTCAGCATGCATTTATTCAGTGCCTACTGTGTGCCCGGCACCATGGGAAAGACAAAAGTAGGAGGTAGGGACCATAAGCTGTAGTTGAGAAGTTGAAACAGCATAAATGTATGAAACATCATTGAGAAATAGATGAAATTACATCAGCAAACATTCATTATGCAATACAGTCTGGAAGGAAGAGCAATCCAGGCTACAAAACCTCCCAAAGAAGAAGAAAAAGAAAAAAAAACCTTGTAGTTTGCTTGAGGGCTAAGTGGTTTATCTGTAATACTATTTCCAAAATTTTCATGGTGATCCCCTGATGAATGTCTACTAAGTATGAGACCCTGTGTTTAGTCACTTCTTCCTTCACAGTCTGAGGTTTTTGTAACTTCAGTGTGGAGCTTACAAGTCCCAAAATGTGCTCCCCCGTTCCACCCGGTCCCTGAGCAGCACTGGTGCTGACCACATCAGAAGACGGAAGTGGCATGGAGAGCTTTGCTGGCCTTGAAGAGCAAAGTCAAGGGAAGGGACAGAGTGTGAATTCTGAAGCCAGGATTAGCTCATGTTCTTGATGTGAACATACTGCTCAGAACATCAGTATTGACGGCCGCAAGGGCTGGTTCTCATGCTCTGGTCTGCCTGCCTGTGCAGTGTTTGCCCTATTTCATATAGTTTTAATCCAGGTAACAGTCTGAAAAACATATTATTCTAAATTGTTACATTGAAAAATTGTCATTCTTATATCCAAGTTTCTTTAACTTCCCACCCTTCTTTTGTAATACTTTCTAAATCCACTAACAATGAAAAAGTGAAAATTTGGGGTTGAATTTTCCAGGGAACAGAGTTAGCGTTTGTAATGGTTGGCTTGATGAAGCAGTGGGTGTGCACGTGGATCACTATTCGTTGATGATAATTTCCTCTTGTTTCACAGAGGTGCTTACTGAAGGATCCTCACGTCCCCTGTCCTCCGTGACTGATGTGACACATCACTTGGTGGCCATGCAGTCGGGGAGGCAGTCCTATGAAGTCTCTGTCTTAACTGCGGTAAATCCACAGGAGGTAAAGCCATCTCTCTCCTGCCCTTACTTTGTTTCTGTGGTGACTTAAATGGACAGTGATTGAGAATCTAGTTTACTGGATCTAAAATTTGCTAACCTCCACTTCCTGTAACTTTGACTTATTTTCCTTTAAGCATTAGTCCAGTGTTACTGCAGTCTGTTGTTTTGTGACTTGGGAGATTGAGCTGACACTGTTGAGGTCTAAGCACTCTCAAATATACTTTTTAAAGTTTATTTTTAACTATTAGTACTCTGTGTCACGCATGCACATGATTGCAGATATCCATGGAGGTCAATAAAGAGGATATCAGGGCAGTGGTGACACATACTTTAATTCCAGTATTCAGGAGGCAGAGGTAGGCAGATCTCTGGAAGTTCAAGGCCAACCTGTTCTACAAAGCAAGTCCCAAAACAGAACACCACAAGTGTCTGGGCAGATGGCTCAGTTGATAAAGTACCTGTGATGCGAGCATGAGGACTTGAATTCAGATCCCTAGCACCCATGTTAAAGCCAGATGTGGGCGATAGAGATCTGTAATGCTGTGCTAGGGAGTAGCCAGTCTATGAAATTAATTTTTGCGTCCAGATTCAATGAGAGACCATGTCTCAAGAAATGGGGAGAAGGGCCAGCAAGATAACTGAATCTGTAAAGATGCTTGCCACCAAGCTTAATGATCTGAATTGGATTCCTGAAAACCCATATAATGGAGAGAGCTGACTCCCATGACATATTTGTGTGGTTTTATAAGGCTGTGCATACAAAATAATGTAGAAAAGGTGTTTTAAAAGTTGAAAACATTAGCAAAGGTGTGGGTGAGCGAGCCTGTATGTTGTGGGCATGAGAGAGCTGTCCCCATTACTCATCTGTCATGTGACAGCATAGGCAGCAGAGAGATGCTCTACCACTTCACATCAATGCCTGAGGCAGGTGGGAGAGCTGACCCTAAGGGCATTAGAGTAGGAGGGCTGTCCCTGACCCTCATTAGCTGCAGCATTTGGGAGAGTAGCCCCTATGCCAGAGAGCTTGTGGGCTAACCAAACCTGCAACTACCCAGGGCCCCCCCCCCCCCGCGCCCCAACATCCATCCCATCTGTGATCTGCTAGAGCACGTGAAGGGACTGGTCCCTCATACCCAAAGGTGCAGGATCTCCACAACAGGAAAACCAAGAGAAGTGTTCCAGTGAGGGCCCAGCATCAATAGTGTAGCAGAACCCAGAGGCCTGGAAACAGACCAGTAACTCTGCAATGAGCACTTGCAAATAAAGATGTGTGGATAAAAGGATTTACTGCATGACTGACTCACTGTGTCACACCACAGTTTCCATGATGAGATTGATTTTTTCTTCTTTTTTTTTCTTTATCTTTTCTTTCTCTTAAATCTTATTTTGTTCGGGGAGGTTGCAAGGGCAGATACAAAGGGACGGGGAAAGGAATGGGATGGAGGTGCATGATGTGAAAAACACAAAGAATAAATTAAAAGGAAAGATTAAAAAAATGAAAAAACAATGGTGGAGAAGCAATAGAAAAAGGCAACATTAACTTGTGGTCTCCACACTTGTACATACATGTGCACACAGACATAACAAAATACACACTTACACACACTATACACACCACACATGAGAAAAAAATATGCAGAAGTGGCTCAGTGGATAAAGCTCTTGCCAGACAAACTTAGTCGTCATTCAGATCCCAAGCACCAATGGCAATACTGGGTAGCCGTGTCAGGCACTTGTCAGTCCCAGTATTTCCTGGGACAAGGTGGCTAACTAACTAGAATCGGCAAGCTCTGGGTTCACTGAGAGTCCCTGACTGATAAATAAAATGGAGAGTGATCAAGGAAGATACTGGCCATCAATCTTAGGCCTCCACACTCATATGTTCCTGTATATATTCAAACACGCGTATACATACCATCTTAAAAATGCGATAGGTGGTAATAGACACTCTAAAAATGGGGAAATTAAGCTGATATCATGAAAAGAAGAGAGGGTTGGGTTTCATAGAAGAGTAAGGTCAATTGGGGTTAGAGTATGATCAGAATATATTACTTACATGATAATAATCCATGCAAATATTTTTTGGTTTTGGTATAAGGTTTCTCTGTAACAGCTCTGGCTGTCCTGGAACTCTGAATTGTAGACTAAGGCTGGCCTTGAACTCACAGAGCTCCGCCTGCCTCTGCCTCCCAAGTGCTGGGATTACAGGCATGCATCACTATCATAAAACAGTTCTTTATACCAGGCATGTTGACATGTGTCTATTATCCCACCACTGAGAAACCAGAAGAATTATGTGTTAGAAGGCAATCTAGACTGCTGAGTGAGTTCCAGGATATCCTCCTGGGCTACAGAGTGAGCCCTTCTCTCAAAAAGGGAGGGGGGCAAAATTGGGCCAGTGTGGTAGAACATACCCTTTAATACAAGCATTTGGGAGGCAGAGACAGGCAGATTTCTATGAGTTTGGGGCCAGCCTGGTCTACATGATGAATGCTAGGCCAACCAAGGCTACATGATGAGACCCTGCCACAAACAACTACAACAAAACACCTAAGCATAAAAAAAAGGCCAAAAACCTTTATCTGAATCTTTTCCTGTTCAAAAAAAGGTGTCGTTTTCCCACTATGGTCATGAGTCTGGGAGCTAACAGGACAAACCATCTAGCTAAAAGGATCTTGTTCAATTGCTTGTTTGCTGAGACCTATCATCCCAGTCAAGGAGATTTAGATTGACTCTGAGCTCTTCCAACTGTATCATCTTGACTGACCCAGAAAACAGTGAAAACCAATTAGGCCTTGACCTTGTGTCTTGAGAGTGTGTGACCATCACATGTTCATGGCATATGGATAGGCTTTCTGCAGAGATCGCCAGTGTTTTGTTTTACAACCTCTCCTTTTCCCTCTTTCCTTTCAGGATAGCCTTTAATGCCCTAGTAAGCCATTAGAGTATTCAAATAACTCTAAATATTCTAAACATATTAACTCTTGGGTTATCTAGAATGACAGGTTTCTGGGTATTCATGTCAGCATACTGTGTCAGGACTTTGTTTGTTGTTGTAACTTGTTATTTTGTGTTGAACATTCTACTGTTGGTATTATTGGTTCTAAGTTACCTTTTGTAGGTTGCTGTTTTGGAACCTTTCATCTCTGTCTCACGCCACTGCCACTTGTATTTTTGCCTCTCTTCATTTTTCTACTTTGAAATTTATTTTAAATAAATAACTTTAGGAGGGTCTATTGAGAGAGGTGTGGGTATAAAAATCCATGTACCGTTCACCCAACCTGAACAATTATTTTTATTCTACGTGTTTGTTTTGACTACATGTATATCTGTGTATCCCATGCATGCCTGGTTCCCTGAGAGGCCAAAGAAGGCATCAGATCCTTTTGAACTGGAGTTACGGGTGGTTGTGAGCCACCGAGTAGTCACTGGGAACCAAGTTTACTTTTCTGCAAGAGCAGCAAATGCTCTTAATTGCTGAGCCATTTTCCAGTCCCTCCGTAGTTTATACTTCTTTTGTTCTCTTACTGTTTGTGCCAGAATATTTTGAAGCATTATAGACATATCTGTAATTTTTTAAAGTATACTTCTTAAAAGATAAGGATTTAAAATAACTGTCTTTCCATACCCAACAAGTTTAGTAATAATTTGTTGTCCTCTAATATTTAGTTTCTGTTTTTTATCTCCTCAAAACTGTCTTTGGGGGGGCTGGAGAGATGGCTCAGTGGTTAAGAGCATTGCCTGCTCTTCCAAAGGTCTTGAGTTCAATTCCCAGCAACCATATGGTGGCTCACAACCATCTGTAATGAGGTCTGGTGCCCTCTCTGGCCTGCAGGCACACATGTAGGCAGATATTGTATGCATAATAAATGAATAAATATTTAAAAAAAAGAAAAAAAAACTGTCTTTGGTTGTGTACTTGAAACAGAGTCCATATTTTCATTTGGTTAACATATTACTTTGTTTCTCCATTGCTGTGATTTAAACACCAGGACCAAAAGCAAGTTAGGAAGAAAAGGTTTATTACAGCGTATGGATTGGAGTTCTTCATGGAGGAAAGCCAGGGCAGGGACCTAGAATCAGGCAATGAAGCAGAGACCAGGGAGGAATATTGCTTCCTGGCATGCTCTGTTTTCTGGTGGGACTGGGGAAGTAGCTCATTTTTGTCAAGTTATTGCCATACAAGCATGAGTACCTAAATTGGCTCCCAAGAACCCTTGTAAAAAACAGTTTGGCATAGTGACACATGCCTATAATCCCAACATTGGGGAGTTAAAAAAAAAATTCTAGGTTTGTCAGCATGTGCCTTGTAATCCTACACTGGGAAGATAGAGACGGACAATGTGTGAATGCATCAAAACTCATGAGCTTCAGGTAGCAAGAGCCCTTGTCTCAAAAAAACAAGGTAGATGGCATATGGACCTCCTTCATGCACATATGTACGTACACGCACAGATGGAAACTGGTTTCATCAGTTAATATTCAGAAACTGAACAACATAGAGTGGAATATCAGTGGAGGAGTCCTCAGGCCTGTCTCCCTTCACCACAGAAAAGGTTTTAAGCCGACTGAAACCCTGAGTCTCTAATGGGCAGGTCCCTGCTTCAGGACTTGTAACAGAAACAGCTCTCTTCCCTGCTTGTCAGTATTTTGGATTGACTCTGGCTTTACAACAGTTTGGTTCTACCATTATTGATTTCCCTGCGGTGATTATTCCATCACTGACTGGTGGGTATGAACACAATCGTTGAACTTGTAGATTCAGGTTATTTTATTGCCACAGTTAATGTGGCAGCCAGACATGGTGGCACACACCTTTAATCCTAGCACTCAGGAGGCAGGGGTAGGTAGATCTCTGAGTTCAAAACTGGTCTGGTCTATATAGCAAGTTCCAGGACAGCCAGGGCTACACAGAGAAACCCTGTCTCACAAAATAACAACAAAAGCAAGCTTTTGGGAGCTGGAAAGATGGCTCGGTGGTTAAGAGCACTGGCCACTCTTCCAAAGGACCCAGGTTCAATTCCCAGTACCACATTACAGCTCACAACTGTAACTCCAGGGGAGTTCAGCACCCTCATAGAAACATATATACAGGTAAAATACCAGTACATAAGAAATAAAAATAAATCATCTTTAAAAAAAAATTTAAAACGAACTAGAGAGATGGCTCAGAGGTTAAGAGCACTGACTGCCCTTCTGAGGTCCTGAGTTCAATTCTCAGCAACCACATGGTGGCTCACAACCATCTGTAATGAGATCTGGTGCCCTCTCTGGCATGAAGGTATACAGGCAGGAGGAACACTGTATACGCAATAAATAAATCTTTTTTAAAAAATTAAAAACAGATTATAAGTAAGTTCTGCCCATCATCCTTTACTGGATTTATCAGTTCATTCCCCAGATTCCACTCTTAACCCTTTCATTTAGTCTGAGATGTTCTTTTGCTTCTGTAATTCATCTGTAACCTAGTCTATATTTGTTTTCAATTTTATAGTTACTAAATCAAGGAGATTTAACTGAAAGACAGACATGAGTGTGCTGACCTCTGGAGAAGCAGCTCTATCTGACTCCAGAGTGCATGATGGGAACAGATCCAGAAGACTCACATTCTGCCAGAACTAAAATGAATCTGTGAAGGCCAAAGATCTCGCCTTGCTTCTATTCATCATCCCTGGCTGAAAAGAGGGATCCTTCTAAGGGCTTCTCTTCAACCTCCATCTGATCCTGACAGAGTGAGGCAGTGACGAATGGGCTGGATACTGTAGCTGCCTCTCTTTCTACTGCAGTGTAATAATATGCTGGATGACTATTTGCATTGTGACTGTGCAAGTTTTCCTTCGGAGAGTTTTCATCCTAGACCCAGCTATCTTCATATGGTTAAATGATGGCCTGCTTCCAACTATAGAACTTCACCAGGACATTGAGTTTTCAAGATGCCTTGTTGCTTTGAAGAAGGGAGTGATGCCAGTTATGTTGTGACATTCTTCCTTTAGCAACCTGCATAAAAGACTCTCAGCCATTGGGCTGTAAAACATAAATTACTTGAATCTCCCCTTGGCCCAGGCTGAGGTACCTGTACACCTGTACTTGGTCATTTTGTTTTGTTTATGGGACTTAAAGTAGCATGTTATGAGGGTTTTTTTTTTAAGTTAAAAACCACATGATCTAGAGTTTCAGTTTTCCTTTTAAATAAACAAAACAACCAGTCTGTTCTTTGGCTCTTGTTTTAGACCAGTGGTTCTGAACCGTCCTAATGCTGCAGCCCTTTAATACAGTTCCTCCTGTTGTGCTGACCCCAACCATAAAATTTTCTCTGTTGCTACTTCATAACTTTAATTTTGCTACTGTTATGAACTGTAATGTAAATATCTGATGGGATCACGACCCATAGGTTGAGAACTGCTGTTTTAGACAGATGTGTTTTTAGAGAAGAGGTCAAGAAAATAATCCAGTTTCCTCTTTAAGATAGGGCACTGAAAAGAAAAGAGAAAGGGGGCTAGGGATAGGAGTCATCCCTTTAAGGCAGTCAGATCCCTTACGAGTTTGAGACCAGCCTAGTCACATAAGTTCCAGGTAGCCAAGTCTATACAGTGAGACACTGTCTTAAGAAAATAAGCCAGGTGTGGTGGCACCCCAGCATTCAGAGGACAGATTTCTGATTGACATAGGAAATTCCAGGATAGACAAAACTACATGGTAAGAACTTGTCTCCAGAAAGAAAAAGAAGGGAAAAACACACTTTTGTTTAGAGAGATGGTTTAGCAGTTAAGAGTACTTGCTGCTCTTCCAGAGGATGCCTGCACCCACATCAAGGAGCTCACAACACCCTCTGACTCCAGCTCTAAAGGATCTGATGCCCTCTGCTGGCTTCTGTGGGGATCTGCATTCATGCACATACCCCTCACAACACACACACCATAATTTTAAAAATAAGGAGAAACACTACTACCATAAGATAGGGTGCTAGCTTTTAGGGTACTATATAGGTAAAACTGAACTGAGGAGCCTTAGGAAACCAGACACCAGACAAGGTGGTGGTACATGCCTTTAATCCCAGCACTGGGTAGGCAGAGACAGTAGATCTGAGTTTGAGGCTAGCCTGGTCTATGCAAAAAACACTATCTTGAAAAAGAAAACCTGACACCACTATTTAGAACTAGCAAACCTAAGCTGGTGGTGGTGGTGCCCCCCTTTAATGTTAGCACACAGGAGGCAGAGGCAGCTGGATCACTTGAGTTCAAGGCCAGCCTAGAACATAGAGAGTTCCAGGACAATGAGAGCTACCTCAACTTTAAAAAAAAAACAAAAACAAGCAAACAGAACTGGCAAACCTAAATTGCTATTGTCAGAGTATCAGACTCATCAAAAATATGTCTAAGTCTTGAAGAATGGCAGTAATAAATGGTAATTTTTCCAGAAATGGTTAAACATGAGAAATGGGCTTCTATTAGCCTGTTATCTGCCTACAACACAGCTAATTGACAAAAACATCCCGAAGATCACTTATTAGTACAAAATCACAGTGTTCAGAAGTTTTATATAAAATGAATTTTATGCTGTTACAAACATTCAAACAGTGCTGTGTTCTCAAGAACGGCAGAACAGAACTGCTGTTGTGAGTTTGTTATTGGCATGCAGAATTATCCATTAGTATGGAGACTAAGCTCATAGCAATTACTTGTTTTTTTCCAAAATTACCAGTCTTTCTTTGCTTTCTACAGCAGTGATGTTCAATCCAGGACTTTTTTGCCTTCTAGAGGCCATTTGGCAATATCTGGAAACATTTTTGTTGTTAACAACCCAAAGAGGGGTGCTACAGGGCATACAGTAGGTGGAGGCAAGGGGTGCGAAAGACATCCTACAAACAACAAAAACTGACCTGTTCATGTGTATCAGATGCTAGTGGTAGGGCCTGTGCATCAGGTTTCAGATGTAGACTGAGAACTATGTTTTATTACACGCACAGTATTCCTAAAGGTTTGGTTGCCAGAACACCAGGTTTCTGGCTGCTGATGAGAATGTGTATGGTCTGGCAGCCCTGGATCCCTAGTTCCTTATTGCTACCTGTTTTTCTACCTGGATTCCTCTTGCACCTACTCCATATGTGTGGGCTTCTACCTCGTTTTCTGTGCCCACTCCTTGATGTCAAGTGCAAAGCAAGAACCTTGAACCCCACCCTCGACTGTACTTTGATCTCTTCAGCCATTTCTGTTGTTATTTTCTCCCATTCCCTAACAGTAGCCATGGCTCTGAACTCAAGCTCCTCACCTAGTTGGCTGCTTGATGATGAGATGTGGTAATGACGAACGAACGGCTTCAACAAGCAGTTTGGTTGGCTGTTCAAGCCATTGCTCTTCTAGTTCCTCCACGGGTCAGCAGGCTGGTCCAGAGTCATCTAAATCCTGCCATGAATCTTGGATGCTGAGTTTTATAGTATCATGGATGCTAGAAAAACAATATTGTAAATTGAAAGGATGTATAAGGCTTAAGAATGGTCTCAGCATTTTTATTATTTGGTAGAAATAGAATTTTAAAGATAAAAACGGGAATTACTTGGGATTAAAACAAGAAAATTGGAAATAGCAGTAATATTCTGCTTTTCTTTCTTTGCCTTATGACATATTAGTTATGAAAGAGGTGATACCAGGGAGTTAGCTCTAAGGAGAGGTCTGCCAGCCAAGCAGTTTGATCATCTCACAAGTAGAGGTGTGTGAACAAGCTGTTACGGAAGTATAGGACTGTAAACTCAAAATGAGTAACGTCTCTAAATTTTTCCCTAGTGGCGTCATTGGGGATGACAAGTTAGAGCCACAGATGATACCAGGGTCTCAGTACCTAGGAGAATCCTTGGCTTTGGCTTTCTTCTTGCCTTGCACAGCCTGTGTGCCTTGACTCTTGGTTCTCACAAACTCTTCCTCCAGGCCAGCCTGCCTCAGGGTGTCCCGATACCGCTCTTCTGCTTCTTTCCTGGCGAGGGCCTGTGGAGTGGAAGTTGGTTGACTGTAGAAGTCTCATGAATTATGATTCTGAGCTACCTGGGTGATCAGTTTTTATAATATTGCCCCTTCTACCACCCCCACCTTTAGTGCTAGACAAAAGTTGGCACCAAAATCACTTAGAGGCTTATTTTATAGCCATAGTTGGTAAAAAAAAAAAAAAAAGGAGCCCCATGGGGATCTTGTTCAAATGCAAGTTTCCATTTAGAAGGTCTCAGATGAGGTCTACACTTCTGGGAGGTGTCAGCTATTAATTAATTTGAGAGCCACACCTTTGAAAAGCAACCAAACCATCATCAGCAGGAAGACTAACATATTAAAAATCCTTAGCAGAATGAGAATGGTCTGTATATAGTTAGAAGAAGCCTATCTTGTTTTACCTATTCAAGAACAAAACCACAGGCTTTTGGTTCTAGTATGTTGAAAGATCTGTTGTGAAAAGAAAAACGAGCTTTCTTGACAAAAATGGACCTAAGGAGGTCAGCCTAAGTAAATTCTAGCGGGAGGGGTATCAGCAGCAGAAGGAGATCCACCATTACCTAGGAATAGCACACACTTGTATGATGGAGCTCTCACCCACACTGAACCAGAGTCAGACACAGCACTTAACTGCCTGGGGTGGAGTTTAAGGACTCCAGAGCTTCCTAGGGAGATCTCTGGAAAGAGCTTTCTGGGGTGCTTAAAAGCAAGCACCCTGACCCTTAAGGACCTATGTTTGGAGTAAAATGGCATTAATAAAACAAATAGCCTTTGTCACTAACTAATTGCCTGACGTAGCAATGTAAAAGCTGGGTGTGGTGGTGCATTTCTTTAATCTCAGCAAGGGGAGAGTAAGGCAGGAAGGAGGATGGTGCATCCAAGTCCAGCCTGTACTCAATGAGTTACAGGTCAGCTTGCACCATATATAAAAAGAAACCCTGTCTCAAATATCTTTATATTTTAAAAAGTGAAAAGAAATACTTGTTTTGGCTCATAGTTTCGGAAGTCTGAGTCCATGGTCCCTTGGCCCTGTCACTTTGAACGTCTGGCAAGGCTGAACATTATGGAGGTAAAAGCATGTGGCAGAGGCTGAGCATATCATGATGGCCAGGAATCAAAGAGAATGTGTGCCCGCGCCTTTCATCACCTGGGCCCCCAGCTATGAGATCGTGCTGCCCATAGTCAGGGTGGGTCTTCCTTCCTTCCTTCTTTCTGGAAACACTCTCCAAGACACACCCAGAAGTGTACTACTTTAACTTTCTAGGTCATTCAGTACAATCAAATTGAAAAGGTTAACCATGATGGAGTTCAATTTAGAGTATCTGAGTCTTAGGGAACTCTGATACTCACACAATAAAATCTTTTCACAGTTTCTAAGAAGCTTTGACTCAAGGCAGAGAAGAGTTGAGAGTCTCGGTTTACCTTGGTAACTTGTTCGAAAAGATAGGGCCTTGTTTGTATTCTTCTCTTCATTTCTTCCAATTCTTTCTTATATTCCTTTGTTCTTTTACGGTCATTGTTCCTGGAATTAACAAAGTTTTTAGAAGCAACCAATCTTTTTAGTCAGAAAACCCTTCATTCAGATTAAGCAGAGTCATTCCTATGTACACTGAATTCCTACTGCCTACCAAAAATCCTTGACTAACTTTGATGACTCAGTTTACCCTGACTCCAGATCTTGCTATTTCAAAGCCCACGATGTGCTGGAACTTAATCCAGGTGCTCCTCTGAACATGGGGGACACTGACCGGTTCTCTTTAAGTTTTGCTTTGAACACCTCTTCCAGGCTTTTATGGGGATCCATGGCTTTTGCCCGCAGGGTCACTGATTTAGACATGGCTTGACAGTTCTTTTTGTGCATCTCCAGCCACTGAATGCTCTTGTCTGATTTGTCCTTTTTTTCAAGTGACATTCTAAAGGAGAAAGCAAAAGGGAGAGATAACCTGGATACATTTATAAGCAATCTTAGTGACTTCTCTGGAAAGTCAAAGTCAGTTAAGTGGTTTTTTGTTTTGTTTTGTTTTTTTGTTTTGGGTAAGATTTTTGTTTGTTTGTATGAAGGGGTATGTGCTCATGTGAGTGCAGGTGCCTCCAGGGTCCAGAGAGGGCATCAAGTCTGCTGGAGTGACAGGCGGTTGTCAGCTGCCCAGTGTGGGTCTAGGACCCATATTCAAGTCCTCCATAGTACATGCTCTTAACCACGGAGACATCTTCAGCCCCTAGCTGGTGTTTCTACGAATAAGATATTTTCTATAAATTTGCCACAAGTACACTTCCAGAAAGAATGATTCTGGGGATGGGCATGGTGGTGAACACCTGTAATCCTAGTACTTGAGAGCAGAATTGAATTGGATGCTCAGGATATCCCAGCTACTTAGTAGGTTTGATGTCAGCCTGCCCCACGTGGAACCCCATCTCAGCATCTATTCTGGAGTAGAAAACAGTGGTAGATTATGCCTTTCCAGCCCTTTGTGTCCTGTGATTTCCCACTTTGCAGAACACACGAGTTAAAATGGCCTTACATAGCTAAAATTCAGTAGGTCTGCTAGGCTTTTCCCCTGTCTGGAGTAGTACTATAGCTACTGTTTACCAAGCCGCCCACAAGGAGCCAAAGACCATTACATTTCATGTAATTCTCACAAGGCCTTGATGAGGTAGACATGTGAGGCCCCCTTCTGACATGGGGCCGAGAGGCAGAAAGTCTCTTGTTCACAGCTACTCAGAATACAAAGGGAAACCAAAACCAGAACCAGGATGGTGGATTCCCGAGTTTGCCCTTTACCATTGTGCAGGCAGTGACTTAGGTTCCCAGTTCTCTGAGAGGTCAAATCTCCATTTCCATGAAGGTCTGGAAACAGGCCTCCAATGTAGGTAATATGGGTTCAACTTGGAGTACTCAGTTCATGTAATTACTCTAGAGTTCTGTGGTGGGTTCCCCCAAAAGACAAAATAGTCAAGACTCTGCACGTAGACATACAAACAGCAGGAAGAAAGGCACAAAAGCTTAATCTGCTAAAGTGTCTACCCTGCCATTGAACAGCATATATAGTCGCTTCCTAGGCCTTGGGATACTGGTGCGCTTGGCCTGGGGTTAGTAGTCATGAAATCTGAGGAAGGAAGGAATATCACTGCATCCTAAATATATTCTTGCAAGGTGTGACGGGAACATAGGGTCCTGCTATGCCCTGGGAGCCTCTCGGGAGGAACTGGGATGTCAGCCCAGGCTGAACTAGATCATTGCTCCCTGGCTCACTCCAGAGCCCTGGCATAGGACTCCCTTCTGACCAAATGAGAACAGCACCACAGAGGCAGGTCAGCTTAACTGCTAGAAAGTCCACAGACTTGGTCTTCCTTTTTTTTTTTTTTTTTCTTTTGGAAAGAAAAGGTCATTGAGCACACTACAAGGGACAGCAGGCTGGACAAAAACAGTCTCATAGGCAGGCTTTACACATTCTCTGGAAACTTCTGTCTCTCTAGCCTTTGTCTGACTAGTTCCTCCTTATTCCTTAGAGGGGGCAGTTTTCATAGTATGCATGTGGAAGTCAGGGAGAGCTTGCAAGAGTCAATTCTCACATTCTACCACGGGGTCCAGGGATTGAACTGAGGTCGGCAGGCTCACCAGCAAGTGCATTTATCTACTCTGCCACCTAGCTGGCATCATCTTATGTTGAGACAGCAGCTGCTCACTGAATATGGAACTCCCATTTTGGCTAGAATGGATGTCCAACCAGCTGGAGGATTTTCTCTCTCCATCCACTACTGACCCAAAAGAGCAAGTGCTGTAGGCACAGCTGTAGGCACAGACACAGGGTGCTGAGATCTGAACTCGGGTCCTCAGGTTTGCACGGCAAAGGCTTTACCAACTGAGTCATCTCCCAGTCCCTTCCTCCTTATTCTTATTCTTCATGTTTTACCTTAGACATGTGAGACCACTACCCTAGGCACCCCTGTGTTGTCACAGTCCTCTATACTGACTACTCATAAGACAGGGTCATCACCTGAAAAAAAACCCACATTTCAGACTTCATATTACACTCTAAGTTCCCCAGGGTATCTCTGGCTTGACATTGTGTCTTGCACAGACAAAAAACCTCAAAAGGATTTGTTGGATGGGAACACATATTCCCGCCCCATCAGAGAATTCCTCCACCCCATAAGATGTCTCTGATATGGCAGAAGAGGCCCAACAGCACGACCAGCTCTAGTTCTGCCATGGGTCTGCTGTGACCTCCTCACTCACCTGACTGCAGACTCCCTCTTCCTGGTAGCATCTGTGATGTGCACAGGGAGGGTGTTGGCAGAAAAGGAAGCAAGACCACTCAGAGAATGACTCCTTGGCAAGGGGGTAGCAGCTGGCTGAGGGGACTTCTACAAGAAAGGAGAGCTGGTATTGGTGACAACATGAAATTCGTTTCTTCTTTTTAAATAAATAGTTTTTTCTTTTTTTAAAAAAATATTTATTCATTTATTATGCATACAATATCTGCTTACATGTGTGTCTGCAGGCCAGAGAGGGCACCAGATCTCATTACAGGTGGTTGTGAGCCACCATATGGTTGCTGGGAATTGAACTCAAGACCTTTGGAAGAGCAGGCAATGCTCTTAACCACTGAGCCATCTCTCCAGCCCCCGTTTTTTCTTTTTTTAAAAAGATTTATTCATTATATATACAATGTTCTGTCTGCATGTATGCCTGCAGGCCAGAAGAGGGCACGATATCTCAGTACAGATTGTTGTGAGTCACCATATGGTTGCTGGGAATTGAACTCAGGACCTCTAAAAGAGCAGCCAGTGCTCTTATCCGCTGAGCCATCTCTCCAGCCCGTGCAATTAGTTTCTATCTTAAATAGGATTCAGTTTCAGTGAAGGACTAGAAATGAGAATCTTTATTTCCCCCACTCCTGGGGATAAGGAGAACAAGATCTTAGGCCCACACTTGATTACCAATCCTAATGTTTTTGTTTGTTTGTTTCTTTGCTTGTTTGTTATGTTTTTTTTTTCCTGAGACAGGGTTTCTGTGTAGCTTTGGAGCCTGCCCTAAAACTAGCTCTTGTAGACCTGGCTGGCTTTGAACTCAAAGAGATTTGCCCGCCTCTGCCTCCCGAGTGCTGGGATTAAAGACATGAGCCACTACCACCCGGTCCCAATCCTAATGTTTTTATTTATTTATTTATTTCAAGATAAGGTTCCTCTGTAGCTTTGGAGCCTGTCCTGGAACTAGCTCTTGTAGATCTGCCTGCCTCTGCCTCCCGAGTGCACCACCACTGCCTGGCCAAATGTTTTTTATAATTGTGTGATTAGCTTTGTCCATCTAATCCACTCTAGAATCACTGGGAAGAAAATCTCACTATGGAGCTGTCTGGATCAGGTGGTCTGGGGGCGTGTCCATGGGGTTATCCTGATTATGTTAATTAAGTGGGGAGACCCACCAGCTGTGTGCGTGGATAAAGAGCGAGCACAAGTGTGTGTCCACTCGCTCTTTGCTCTTGACTATAAATACGATGAGCTGCTTCAAGTCCTGCCACTGTGACTTCCCAGCTGTAACAGACTGGGACTACGAGCTACAATGAGCTGCTTTGGTCAGTGTATTCTATCACAGCGACAGGACACAAAGCCAAGACAGACTGGGCTCTCAGGCTTGCTGGGACTTACATCTGCAGAAATCCCTCTAGGGAGGTGGGAAAGGTGTGTTCTTGTTTTCAGTTTACAGAATGTGGATCTGCTGGAGGCTGAAGAGACAGCTCAGATCTTTAGATCTGCTAACTAACTGCTCTTCTGGTGGTCCTGAGTTCAATTCCCAGCACCCACATGGGCTCACACTCATGTATAATGAGATCTGGTGCCCTCTTCTATCGTGCAGGCAGAACACTGTATACATAGTAAATAAATCTTTTCTTAAAAAAAAAAAAAAAAGAATGTGGATCCGAGTGCAACTGAGCAGGTGATCAAAACAGAAAAAGAAAAATGTCAAGGCAAGTGCCTTCCTTTGAGACCTGGGCCTACTCCATTGCACGTTAGGCCTCAGGCCTCAGACCCTGGCCCTCCTTGCCACCTGCCTGGGTTCTCTTTCTCCCTCCTTCAGCAGTAGTGGCATCACAGGGCCGTGGAGTGTGGCACAGGCTGGCCGTCCGTAACAGGAAGGGCTTGTTTCGCGTTGTCTCCCGGGTCTCCCTTCTCTTGGCAGCTCTTCTCTGGAAAGCCTTGTAAAGGCCCTCATAGTCAGGGACCACAGGGTTCACCCGAGGCTGGAATCCGAATTCTGTCTGTAGAAAGCTCAGCTTTTCCTCCTGGGTGCGGGCAGCTGTGCGGGGAGTCTGGCTACTGGACGTGCTGATGGGGGACGAAGCCATCTTGAGCATGTCCATGGCTCGCATCTGGATTCGAATTTTCCTGAGGAGCTCTGCTTCTGTGAGAGGGCAGTGAAGGAAGAGGAGAGGTGACAAGTCTGGAGGACACTCTCCCCTTTTTGGAGACAGACTCTCACTGTACAGCCAAGACTGGTCTCCAATTTATCTAAACCTTGCTGCCTTGACCTCCTGAGAAGGTGGGATTACAGGCACAGGCAACCACGGGCCAAACTTACCCTCATTTAAACACTAAAGTCTGTGGTAAGTAATAGGGAAATGTTAACAATCATCCCCCAAATGGTTAGTCCGTCTCCAGGGTGAGGGAGGGAGAGGTGGCCTTCCCAGAGGCAGCAGGCTGGAAGTGGCACTGGCTGATGGAGGTCCTTTATGTCGTGACCTTTGCTTCCATCCCTGTGCTGGCCCAGAGGCTTTTACGTGTACTTACAGAGACAGGTCAAGGAGGGGGGTTGCTGTAGGATCACCCTATAGACCAGTGTGTCTCAACCGGTGGGTTGCAACCCCATCAGATAGCCTTTATATCAGATTTTATATTACGATTCATGACAGTTAGGAAGTAGCAATGACATACTTTTCTGGTTGGGGGTCAGCACAGCACGTACAGCATGAGGAACTGTAGTAAAGGGTCGCAGCATTAGGAAGGGGGAGAGCCACTGCAGACAGACCTAATCCTCTCTGCTGACTACATAGACTGTGCATGGGGTAATCTCCACACCAGTGGAGTCCCTGAACCTTCATGTAAATCCCCGTAGCGCCTCTGTATCCTTACCCTGGAGTTTGTCCCCAAGGGCTGGTTCCAGAATGGCCTTGGGGATCCTTCTAGTGGCCTTCTTTGGGGGGACCTTGGCCTGAGCCACTGCAGCCGAGTCTGTCTGTGGAGCAGCTTCCTTTTTCTGCTCTTTCCTTTCATGGAAGCTGAAGGGCTTCAAAGAGGAGAGAAGCAGCTCCTTCCTCTTCTGGATCCCTGCACGCCTCCGTGCCTCGCTGCGCTCCACGATCTCCTGGTAGAGTGGGAGGTAGACATGCGCCGGCACAGGCTGGGCCCGGAACTGTCGAAAGCACTCAGACTCCTCTTGGCCCTGTTTCTGGGCCTGCAGCCTCTCCTGCTCAAAAGAGGCAGGTGAGGCCAGCCACCGGGCCTTCTTCTGGGCCTCCCGTAGCGTCATGCGGAAGGGCTGAGGGACAGTGATGGAGGATGCCCAGGAGCAGACACTTCTGTGCTGGGAGGGAGGCCCAGAGTCTGAGGCTGGCAGGTTCTGTGTCTTGGCGAGGTCACAGGGAAGGCTGGTCATGGAGCTGCAGCGCCTCATGGAACCACACCTGAGGAGAAAGCTGCACTGTGAGACCCTGAAGTCAGAAGGCTAGGGCCTCTCTGAGTGTGTGTTCCCCCTCACCCCATCCCTTACCCCGCCATCCTCCCTGTCCAGCGGATCATAGCCAAGAGGCTTCTCAGCCTTGGCCCCAAAGCCCCAAGGGCTTCCCTTCTTGCCACAGACAATCTCAGAGGCCCAATGGAAACTATCCCCTAAGAATTCATGCAGGAATTGCCACTTCGCATTCTGATAACTGCCTAAGAGAAACAGTGCAGTGGGGGAGCACAGGGCTGCAGAGTCAAGGGATCCAAGTCAAACTTTGAGGTGTTTGGATCTCCCATGTAGAGTGGCAAAAATAATATCCACTCATGAAGGTATTGGAAAGAGAGTACATATTAAATGATAAAAAGGCTAGAGTGGTGGCGCATGCCTGTAATCCAAGCCCTTGAGAGGTGTAACTGGGAAGGAAGCTCAGGAGTTTAAGGTCAGCCTGCAGTATATGAGACTCTGTCTCAAAAAGAGGAAAAAACATAAAAGATAGAGCATATACGCAGCATTGGCAGACCTGGCCACAGACAATGAACCTTGTCACTCTTGGAGGAGAGGCTGTCTGGGAAAGGAATCCTGTGGGTCATCCTGTGCTTCAACTAAGTAAGTGCTGCCCAGAGTTATTTAGGATTGATCGCCGGGTAAGACTCAAAACACGTGGGCTGGAGAGATGGTTCAGCAGTTGAGAGCGTTTGCTCAGAGCTGTCTGTACCTTCAGTTCAGGGGAACCCAATGTTCTTCTGTTTTCCACGGTCACTAGGCAAATACATGGTACACAGTACATGCAGGCAAAACACCCATAGACATAAAATAGCATTTTTCAAAAGAATCACAGCATGTGGCTGGATCCCAGAGCTAACTCTGGGCTGGGTCTTAGATAAATGACAACTTCCAGAGGTGGTCTGACAGAGGGAAGGCAAGGGTCCTGAGCTATGGCATGATTGGCCTGGTGTGCCGGAACGTGGCAGTCACTGAGTGTCTTACCTAAGAGATGGAGGGTCCCGGACCTGTGGCTTCCCCCTGCTCTTGTCTTGGAAGAAAGTCTCTAAGTCTTCCTCATCCTCAGAGCCATCCTGATCACTGTCTTGGTCAGACTGACACAGAGACTCTAGCAGACTCCACCTGCCTTTCTGCTTCCCAACTTGTAAGGTCCTAGAAAAGCTCCCAGTGGAGTCAGAAGCAGAATCTGTTTCCTCCTCTGGGCTGAGGAACTCATGGAGTTTTCCAGCTCTGGGCAAAACCAGCCCTTCTCCAGACAGTTCATCTTCTGGCTCAGTGTCTGAAGAGGATTTGGGGGGAAATATCTAAAATAAAAGAGAAATCAATAGTGAGTTAAACTGTAATTTCAGAGAGACTCAAAAATGACTTTAATCGTACTTTGAATAATGCCTGGTATATTAGGGACTAAGAAGGGGCAAAGAAAAGTAAGATGTGTTCTTCACTCAAAAGACATTTCCCAATATAATGTATTATATATGCCTGTCTAAGGGCAGCAACTGTGGCAGAAGAGCTAATGCCAGTTCCCTGCTCTGTTCAGCACGAAGAGCACCCTGAGTACCTAGAGGGAAGCACACATTCTGTTCTCAGTGCTCCAGGACGCCTGCCGTGACCTTGGCTACCCTCTGTTCCCAGGTGGATTTGGGATTTACCTAATTGTTCCCCATCTTCTCTTATTTCCCCACCGACACCCTTTCTTTCCTTACAACCTAACCAACCTCCACACCGTCACCAGGAAAGGATGATTAACATGAGGAATATGTGTCTAGGTGAAGGAGCAACGTGGAGAGTAGAACACCCAAGCAACTTTTATATGTCAAGGGCTAGGAGTGAAACTCAGCGGCTGAGCCCTTGCCTGGCACTGGGAAGCACCAGCACCAAAACCACGTTCATCCATGTGTATATGAGACCATATGGGCCGGGTGCCTAGTATGTCATGAAGCTTGTATTCTCGTGAGAACAGGATAACACAAATGTGCCCTGGGAAAGCTTTTCTACTGATACGGGTCCGAGGTCGCCAGGGATGTACCAATAATCAGGATTAAATTCATCAACTTGTGGCATAGCCTCCAGGAAAACTATAGCAATTGTGCGGGGACAGAGTTTTAGCATCGGTGTGCTGGGACTGTTTTGCGAAGAGGGTCAGGGGAAGGGGGGCCAACTCTGGACGGGTGCTGTGATGGATCGAGAACGGTCTAGTAAGGTGGGTAACAGAGCAGGACAAAGGGCAACAGCTGCTAAGCAAGCACTATCACTTCCTTGGCTGTATCTGTTAGTCTGAGTGACACCGAGGTCTTTCACTTACGATGGGGCTGCGGATAGATAAACCCATTCGAAGACAGTACCTTTAAGTAGAAGGGCACTAATACGCTAACCTGGTGAGCATCTAGCTTACCAGCACAGAGCCCTGAGAGCAAGCCACACTCTCCTGATTGTGTGACTCACTAGGAACTGCAAGTCTCAGCCACTGCCCAACACTGAGATCCTACTGCTATTTAAAGACTAAAAATCTGGGGCTGGGCGTTAGCTCCACAGCAGAACACTTACCTACCATGCACAGGGATCCTAGGCTCAGTCCCCAGTACCACAAGAGTAGAACATAAAAGTTTAAAGTCTTATTCCTGCCGAATGCATGCTGCTTTGCCGCCATTATAAAGCTGAGAGCAGAACTGGACCACTGAGGTCAGGAATGTCTCATTTTCAGTTTTAGGCTGATTTTTATTTCCTCAAGTGAATCTTGAAGTGACAAAAAGAAGCTGGTGTGGCTGGAGGACGGTGCCCTGACATGCCCTTAGGTTGGCAGGAACTAGGCCAGGAGTGGAATAGAGATGCTTAGTTGCAATTGGAGCCGTCCATCTGGGTTGGGTTAAAGATCTGTGAGTGCTGTGCCCCTAGCTCTGTTGCCGAAGAGCATGTGATCCGAGGCTCAATTTTCTCTCCCCATTTTCTTCTCTCTCTCTCTCTCTCTCTGTTGTGACAGGGTCAAAGGGTGACCTTGAACCCTTGATCCTGATGCTTTAATCTCTTGAGTTGTTGAGATTACAGGTCTGAGCCATAATGCTGGCTCTTTCTTTTTAAAAATGTTACTGAAACACAATGCCCCTGGTATACAACTCAACTCTTTAAGGCACTGGCTCTAATATAGGCAGAACTGCTTAATTCTCACAGTGTAATTCAGAACTTTTTCTTCCTTCCCCTAAAGCAGCAGAGCAGTGGTTCTCAACCTTCCTAATGATGCAACCCCTTAATACGGTTCCCCATGTTGGGCTGACCCCAAACCATAAAGTTATTTGTATTGCTTCTTCAAAGCTGTAATTTTGCTACTGTTATGAACTGTGATGTAAATATCTGATATCCCAACCCATGAAAGGGTCATTCGACCCCCAAAGGGGCCAGGACCATTATTCTCAACAACTAAAGAAACACTATAACCTTTAGTAGCTATTTTTTTTAATTTCCCTTAACCCTTGCACATCGTTTCTCACTCTGTCAGCCCTAAGCAACCACCAGCCTACCTTCGGTCTTTATAGATTTGGGGGAAATTGTTTAATCTGTTTTGTTTTCTAGAAAATGAGGTTGAGAGTAGGCACACATACAGATGAATGAACTTCAGTATATTCGCAAAGCTGCGCATTCATTACTACAGTACATTTTCCTCACTCTAAAACAACAAAAATCTTGGCAGCCTTTGGAAGCCTCTCCCTGTTTCTCCCCTCCTCCTCAGTTGCTCGCAACGACTTGCCCCTTAGGTTTGCCTTTTCTGGAAAATCGTATGTAGCTGGAGATCACTTTAATATTTTCAAGGTTAATTCGTGGTTTGTTATTGCTACGCTCCCCGATGTCAGAGCCTGGTACAAGAAGCAAGTGGTTCAAATCCCCAAGACAGAGTCCCTCAACATCTAAGCACAGGTAATTTTAATTCCACGCCCTTTGGTGACACGCCCCTGACTCTGTCTCCACGGCAACGCCAAACAGTTTCCCCTCTTGGGGATTCCTTTCTGAGGCATCGTGCTTCCTCCTTTTTCCGCTCACCTCACGGCTCCACTCGGCGCATTCGGGGACCCCGGTAGATCTCCCCACAGTCATCTTCCTAACCAGAAGCAGAAGCAGCGGCGACAGCAGCGGTGACAGCAGCGCGGCCGGCGAGGCACTGGTAACCACGCCCCTTTATAGCGCTAGCCTCGGATTGGCTTCCAGTGTCCAGTCTGTTCCGCCCCAGGAGTCAGGAGCCACTTTCTGATTGGCTTAATCTCTTCGCGCATTTTACTTCCGGTCTGCAGAAAGGACTGAAGTGGCTCAGGGTTGAAAGACTCTGCCCCGGAAGTGCTTCCCGGGCGGGTGCTTGGAGAGTCCAGGGCGCGGGCGCGGGCGCAGGCGCAGGCGCAGGCGCGAGTCATTATGGCGGCCCGCACTGGCTCGATGACCGGCTTGCTGTGTGTCCGTTGGTGGAGTAGCGCGCCGCTTGCGGTCGGACGACTCTCTCTAGCCGCCTGTCGGCGATGGGCCGGCTCCTCGGCAGACACCGTGTACGATGTGGTGGTGTCAGGAGGAGGCCTGGTGGGCGCTGCCATGGCTTGCGCCTTGGGTAGGTGCACCCCGGCGGTGGCTGGCGGGGAACTGGGCTGCGGAGGGCGGACATGCTCACAGCCTGACATGGTGGTTTGCTCGCTTCCTTCCAGGGGAGCCCTCGGACCCACAGGAATGAACACGATGCTTCAATCCTATGGGATCAAAAGTGGGCGGGCCTTATAAGTCAGTCAGACCCGTGGGAACTGCCCAGAATTTATGAGCCTTACTGTATTATTGGATAATAGACCAAACTGGACTCGAACTGAGAGATCCTCCTGCTTCTTTCTCCCGAGAGCTGGTATTAAAGGCGCCCGGCCCTAAAGCTGCTTACGGTATAGTTCACATAGTTGTAAGTCCTCCCACTTAAAGCATGTAGTCCAATCTGTTTTTAATACATTCGCAGAGCTATAAAATCAATACAGCAGCTGGGCGGTAGTGACGGACGCCTTTAATCCCAGCACTTGGGAGGCAGAGTTCGAGGCCAACCTGGTCTACAAGGACAGGCTCCAGAGCTACAGAGAAACCCTGTCTCGAAAAACAAAAAACAAAACAAAACAAAAAAATCAATACAGTAAATTTTAGTACACTTTCCTTACTCTTAGAAACAAAACAAAAAATCTTGGAGCTCATTAGAAGTTACTCCATTTCTTCTTATCCTCTCAGCCCTAAAGAGCTAGTCTCCAGCCTCCTGTCTGTAGGTTTGCTTTCTGCAGTTCTATGTGGGTGGAGATATGCTTAGTGTTTCCAGGGTTGACCCATGTTGTCACATGTATCAGAGCTCTTCGAGGGCTGAGGCAATTCTCAGCCGTGTGTGTGTATCACATTCATTTGGCTCATTTATCAACTAATCAATGTTTGATTAGTTTTCACTGTGGCCTGTAACACGTAGGACTATCAAGAACGTTTTGTGTGCAAGCTTTGGTGGGGACAGTTGAGTCTGTTCAGGGTCATGTGGTAACTCATGCTCTGAAGAACTGGCAAACTGCTGGAGAGATTGCTCCGTTTTACATTGTCGTATGAGTGTTCCAGGTTCTCCCGACCCTGACAGCACTATCTACTGTCTTTGTCCTCTTAGTGGGTAGGAAGTAGTTTGTGTTCATATTTCCCTAGTGCCCAGTGTTGTTGACTAAATTTACCGAGAGTGTGCATTGTGTGCCTCCATTCCTGGTCTCTTTGAAACTTTAGTGTTCCGGTTTTGGTGGCTTGCTCCTGTGTTAGATTTTTGTGAGTTTTTCGTTTGGTTTGCTGTCGTTTTCTAGTTCTTTCCCCAGTGTTGCAAGGAGGGAGGCAGCACTGCTTTCCTCCTAATAACATCCACACACAATTCTATATTGGAATTGTTTCCTTTTCTGTCTCTCTCACAGAATGCTACATTTTAAAACTCAGGAGTGACTGTTAAACATCAGGATGGTAAAAAGCATGGTGGTAAACTCCTGTGCTGTGATCCCAGCACTTGGAAGATAGAGGCAGGAGGATCAGAAGTTCAAAGTCATCCTTGGGCTACATAGTGAGTTTGAGTCAGGTCAGCATCAGGTGTATAAAACCCTCTGTCCAAAAAAAAAAAAAAAAAAAAAAAAAACAAACAAAAATATATAAGATATTTTTCATTAGGCTTTTGTTTGTTTATTCTTTTGAAATAAGGCCCTATTCTATAGCCCTGACTGGCACACCTCCCCCCATCTACCTCCTTAAAGCTGAGGTTCTAAACACACTCCTGATTCATGTAGGCTTTTATTAATTTTCCCTTTAAGTCCACTCTGTCTTTCTTTATTCGTCTTCAGACATGCAACTAACTTACGTTTCATGCGTTCCCTCTCACATCTGAGTTTGGGAACAGTTCCCTGCATAATTCTCTAGTACACTTAAATCCATTCTTTTTTGGTTTTTCAAGACAGGGTTTCTCTGTAGCTTTGGAGCCTGTCCCGGAGCTAGCTCTTGTAGACCAGGCTGGTCTCGAATCCACAGAGATCTGCCTGCCTCTGCCTCCCGAGTGCTGGGATTAAAGGTGTGCGCCACCACAGTCCGGCTTTAAATCCATTCTTGTACTGTCCCATTCTTTTTGTTTTTGTTTTGAGCCTCCTACTCCTGGGCTCTAAAATTCTCCTGCCTGAGCCCCTGCGTGGCCAGGAATACAGGCATCTACCACTACACCAGGCCTTCTGACATTATTTGTAAGTGTTTTTTCATAAAAAAAAAGTCACATTAGTTAGGAAATAAAATACATCACCTGGCTGTGTTTGATAATGTGTTTAGAACTATAATTCTTTTTTTTTTTTTAAATTTGTATGTTTGCTTTTTGGAGACAGGGTTCTCTGTGTAGCCCTGGCTGTCCTGGATCTCCCTCTGTAGATCAGGCTGGCTTTGAACTCAGATCTGCCTGCTTCTGCCTCCTGAGTACTGGAATCAAAAGGCATGCATCACCCCCACCCAGCCACATTATTTCTTTTTTTTTAATATTTATTTATTATGTATACAATATTCTGTCTGCGAGTATGCCTGCAGGTCAGAAGAGGGCACCAGACCTCATTACAGATGGTTGTGAGCCACCATGTGGTTGCCGGGAATTGAATTGACCTTTGGAAGAGCAGGCAATGCCCTTAACCGCTGAGCCATCTCTCCAGCCCCACATTATTTCTTTATAATTTTATTTGTCAGTAGCAAATTACCTTCTAGTTCTTAGCTTTGTCAAAGACTAGGGTGAATGGGCTGCGGGCCTTCTCCTAGTGACAGTATTTCTTTGTTCCATTTTTCACTACAGATGTCTTAGGATCAGGTTTGTGGTATATTTTTTAAATAAATAATTTTTTAAAAGATTGATCTGTTATGTATTCAGTATATCCCTGAATGCCAGAAGAAGGCACCAGCTCTTATTACAGATGGTTGTGAGCCACTGTATGGTTGCCTGAAACTGACCTCAGAACATCTGGAAGGGCAGCCAGTGCTCTGAACCTCTGAGGCATCTCTCCAGTCCCTAAATAATAAATTCTTTATTCTGTCTTGAGACTGCAGTAGATTTACTTACTTAAAATACTCCATTGTTCTCTGCTTCTATTCTAACTCCCCCCTCGCCTTTCTCCTGTGTGTACGTGCTCAACCACAGCCTAGAGATGAAACCCCAGGCCTCGCTCATGTGAAGCTATGCTATACTATTGAGCTCTCAATTTTAATGAGTTCACTCCAAGGGTAAGAAATAGATGGCTACAATTTTTTTTTTATTATTCCTTCCTAGGGAATCCTATTTGTGGGTAATAGATTTTTCCGTTATTTGCGTCTTTGTGTGTGACGTGCAGTGAGCTCTGTCTGAAGACGTGCAGTTGGGGGAAGGGTGGCTGTCTCAGCTGAAGTGGTGCAGTTATGTCATTGCTTAGGAGAGTGGTTTTCCCTGCTAGGAAATTGGAATTATTATTATTTTTGCAGTACTGAAGATTGAATGAGGACCTCAAACTTGATAGGTGAACATGCCACCACTGTCTTTGTCCCCAGCCTAGAAACTTCACATCCAAGGTTGAGACTAGTTCATCTTTTTTGTTTTTATTGGTGTTTTGTGTTTTGTTTGTTTTTGATACATGCTCTCATTCTGTAGCCTAGGCTGCCTGGAAAATCATGGTAACCTAAAGCATAAGTCTAATTAATCTTATCAGTAAAAACCAGGAGTGAGATATCGGGGTAAAAAACCTGAATGATCGGAGAAGCAGAGAGAGTGCCACAGTTCCTTCCTACCTCTTCCGTTTCTCCAACCACAAAGGGTCCTGTTTCCATCCACCTTATCACTTTCTGACTCCAAGCAAGCTTTACTTGTCAGAACACAATGAAAATATCACACAATAGCAACCATCCCACCTTAGCCTCTAGGGCTAGGATTACAGGTGTGAGTTACCATAGCTGGTTTATATTTGTTTCTGATTGAAAACTTAAAGCATGAAAAGTACACTTATTAATGTATACTTGTACACATTAATGTACCTTGTAATGTTTAATACATACATACATAATTTTAAGTTTGTTTAAACATTTCCTTAAGCATTTATTATTTCTTTATGATGAAAACTTTCAAAATGCTGCTAGCTTTAGAAGTGTGCAACACATTGTTATTAGTTGTAGTTGCCCTACTGTGTAATTGAATCCTTGTAATTAAATTCCTAAAATGAATGAAAATGTTAATTCTTTTTCTTTTTTAGGACATGACATTCATTTTCGTGACAAGAAAATCCTTTTGCTAGAGGCGGGTCCAAAGAAAGTACTGGAGAAGCTGTCAGACACTTACAGCAACAGAGTCAGCTCCATCTCCCCTGGCTCTGCAACCCTGCTCAGTAGTGAGTAGATGAGCCCATCTCCTGGTCCTGCCTCCTTTCCTCTCGACTTTTCCACAGGGCACAGAGCAGGCCCATAGGTCAGTCACCAGAGCAGGGGGGAGGAAGCTCGCAGTGGGGAGTGAGCAGGTAGGCTTGGCAGTGGTCATAACTGAAGATGAGGGCTGCTGACTTGGACAGTGTCGAGTCCTGGTCTGGAGAGGACATCTTGAGACATGTGGCTCCATCATGTCACCTCATTTATGATGTTAGACCATTGCTATTTAGTCCCCTACATTCACTCCATTCCAAGTCAGTCCTCAGGCGGGCTAGGAGTCTGCATTTTAATGGTCTTTTTTTGGGATGTAGATGAATTGTCTATTTGTGCTATATGGTACTCCTTCAGGCCATCGTACCTGAAACCGGTCTATCTAGAATTAAACTCTTCAGTCACTTTGGCTTGATAGCTTGCTTGTGCTTTCTTTCTTTCTTCTTTCTCCTAAAACTTGCTTTGGAGACCAGGCAGGCCTTGAACTCAGAAATCTGCCTGCCCCTGCCTCCTGAGTGCTAGGACTAGAGGCTGACTTCTTTTCTTTTTTCAAAGATAGAATCTGGCCTTGAACTTAATCTTGAATGCTGGTCCTTCTGCTTCCACCTCCCAGCTGCTGGGATGATATGAGGCATAACCAGTACATGTATGTAATACTAGGGATAGAACCCAGTTACTCTGCCTGAGAATGGAGTTTCCTCCATAGTTCCTATAGATCCTTCTTTCCTTTTCTTTTCTTTTCTTTTCCTTCCTTTTCTTTTCCTTTCTTTTCTTTTCTTTTCCTTTCCTTTCTTTCTTTATAGTTTCTCAGGACAGGATTTCTCTGTGTAACTGCCCTGGCTGTCCTGACATTATATTATGTGCATGTTCATGTTATCTGTCTCTTCAGCTAAAATATCAGCTGCACATGGGGATTTTTTTGGTCTACTCTGGATCTAAAATTATAATTGGCCCTTGTTAGATGCTCAGTAAATATTGCTTCAAAGCACAAATGTACTTGGTGCCATGAAGAGATGAAGAAAACAGTCTTTAGAATGTTTATAGCTAATAAAAGCTAGTAGGGAAAAGACTGATACTGCTTACTTTTCCTTTTTTATTCTCACTGCTTTACTGGCAGTTTTGGGGCTTCTTCGTGCTGTGTGATCTGGAGCTGAGAGCAGGACTGACCCTGGACAGTCAGCTGCAGGACTGACAGCTTGAAGAGTTTTCCCTTCTGGTTTTGGAAAACACTGAAAACAACGTCCTGCTTAACAGCTGGAGAGACACAAGGGGGCCCCGGAGCAGGGGTCCGTGTGAGGTCACGTGGGTTTTTTTTTAGGTTTTGGTGCATGGGACCACATCTGCAATATGCGGTGCAAAGCCTTCCGGCGGATGCAGGTACCTCCTTTCCCTTAATTTTGTCGGGATGTCTTGGTCTGTCTTATGTTACCTTGTTAGTGTCTGCTTTCTCTGGACGTTTTATGAATCAATTTGTTTTTGTTTTTGTGGGTTTTTTTTTTTTGTTGTTGTTGTTGTTGTTGTTTTTGAGACAGGGTTTCTCTGTAGCTATGGAGCCAGTCCTGGAACTTTCTCTGTAGACCAGGCTGACCTCGAATTCACAGAGGTCTGCCTGCTTCTGCCTCCTGAGGACTGAGATCAAGGCATGCACCACCACTGCCTGGCATGAATCAAAATTTAAATTCAGGGAAGGCATTCTTGTGAATCGACTTACAGTTTTTTGTTTTTTGGTTTTTTGTTTTGTTTTTTTCTTTGAGACAGTGTTTCTCTGCAGCTTTGGAGCCTGCCCTAGAACTCTCTCTCTGTAGACCAGACTGGCCTCGAACTCAGAGAGATCCGCTGCCTGCCTCTGCCTCCTGAGTACTGGGATTAAAGGCATGCGACATCACTGCCCGGCTAATAATCTACTTTCTTTTTAATTAATTAGCTTGATCTTTTTGTGGTAATGGCTCAGGTAGCCCAGGCTTGCCTTGAACTTGTGTAGCTGAGTCTTGCCTGATCAGTCGTCACCTGTGACAAGTGCCCAAGCGTTGGGCTCACAGGTGTGCCTACCATTCCTGATTCTGAGGCTTCTCACCTTATATTCTGCCAAAGAGGCAGACAGACTGGGATGTGCTACCTCATTCTGGAAAGCCACATCCGGCTTGGGGTTGGAATTGTGTTTCATTTTCTTTAGGGTTGATGCACTTTTCTTTGTGTTTGCAGGTGTGGGACTCCTGCTCAGAGGCCCTGATCATGTTCGACAGGGATAACTTAGATGACATGGGCTACATAGTGGAAAATGACGTCATCATGTGTGCTCTCACAAAGCAGTTGGAGGCTGTGGCAGGTGAGCTGCCATCTCCATTCCTCTCTGGGAAATGATTGCCTCTGTACTTGTCAGAAGAAAAGACCCTCTTGTAGACCCTTATAAAAGGCCCTTTTACAGGTACTGAATAACCCTTGATGGCCAGACATGGTGGCACACCTTTAATGCCAGCACTGGGGAGGCAGAGGTAGGCAGGTCTGGCATTTGAAGCCAGCCAGGATTGAATAGTGAATTCCAGGCCAACCAGGGATACGCAGTGAGGTCTTTTCAAAAAAAAAAAAAAAAAAGTTGAAATTCTTTTAGGATTTACCTTTCTTTTTACCAGCTTTATTTGAATAAACTTGAATACCATAAAATTCTCCCATTTTACCTGTGTAACTCGGTGACTTTCAATGTATCTATAGAGTTGTGCATCTATTGCCATAGGATCCTTTAGAAGGTCTCCATCACTCAGAAGGAAACCTCACACCTCATTGTCATTCCTCATCTTACTGAACCTTTGCTTTTCTCTTCCTAGAGCTGTCTGTTCTCAGCAGCTCAGAAGTGAGCCACACTGATTAGGGGTTAGAGTCAGTCACATTGCAGCGAACTCGTAATCCTCTTCTTTTTATCGCTAATGATGTTTTATTGTGTGGATATATCAAATTGTATTTACTTATTCATCAGTTAATAGAATTTGTGTTGTTTCCACTTTGGGCAGTTGGTGAATAGTGTCGTGACTGGTTTGTGTGATGGCTGGTTTGTTGTTTTATGTGTTCTCCAGGATGCAGGATTGAATGCAGGGTCTTAAAAGCTAGGCAGTCTCTCTATTCTCAGATATTTTCCCAGCTCTCTGCTTTGGACAGGGTCTCAGCAGGTTGCTCAGGCTGGCCTTAAACTCACTCTGTAGTCTAGGCAGGCTCTAAGTTGTAACTGCTTGTCTCAGCCTCACAAGTAGCTTGCATAAACAGGCCCAGCAACATGTGTTTTTCCCACTTGGAAGTGGAGTTGCATAGTCACATCATAATTCTGTATTTAACATTCTCAGGCATCACCAGACAGTTTCTAGAGGATGCGTCGTTTCACCTTCCCCGGGTTTAAGTGGCTCACTTTGTCCACATCCTTCTCAGTGCTTGCTGGCTTTTAACTTACAGCCCATTGAATCTGTTTACTTAGTGAGTAATAATGTTAATAACATCCTGTGATTATTTGTATGTTTGCTTTAGAGAAATGTCTATTGAAAATCTTTTGCACATTTAAAAATGGGTCTTTTTTTTTGTTTTTTAGTTAGAAGAGTTCTATGCATGTCCTGAATATAAACTACTTAGGAGATATATGAATTCCTCTATGTATAATATTGTGGGAGTCAAGTGAGAGAAAAACTGGAAGCAATTTATATGAGTTTTGCTTTTTTTTCTTTGAGTCTTTTAAGACAGGATCTCATGTAGCTCAGACTGATTTTAAACTCACTATGTAATTCCAGCTAGCCTTTAACTCCTGGTCTTCCTGCCTCTACTTCCCAAATATGAGAATTAGAAGCATGTGCCACCATGCCCAGCTTGTTATTTTTTTTTAATATGGGATATTGTACATATCCATCTAGCTTTTAAAAATAATTTAGGGTTGGGCAGCGGTGGTGGTGTACACCTTTTTTTTTTTAATTTTATTTTTTCTTTTTTTTTTATTAAATTATAAAAGTTTCCATTTCAGCCCCTCCTCCCAACACCCTCCCACTCCCCCCACTCCCGGTGGTGTACACCTTTAATTCCAGCATTTAAGAAGCAGAGGCAGGTGTATGTCTGTGAGTTCGAGGCCAGCCTGGTCTATAGAGTGAGTTCCAGGAAAGCCAGGGCTACACAAAGAAACCCTGTCTTGAAAAACAACAAAACAAAATTTTGGACTGGTGGTATATTCAATGGTAGATCAGTTGTCTAGTGTGTAAGGCCTTAGGCTCCATCACCAGAATCACTCTGTGTGTATGTGTGTGTGTGTGTGTGTGTGTCTGTCTGTCTGTCTGTGTGCCTGTGTCTATCTTGGGACTGAACCTAGGATTTACATCATGCTAGGCATGTGCTTTTCCACTGACCTACCTACATCATTGTCATCTGTTGCCATTGTCCCCTGCGATTGTGCACCAGAGTTTATTTCTTCATCTAGCTATAACTTAGCACCCAAGAAGAAAATCTTTTGAGGTATAACACATATTTCAGCCTGTGGTGTGTGTGTTGTGTCGTCATGCCCACCCCCACCACCTTGTTTAGACACTGTAAAATTAGGAGAGCCTTATGCTAGAATTCTCTCTCTCTCTCTCTCTCTCTCTCTCTCTCTCTCTCTCTCTCTTTCTCTCTCTCTCCTTTCTCTTTTTCATTTGTGTTGGGGATGGGGATGTTGAGTCAGGATTTCACTATGTAGCTCTGGCTAGCCTACAACTCCCTCTATAGACCAGGTTAGCCTCAAACTCAAAAAGATGTGCCTGCATCTGCTAGAATTAAAGGCATGCTCCACTATGCCCAGCTAGTACTTGCTCTTTTTGTCTTTCTGACATTGAGTGGTTCTCTGTTTTCTGCTCTTTACCAGCAGTTCCAGAGCCAGAGTGTTAATGATTTGATTTACTTTTAGATCTTGCTTTTCTTGGTTGCCAGTAAATGACAGGACAGGGCTATCCAGGGACCTTGCTTTTAGGCACTTACAGTTTATGCTCAATCCTTTACCCACCTTTCTGATTTTTTGCTTCTTTCTCTTTTGCCTTCTCCAGACCGTGTGAGGGTTCTCTACAGGAGCAAAGCTGTTGACTATGCCTGGCCTGCCCCATTTTCCATGACAGACTCCAGCCCTTGGGTCCAAATTACCCTAGGTGATGGCAGCACCCTCCAGACCAAACTGTTGGTAGTTGAAGATTCTTGCTTTGTCAGGGGGTCTTGCATGTCCATACCTTACATTCTAGAGTCTGTATTGTCAGATGGAAACCGTGGGGTTACTTTAAGTTATTGTTACCTTGGTTTTTTTTTTGGTCTTTTTTGTTATTTTGTCTTTTTTTTTTTTTTTTCTGAAGCTGAGGACCAAACTCAGGGCCTTGCACTTGCTAGGCAAGCGCTCTACCACTGAGCTAAATCCCCAACCCCAAGTTATTGTTTATAGAACAACTACCCCCTATTCAAGGCAGTCTGAGATAGATGATTGCTATATGTGAACCAACCTCATGGGCCACCTTAGGATAGGATAACCAGGCCTGCCAGGAGTGTTGGAAACTTGGACCATGTTCTTTTTTCTGTCCCTGAAGTCCCGGTGCCATTCATCTCCTTGAGGCTCTCAATTTCTTGTTTCTCTTTGTGCTCACCAACTTTTTCTTTTTTAAACTGCAGTGCCTACTCTATGCCTGTTTTTTCTAGTTCACATATCAAAAGACTCTGGTTGATTATGGCCATTGCTGGCACCTTTTGGTTTAGATAGCCACATTTGGTCCCTGGGTGAGGTCCCATTTTGTAGGGCTGTCCTTGTAGGTCTGTGAGTGAGACAAGCCTAATGGTTTCCCATTCCACCTGGACTAGACAGGAGGGCAAAGACACTGGAGCAGTTTGATTTTGAAGTGGTTGTAAGACTTAGTAGGCCCTCGTGTCCACGCAGATTGGTGCTGATGGGCACAACTCAGGAGTAAGACGAGCTGCTGGGATCCAGAATGTTAGCTGGACCTATGACCAGTCTGCTGTGGTGGCCACTCTGCATTTATCAGAGGTAAGCTCTGGAGCTGCCATCTGGGGACCTTGTCCTTAGCACTCAGTACCCCTTCTAAGAACTTTCTTTTCATTCTAGGCCACAGAAAACAATGTAGCCTGGCAAAGATTTCTCCCCTCTGGGCCTATTGCTCTACTCCCGGTAAGAGATCCTCCGGCCAGTTAGCTCAAAGGTAGCCAGCCTCAGTCTTTGGAACTTCACTTTCCTTCAGCCTGGTTTAAAAGGGACTGTGTCCCATGCGTGCATGGCTTCCTTTTCTTGGTTTCCTTTATGATTGAAAACACCCAAGTTCAGAAGAGGCAGGTTGTTGTTGTTGTTTTGAGGACTATACCCCAGGCTGGCTTGACACTCATCCTGCTGTATGCTGTGCTACAGGCATGCGCCACCACACCAAGCTGATGCTCTTCTTTTGATACAGCTCTCAGATACCTTGAGTTCCTTGGTTTGGTCCACATCCCATGATCATGCAGCAGAGCTGGTCAGCATGGGTGAGGAAGAGTTTGTGGATGCCATCAACTCTGCCTTTGTGCGTATCCCCTGTCCAGCTACTGGGGGACGGGGAAAAGGAGTAATCGTGCAGGTTCCCCTTAGCCAGTGCAGTCCTTGGTTTAGATTCTGTGAGGGCATACAGGAAATGCAAAACAATGGAAGCTGTGGCTGCTGTGCTGGTAAAGGCCTGCCAAGGTTATTGGGTCATGTACTGTATATTCCTGTGCAGCACAGCACCTCTGGGGTAGAGCCTTCTATGTAACAGGCTCCAGGATGCACAGTCAAGTGAGAGAGAATGACAAGTGCAGTAACAGATGTATGCATGCGGAGCATAGCATGGGGACAGAGAGGAGGGTTTAAAGGTGTCCCAGGAGACAGAGGTGGGAGGGCAGTCTATGCTTTACCTAAGCTTAGAGACATAAGGTGAGCTATTTGTGACTATTGCTGGGGACTAGTGAAAGGTAAAGTTCAGTTCTAGTCAGGGGCAACCCAGAAATAAAACCCGTGGGGAATACTGGGAAATGGAGTTTTGTATGTGCTTTAAAGGGCTTGTCACTCAGGAACAAGATCCGTTTAGGCATGTTAAACAGCATTACCTTTAGCGTTGGTTATAAAGAGGGATTGAGTCCTTAGCTATTTACTAGTCACTAACCAGATTTCACCATTTGGGGGCTGATGGCATGCAGTGGAGTGATGCGAACCACACAGACTTCGTCGACTCGGCCAGCACCATGTTGCGCTATGTCGTCACCCTTCTGAAGCCCACTAGGGTCTCAGCTCGTCAGTTGCCCCCAAGTATAGCCAAGGTGGATGCTAAAAGCAGAGCCCTCTTTCCTCTGGGACTGGGACATGCTGCTGAGTACGTCCGGCCTCGGGTGGCACTCATTGGGTAAGGCCATAATGGAGCAGGCCACTCCTTTCTCTGTTGCTGGAGGCCATATCTGAATGCTGCTTTATTCTTAGTGATGCAGCCCACAGAGTCCATCCACTTGCAGGACAAGGTGTCAACATGGGCTTCGGGGATATTTCCAGCTTGGTTCATCATCTCAGTACAGCGGCCTTCAACGGGAAGGACTTAGGTGAGGATTCAGGTACCCTGACATCATGTAAAGGTCAGGGTTGCCAAATTGCCCTAGGCAGCAGATGTGGTAGTGTCTACTTGGAGGAGGAGGAGGAAGAGGTCTTTACTACTGGACTAGGGGTTTGACCTTTCCTCCTGCTTTCTAACTCCAGGTTCCATGAGCCACCTCGCAGGCTATGAGACAGATAGGCAGCGTCACAATACTGCCCTTCTGGCTGCTACTGACCTATTGAAAAGGCTCTATTCCACCAATGCCACTCCACTGGTGCTGCTCAGGACATGGGGCTTGCAGGCAACTAACGCAGTGTCTCCTCTCAAAGTAAGTGGCCCCTACCACTCTCCAAGATTTTTCTCTACTGAGAAAGGACTGCAGGCATTCTAAATTTCTTTGAATTAATTTTCTTGCCTATAACATTTTTTATTGTAGTTATTTTTGAGATAGAGACTTTGTATGTAGTCCTGGCTAGCCTGAAACTGGCTAGGTATACCAGACTATATATCTATCATAGTGACCCATCTGCTTCTGCCTGCTGTGTACTGGGATTAAAGGCATGTGCTGCCATGCCCAGCCACCATGCCCAGTCTACCTTCCCAGCTGGTTCTGAATAAGAGTACCTGCTGAATTTGTGGTGCCCACATCTAAGCAATAATTTGAAATATGTAGGAAGGTTTTAAGAATACAGGGCTAAGGGCTGGAGAGAGGAACCAGCAGCGAAAAACACTTGCTATTCTTCCAGAGGGACCTTGGTTCAATCCCCAGCACTCACATGGTGGCTCATAACCATCTGTAACTCCAGTCCTCGGGGAGTCCTGCCAGCCCTGTTCTTAGAGCTGAAAGAAAGCCAGGGACTCCTAGGAGTGTCTGTATGGAACCTCTGCCATGTTTCTCCCTTCGTCACCTTGGTTATTTCATGATGAAGTCACCAGTCCTCACCTGCAGTGACCAAATATCATTTACCCCTTTCCTCTTTCTCCAGGAACAGATAATGGCCTTTGCCAGCAAGTGAGCACTCCTCTCCTGGGGATCATGTTGATGACAGAGACCATCTAGCCCTGTGACCATCAGAATGCGTTTCCAAGATGGTTTCATAAATTTACACTAGAACTGTGTCTGTTTTCCTCTTCTGCTTAATGGGCCTGTGTAGCCAAAAAATGAGTGACATTTAAGGAAAAAACCCAAAGGAAAACTGTTTGATTGAAAGGAGCTTTTTATTACTAAACAGACAAGTTACTGAGCTGGTATCTCCTCATTTCACTTGGTAAGAATACTTTCTAAACAGAATACCTTAATACAGGTCATAAATTTATACAATTATCTTGACAAAGAATCAGAAATACTTGGTACATTTTTGTTAGATTGTTTTAAAATTAACACTGGCATGCAAATTAAATACACATTGCTTTGACAAAGTACACCAGTCTTTAAGGGGGAAGTGAAGAAACAGCCAGGTCTTATTAATGCTTTAGGCTTTCTTATACATTTCAGTTTTGTTTACACTCCTCTCTGTGATGTCATTTTCTGTTGATTCTGTTATTAAAAACAATAAATAACCTTACTGCACACACAGCTGCAGAGGCCTCAGGGACAACCTGTCCATGCATGTGTGGTGGAGTGGTTTCTGACTTGGGGTTTTGATGTACTGACTGCACAGCACCAGAGAGGCCTCCAGAAGAGAACTTACCTGTGTTAGATAAGAACCCTGGACAGAATATCTTGCCCAGAAGTCTGTTTTGAAAAGATGAAGTAAGAATGTCTCCTTTCAACTACACTAAACTGTTGGTATAACTTTTGGAGAGATAAGATAGCTATTGCAACGGGACAGCTTTTTAAACAATGTAGAAAACTTAGTACAAAGTAATATGTCAGTAAATCCAGAAAATGTCCCCAGAATAAAAGATGGTAGCTGTTGGGAAAAACTGATGGCCAGAGACTATCAGGACAAGGTCACCTTTTCCAAAAAGTTAGCCCTGATAAGAATACTGACTCTCTAATATACAGAAAAATTAAAAAGTTAAAGAGATGAGAACTTTAAGGCACACATTGTAAGGACATCTGTGACTCAGATGTTCTTCATATAATAGTGATAATACACACAGCATCTACCACGCACCAGACCACATCCTAGGTATTTAAATTATATTTACATTTTCACAGAGATGGAACTTGCCAGCAACATCAAATCAGAATACATAGGACCCCCTTAGTAAAAAGACCCATGCTGCCAGGCAGTGGTGGCACATGCCTTTAATTCCAGTACTTAGAGAGGCAGAGGCAGGCTGATCTCTGTGAGTTCAAGGCCAGCCTGGTCTTCAGGGGAGTTCCAGGACAGCCAGGGTAACAGAGAAACTCTTGTTTCAAACAAACAAAATAATGCCCATGTCTTTTTTTTTTTCCCCCTAAGAAAATTTAAGACTCCAAATTGTATTTAAAAGGATAGGTAAATCTACAGGCTCTCTGGTCAAGATGGATGTATGCAGATAAATTTCTGAGGTGAGAGTCCATCTATTTAAGAGTTCTGGCAGTTTCCAAGGTAACCGAAGGTGTCTATGGGACAGTACACAGCTAGGGTGCCTGTTCTGAGGCTTCAGGAGCCACCTGTGGTACAACGAGGAGGAACTCACTTGTCAGCTGGAGCTGTTCACTTCGTTTATTTAGTGCTGGGCTTGAATCTAGGACCTGATATGCTAAATATGCTTTGCCACTGAAATCTTTTTAAATCTATGTATGCAGTGTTCTGCCTGCATGTATGCCTGCATTCCAGAAGAGGGCACCAGATCTCATTACAGATGGTTGTGAGCCACCATGTGGTTGCTGGGAATTGAACTCAGGACCTCTGGAAGAGCAGTCAGTGCTCTTAACCTCTGAGCCATTCTCCAGCCCCTCTGAAATCTTCTAACCCCTCTCCCTTTTAAAACTTCTTGACGGTCTTATTGAGTTGCCCAGTGGCCTCAAACTGGCTACATAGAAAGCCTATGACTTGTAATCCTCCTGCCTCAGCTCCAAGGTAGCTAGGATTACAGGCCTGTGCTATAAAGCCTGCTGTAGAGTTTGCTCTCGGGGAAGCAGATTGGCTTCTCTCAACTGTACCAGCACTTAGTGGACTGTGACTGGTCTAATACTTTTAAGTCTAGAAAATATGCCGTGTTTTTTAAAAGTCATAAAAATGTAGTTATCTTCAAAGAGTCTGAAAGGTTTTGGACTAGGAGAAAGCAGAAGATGACCGAAGGGAAGGAGGTAGCTCTCAGCTAGTGAAGCTGTAAACAGTGACATCCTAAGTGGAAAGGCAAACACTTAACAGAAGAGAGACACTGAGTATGCATTCCATAGGAAACTGGATTTTACCTTCAGGCTATTGCCAGTGTAGAAAATCTATTTCATTATGTATGAGCATTATGGGGTTTGTTATTTGTTCTTTCTTTTGAGACAGGGTTTCTCTGTGTAGTCCTGGCTGTCCCAGAACTTGCTCTGGAGACCAGGCTGGCCTTGAACTCAGAGATTTGCTTGCCTCTGCCTCCCAAGTGTTGAGATTAAAGGCATGAGCCACCACTGCCTGGGGAGCATTATTTTTGAAGAAGGCAATAAGTGAAAGTGAACTTAGTAATGGAAGTTTGAGCCAGGCTCAGCATGCCTTCCTATAGTCTCGCTACTCAGGAGTCCAAGGTGAAAGGATCACTTGTGTCCAAGAAGTTCATGGCTGACTTAAGCAACACTGAAACCTAGTCTCAAGACACATACTCTCAAGACACATACTCTTAGTATCAAAGTCTGAAGAAATTCCACATTTAATCAAAACAAACCCCTAAAATTGGGAGTAATATACAAATTTGCCTACTATTTATACACAGCAGATGGTAATACTTATTGACTCAATGTAATGGCTTCAGAAAGAAGGTTCCCTGGGGACTGCCATGGAGACAGGCATAGTCATATCCTTTATGAAGAGTGGAAGGAAGTTAGGGGAGCTGAAAACTCTAAAAGAGAAGAGGAAGGGGAAATGCTATGACAGCTGCTGAGCAATATCAATGTTTCAAACCCAGAACCGAGTAGGAGGCAAGCCAATGACAGTCACACAAGAAATGACAGCACTTTTTTTTTCTCCCTTTAAGACAGGGTTTCTCTGTGTAGCCCTGGCTGTCTTGGAATTTGCTCTATAGACCAGACTGGCCTCGAACTCAGAGATTCACCTGCTTTTGCCTCCCCAAGTGCTAGAATTAAAGGTGTGCGCCGCCATTGCCTGGCAAAAAAAATTAAGATAATGACTTTATAATGTAGTAGAGCACCCATGCCTAGCATGCATGATGGTCTGTGTTCAACCTCAAAACAGAGTGGACTGAGAAAACCACACGGTTCTCTAGAAATGTTAGTCCTTGTTCTGACAGGGGCCGAAAGAATCAATCAAATCAAATGTTGGGTATCGGTGGTAAGGGGATATAAAATCCTGAAGGAGACAATAAATTCAGAAAGTTCTGGCTAAAATCAGCAAGAATCCAGGCAAGAAAGCACTACTATAAAGTGGTAGCACATTGTGCCTAACATGCAAGAAGTCCTGGGTTCAATCTCCAGCACTTTCCACACCTCAACCCCCAAAAGGACAAACTGAAAGCGTTGGTCATCGTTAGACTCAAACAGCACACACACTAACTTCTAACCACAGACCAAAACTAGGGTGCAGCTGTATGTCAAAGAAACAGAAAGATGCTAAGTTTAGGGCCATGAGAAGAAGGTGGTAACCGAGCAGCAGTCACGGTCTGCAACAGCCATCCCTCTCAACGGACGGATCAGCCCTCCTTCCTACAGCTCTAGTCGGCACAGTAAGAGGTGCACGCTCATCTTGTGAGATTTAACATGACATGAGCATGATGGTTCACCTGTAACCCAAGACCCAGGAGGCAGAGGCAGGAGAATTAACAATTCAAGGCAATTTGGGTTACACAGGCTAGCCAGAGCAAGGTAACATGACCTCAGTCTAAAAATAAAACACCCAGGGCCACTCTAAGCTCTAAATTGTGCCATAGGGTCACACAAATTCTAATATAGTGTCTTTTCCCCTTCTCTTTGAATTACAAATGGAAATGCAAAGCCACATAGTTCTCACCTTGGGTTTTAGGGTAGGGAATGTATAAGGGTAGGAAGAAGAAAAAATATCAGTATTAATAGGTTATGGGACTTCAGTAAGTCAGCTTAATTTAGCTTATAAGCAAAAAACTGAAACATTCAAAGGAATGAGGCACTCCAAGGGTTGAAATGAGATTTTTCTTTGGTTCCCAGGGACTTGTCTCTGAACTCTCAATCTAACATGGAGTTCCAAGTCTATTCTTGTTTCTTCACAGGACTGACATACAAAGAATCTCAAAAGATTTACACTCTGGTGCCAGCTTTGCACCTGCCAAGTGGTTAGGGAGCTGTTCACAGTAGATGTGCAAAATTAATTAAGCCCAAATCACGAGGCTCAAGGGCAAGACTCATCTATAAAACCCCTTCCCTCCCAATAAAGCCAGTTAATGGGTTTCAGTCCAGGCTTTCCCCAGAATTGTTCAGAAAATGCCTGAGTCCTCTCCTTCTTGTAAAACCAAGTTTTTGAGAAATGCAGGCTTCAGAGGACACGGCAGCCTCAGCTGGAGATGCCCAGGGACTGCAGCAGGTGAAAGGTGGCCCCCAGGGCCCAGCCCGTCTCTATGTTGTTCACTTTCTTTGTGAGCTGTTAAAGAAGAAGAAAAAGTCTTCACGTTTTCATCCAGTTTTCAACATTAGCAAGGATGGCCTCTGCACAGCTAATACCTATAAAGAGCACTCCTGTGGCCCGGCCCCAATCGCCCTACACCCAGCATGCTCATGCCTGAGAACCTCAGGCTCAGGAAGCCGTACTATCCAGAAATTTTTACAGAGGTTGTGTCAGAAAAGGCTCTGGATGCTCCTTAACCTAACAAGGCAGTCAGAATGTAATGTTCACGGATGTGGTAGGAAGGGAACTGGCAAGAGCTGGGAATGTATTTAGAACAGAAAAGCACATTCTCAGCTCTTGGAGTCTATGTAAGCAGCTGTGCCTTAAGCGTTAATAAAAACCAGCTGAGGCATTCGACGCCAGACTGTCCTGATAGCTCAATGCCTTTATTGCTTGGGACAAAACTTTAGATCTGGTCCCTCCATTACAGAAAGGGGCAATTTTCTGTACAAAAGTTTATCAAATTGTTTTCATAAAACTCCTTCCTCTCCTTCCTCATTGATTTCAGCATGTGCAGACTTGCTTCATCAGTAATAAACTATTTGTTGTACAATAATCCTTTTAAAAAGATTTTTCAGGGGCTGGAGAAATGTCTCAGTGTTTAAGGAGAGTACTGACTGCTCTTCCAGAGGACCTGAGTTCAATTCCCAGCACATGATGGTGCACAACCGTCTATAATGAAATATGCTGCCCTCTTCTGGCATGCAGACAGAATACTATATATATAATAAATAAAATCTTTAAAAAAAACATAAACTTTAAAAAAATTGTAGCTGGGCTGTGGTGGCACACACCTTTAATCCCAGCACTTGGGAAGGAGAGGGGGGTAAATTTTTGTGTGTTCAAGGCCAGCCTGGTCTACAAAGCTAGTTCTAGATCAGCCAGGGCTACACATAGAAACCCTCTGCCAAAAAAGAAAGAAAGAAAGAAAGAAGATAGAAAGAAAGAAAGAAAAAGAAAACTGTAGCCAGGTGTTGGCGGCACACACCTTTAATCCCAGCACTCAGGAGGCAGAGGCAGGCGGAGGCAGAGTTTGAGGCCAGCCTGGTCTACAGAGCAAGTTCCAGAACTGGCTCCAAAGCTGCACAGAGAAACCCTGTCTTGAAAATCAAAAATAAAACAAACAAACAAAAGTTGTATATTTTATGTGTATCAGTGTTTCAGCTACAAGTATGTATGTGTACCATGTGTGTACCTAGTACCCACAGAGATCAGAAGGCAGCGTCAGATCCCCTGGAATTGTAGACACAGGTGGTTTTGAGCCACCATGTGGGTCCTGGGAACCAACCCTGGGTCCTCTGCAAGAGCAGCAAGTGCTCTTAACCACTAAGCCATCTCTCCATCCCCTCTAAAATTTACTTTATGAATTTCATATCATTCATTTTCTTACTTTACCACTATTGATTGCAAATTATATTTACAAAGATGGTTAAAAAGATATCCTTGTCCTCAAGCTGCATACAGCTATTAGAAGAGATTCAACTCAGTATCCAGCAGACTTAGGATATACAGGATACACTACAGATGCTTGAGACATTGAAGTCAGCCACGTGTGTTAACATCATTGTGCAAGATGAGGTAAGGGGTAAGACAATGTTACTGGGCAGGCTCATCTGCCTCGCAGCTTCCGAATACAAGTCTGTGTGATGACCCCAGCTACTTTCTATCTGTGCTCTCTTGGTCAAACTTCAGCTCAAGTTCTAACAACCATATGATCAGTGGCAGGTGAGGGCACACAAAGTCAAGATGAGGAACTGGGATTCAGGAAGCACAGCCCTTCCAACTGGCTTGTACTGTATTCTGGATATTTATTTCCCCATCTCTTTCTCAATGCTTCTCACTGAGTTCATAAACAGTGTATCTTGAATATATTCAAGTCTTTCCATCTTGTGTCCACAGGACACCATGCCTAGTACTGTACTCAGAGACTATAACTGCATCCAAGTGTTTCATGTGTTTGTGATATCTAGCAGGGTGTGGCTTCAGCCCAAACAAGAACACCTGCCGCTCTGACCACTAAACAAGTTCTTTCCCAAAGCAACAAGACAGACAACTGTAAGATCCAGTGCTCTTTCTTACCTTTAAGAGGGTATCATCTGCAAAGCCAAAGCCGTCTTTTAATAAAGCTGTGATGTAACTGAGATCCATGCATAGGAAAGGACTGCCTGAGGTGAAGCTCTCCAAGTTATCACACACTGAGAGTGAGAGAGAAAACAGCATTCAAGTTTGCAACAAAGAGCTGTAGGGTCTTCTCGAGCTGTAGGAAGTGGCTGAGTAAGCAAAAATGTCTGCATATAGTTGGTACCTGGGCTTCCTGTAGACTAGCCTGTCTACTGTGTACTGTATACATCTGTGTCCTGGTTACTTCTACAAGACTACAGCTTCTTTAGAACCTGCACATTTCTGGTATGAATCATCTATTCTCTGGGTGTGGTGACAGTACACACCTTTAATCCCAGCACTCAGGAGGCAGAGGCAGGCAGATCTCTGAGTTCGAGCCAAGCCGGGTCTACAGAATGAGTTCCAGGACAGCCACAGTTGTTACACAAAGAAACCCTGTCTTGTAAAAAAAAAATCTATTCATATTTATGTACATCTTAGCTTATTAGTTATGGGTGTGGGGGTGAGCGGGGTCAAGGCTCTGCTGGAAATCACGCCCAGGGCCTTGCACATATGAGGCAAGTTCTCAACACCTGAACTATACTTTCAGCAAGCTGTTTTTCAAATTTCTATGACATACTGTGGTCACTTAATACCAAGTCCTCAACTGAGGCCCAGTGGACAGGAAACTATAATGTAACTCTCTCCTGTGGCCACTGGAAAAGATGATTAATATTTTAGATTTGTGCCCTCAAGGATATCCCATGTGTTCTCTTGCTCAGTTTTTTATTACTGCTGATAAACCTATTTCAACTTAAGAGAGACAGTGTATGCGCCAGACTGTGTGTATAGCTAGCTCAGGTGTTAGAATGAAAAAAATAGAGTGAGCACAAGCCAGGCTGAGTGTATAGCTAGCTTGGGTGTTAGAATGATGGCCTAGCCCTCATGAGCCTGGGTTCCATCCCTGCTATCACATAAGTCAGTGACAGCGACTCATGCCTATAATCCTAGCACTTGAGAGGTGGATCAAAATTCAGGGTGCAGTGGTGGTGCACGCCTTTAATCCCAGTACTCGGGAGGCAGAGGCAGGTGGATCTCTGAGTTTGAAGACAGCCTGGTCTACAGAGCGAGTTCTAGGACAGGTTCCAAAGCTATAGAGAAAAACCCTGTCTTGAAAAACCAAACCAAACCAAATCAGAATTCAAGGTTATCCTCAGCTACACTACAAATGTGAGGCCATCCTGGGCTATGTAAGACTTTGTCTCAGAAAAACAAACAAAAACACAGAGAATAGTAATACAATAATAATAGCAAAAAAAGTGTAGAAAGTTTTTCTATTTCCCTGAAATGTCTTAGATCCCCATATTCTTTTTGACAGCGCCTAAAGCATCTTCCAGAAGACTGGAAGGCTCAGAAGTCCCAGGAGACCCTGCACTGGCAGCCACACTTCACAGCCCAACCTCAAGAATGTCCTAACACTTACCTTCCCTGGCTTTTCTTTCAAAATCTTCAACTTTTAAAACACCACCCTTTTCATAATCTAAAATGAAGCAGAATTGCTAGTGTCAATATGTCAAGAAAACAAGGACATTTATCCCAGTGATATACAGTAATAAAAACTAGAAATATACACTTCCCAACATAAAAGGCTGATACATAAACATGATATCTGTGCAATACAAATCCATTGTCTATTTTGTTTATTTATGATTAATGCATATTACCAATTTTGTATTATATATTTAACCACAATTTGTTATGATTTGGATAGGAAATGTCTCCTATAGGCTCACTGAGAGGTGACTGAACCATGGGGGATGTCCTTCATCAATTAAGGCATAGATGTATTCATAACTTGGTAACACAATTGGGAGGTAATGGGAACTTTTGGAGGTGGGGCTTAGGTGGGGCACATGGGTTAAGAGGAATGTGTAGCTGAGGGCTCAATTTAGGCCCCGCCCTCTGCTTCTCCCTTCTTTCTGGCGGCCATGAGGTAAGCAACTTTGCTCCTCTAATCCTTCAACCAGTATCTTCTGCCTTACTGTGGCAGAAAAAAGGAAGTTGCTGATCATGGACTGAAACTTCTGAAAGCATGATCCAAAAGAAACCCTTACTCCTCTAATGTCTCTCTCGTTTAGTATTTAGTCACAATTACAAAACAGCTAACATACAATTTTGTAATACAGATATAAAGCAAGCTGGTCCTGGAAGCACAGCTACTCAAGAGGCTGAGGCAGGGAATCACAATTACAAGGCCCACACAGGGTACCTAGTTCGTCTCAAAGTCATCGTGGGCAACTTAGATCTGTCTCAAAATGAAAAGTTAAAAAGGGGGCTTGAGCTATAATTTAATGGTAGAACACTTGCCTAGCATGTGCAGAGGTTCTAGATTCAACCCCATTACTGAAAAAAAAATGCAAAAAGACTCCAGATACAAAGTCAGGCATGGTGGCACATCTGAGTAACCCTATTACTCAGAAGGTTGGGAAAGAAGGATGGCTACTAATTCCAGGCCAGTCTGGGCTACATAGTTCAGTCCCAGCCTAGGATACATAGTAAAACCCTGCCTCAAACAGACTTTATGAACATTAGGTCATTTTCCACTTCCCAAAGACCTCAAGTATATTCACCTTTCCATTCTAGAGGCTAGTATAACACTACTGGAAAAGTTGATAAATCTCTCCAATCAACGCAAGCTTTAATGCCAGCATAGTCCCATTCTCTTCCTTCGTGACCTGACACCAGGCATGCACTCACCAATCAAGTGTGTATCGGCAGCTCGATCATAGTAGTAGGAGAAAGCGTAAAAGGAGCTTCCCCGAATCTCTTCCGCCTGGTGAAGTTTTCCTCGCACTACCCTCAGCACTTCTGCATAGCAGGGCTCAAAGCCCATCTCCCCTGTCAGGGTGAAAGTTTATCACTTGAGAAAAATGATGTGGCAAGAGTCACCTGTGGCAAGTTGATGGCTCAATGAGAGAGGAACAAGAACTCAAGGCGGCTGCGCCTTAGCAGTGAGCAGCAGTAGTGGAAGCAGCACAGCTATGGCTGAGGTTTAGGCTGAAGACCTTCACAGCAAGGAAGAGGAGCGGCTCCGGAAACAGCTGGACAATATGAGGGTGGAGTGACAGGTATTGTACGGTCCATGTTATTCAAGATATGAGTTGTCCACAAAGGCACTGACTAGACCCTCAATTATTAGATTCAGGGAGAAAAGGGCACTCCAGAAAGACGAGAGCAGGAGCAGGGACTGCTGGTTCTCTAAGTCTGAAAACCTGAAGACAAGAAGCAGCAGCAGAAGCAGCTGCACCTGCTGAACAAGCTAACCCAGAATTTCCTCCACAACAAAATAATAGCTGGGGGCTGAAGACATGACTTAATGAAGAACACTGGCTGCTCATTTAAAATTTTATTATTTTATGTGTGTGTGTTTTCCTGCATGTATATCTGTGCACCACATATTATCTGGTGCCTTCAGAGTCCAGAAGAGGCATGAGATCCTCTGGAACTGGCGTTTCAGACAGTTGTGAGTCATCATGCGGGTGCTGGGAATTGAACCCAGGTTTCTGAAAGAACAGCAAGTGTTCTTAACCACTGAGCCATCTCTCCAGCCCCACTCCCTGTACGTATAGAAGACCTGGGTTCAGAACACAGCAACCATGTGAAGGCTCACAACTAACTGTCCCTCCAGTCCCAGGGGACCTGACTTCCTCTTCTGACCTCCATGGGTACTAGGCGCACACACACAGTGCTCATACAAACATGCAGGCAAAAAACAAAATACATACGTACACATAAAAAAATAAATCTTTTATTTACTTATTTATTTATTTTGGTTTTTTGAGGTAGTGTTTCCCTGTGTAACAGTCCTAGCTGTCTGTAACTAGCTCTTTAGACCAGGCTGGCCTCGAGCTCACAGAGATTCATCTGCCTCTGCCTCTGCCTCTGCCTCTGCCTCCCAAATGCTGGGATTAAAGGCATGCGCCACCACTGCCCGGCCAAAAAAATAAACCTTAAAAACGACAAAAACATAAAATTAACTGAAGAAACCAAAAAAAGATGGCTGAGTTTTAGAAGTCTTAAAAAAAATGTGTGACCTTCCTCAACCTCACTGTTCATGTCCATGGCAGCTCCTCCCCTAACCTGCGTCACCAGAGACAGTCACAGCTACTGCGGTACTTACTGCCTGCCATTATGTTTCACAGTCTTTGTGAGCAATTATTCAGAAAGCTTGTTTCTTTCTCTGGCAATTTCCCCTTCACTTTAATGTCTGTGCCTTCTATAGTATCTGAAATGAATGATTCTTATCTCAATTGGGCTTTATTATAACTGAAGTTGTTAAACATACACTGGGTCTGAAAGAGGAACTCACAGTGCTGCACCAGACAGGTTACAACAGGTTTTTAGCTCCACCACGGGGCAGAACAGGATGCAGAGTAGCTGCTGCCCTGCTTGCTGGCCTCTGAACATACCAAGAGTGAGTGCTTTCAATATGGTAAGTCTCTCTGGGCTCTGGAACAGGATCCTATAGGACTCTTCCAGACCATGAACATACCAAAAGCGAGTGCTTCCAATACGGTAAGTCACTCTGGACTCTGGAACAGGTTCCTATAGGACTTTTACAGACCATGAACGATGAAGGGAATTTTAACCAGTGAAGAAACACGACTCACCTTCTTGGTTGCCACCATACTGATATTTCACACCCCCAAAGATCCACTCTGCTTCCAACCATCTTGGTAAACAGGCACTTCGAAATGTATGTCCCTCAGTTCCTGGAAGAACCACAACACAAGAAAGCATGCATGTGAGAGGGAGTGTAGAAGAAGCACACAAGGCTGCAAGGAATGATTAAGGGATCTGGGCCTTATAATCTTATGAAACTGGTTCCTTGGCTGCATCCTGTGGCAGGGATTCTTCACAGGCTCTATGGTAGTGGTGAACTCTCTAAATCAGAGGCAATTTTTCAGGCATATACACATTTGGCAGGATTTATAATTTTTATCACATCCCAAAGAAATAAAAAAATAGTAATAAGTTTCTTTCTTTAATAGAGGAACATTCCTCCACTGGTAGTTGAGAGAGTAAATGAAATAGAATTGAAGATACTTGGTAAACTGAAATGCTACGTGCTCCTCATCCCAGTACTAGCTTACTGTGAGCAAGGCACTGGAGTGCATCAGATGCGAAATCAGTTTAAGGTGAAGATGAGGGCACAGAAAGGTCAACGAATTGTTCCCAGTCATCAAACTGGGACTGCAGCCAGTTCTGCCTGTGCCCAGCTGTGAAGACAGAAAGGGAACTGCTCAGTCATTCCACTTGGCAAACACAACAGACCTTGTTTCCTGACAAAGGCTTGTACAATTTCCTACTAAACACTGTCGAGGCTTCAGCCTTGCAGACACAGGCTCTTACCCTATATGAGTAGCCCTCACTCTCAAGCTGACGGATACATCACAGCACCAGCCGTTTTTGTGTCTATTATGCGACACATGCTTCTCAAGCGGACACAACCCTTTGCTCCACAGAATGAATGCCAAGGAAGGGAAGAGGCGAGCTGCGACTGGCATCACTCCCACCGTCTCCCGCCACAAACTGGTACTCAGACAAACCTTTTGTTTCCAGGGCTCCCAGCGTTGCCAGTCTTGCAGCTTTCAATCCAAATCCCAGGTAACTGAAACAGAGGATTGACTGATTTCAGGCTGTCCTGATGTTTTCAGCCCTCTGCTGCCTTTTTCAGATGTGACGTGGTTCTCTGACTCCCTTTGGAAACATGGAAACTTGGCCCCATCTCTCTGTACCACGTTATTCACGTGACCAATAAAGAAGACTCTGGAGTCTGGATCAAGGATATGCAGTAAATGGCTCAGGTGTGATGCCGAAGACTAGATCATTCCTGGTGGTCCAGCCCGAGAACCAGCCCCAGAAAAAGCTCTCAGAGGTTTAGCTCTTATCAATTCCAGACTGCTTTCTCAACACTGGAGCCCAGGTCTCAGGAGCTGGTATGGAGCTCTGGCAGAGTTCTGGGCCTTCTCCACAGGCTCCCATCTAAAGAAAAACTGACTCTTACATCATAAAATTTTTTTGCCAAAAATGAGGATGCCTCCTACGTTTCTCAGGTTTGGTGTATGACTTAGGTTTCAGTAGACAGGGCTTAGGAGACTGGCAGAGACTTTCAGAGGCTGATAAGATACAGTAACAAATAGGAGTGCTTTGAAAAGTTATGAAAAGTAACACAATGTAAACTATTATTCTTCCCTACCCCCTCCTCACCTATGTGTATAGAGCTTAAAAGTGCTGTTAAACATCTCAAAGGAAGTGAGGTAGTCCCTAGGCGTTTGTTCCAGGGTTTTCTGCAAATCAGAAAAAGCAAAAAGACTTCAGCATCTGCAATTATATTAAGATTTTAGTACCACTATCCACAACCCTCTGCCCCAAAATCAGAGATGGGGAAGACTTTCTTCAGTCATTGACTACGTAGCCTATTCACAGTAGAGCTGACATCTTCAAACAGGGTGTCACTTTTCTGGCACCATGATACTGTCTAAGTGTGTAGCCAACAGGGCCTTAATAAAGTGACTCACCGCAAACTGGGGTAGAAACGTGATTTGGGTGGAGGCACCCCCCAGGTCAAGGATCCCCACAGTCTCCTGGCCATGGTCATGCAGTTGACCTGTTAATGAGAGCAAGGTATGAGTACCCAGGCCACCCAGATACTCTGTCTGGAGGTTCTCCTCTGCTTTTGTGCACCAAAGGTATTTGTCACAACTGACTGCTCTCTGAGCCCAGAGGCTGCAGGCTAATGTAAACTCAAGGCCTTGCTGAAGCTGAGGCCTTGAAAGCAGATTATAAAATTAGCTTATCTCCCTAACCTCTTCTTTTTTAAAAAAAAGATATTTTTTTTTCAATTTAATTATGTGGGTTGTGGTTATATACACATGAGTGTGGCTGTCCAGAAGTTAGAGGCCTGGAGCTGAAATTACAGGTACCCAAGGGTCTTTGGAAAGAACAGTAAGCACTTTTAACTCCTGAGCCATTTCTCCAACCCAGCCCCCTCTTTTAAAGGAAGTGCAGCACTAGGGAGGCAGAAGCAGGCGGATCTCTGTGAGTTCAAGGCCAGCCAGCTCTACAAGAGTTAGTTCCAGGGGGCTGGAGAGATGGCTCAGAGGTTAAGAGCACTGACTGCTCTTCCAGAGGTCCTGAGTTCAATTCTGGCTCACGGCCATCTGTAATGAGATCTGGTGCCCTCTTCTGGCCAGCAAGCATACAGACAGACAGAACACTGTATACATAATAAGTAAATCTTTAAAAAAAAAAAAAAAAAAAAAGCTAGTTCCAGGACAGGCTCCAAAGCTACAGAAAAACCCTGTCTCAAAAAAACAAACAACAAATACAAAAAACAAAAACCCCAAAACAAAGAAAGAACAGTATAGGAAGAAAGAAGTAGACTTTACCCTCCTGGTAAAAATAAAACAAAAACTATAAAAGCCAGTTAAAGATAAATTTCAAGATGTATTTAATTTACCTGTTAGAAAGTTCACAGTAACCCAAGCTAATATGCCTAAAAGAAGAGAAAAACAAAAGATTCTAGATCATTTTCCTCTCCATTCTATTTCTCTCTAATTTTCATGTCTAGAGCATTGTCTCCTTGCCCCATCTCTCCCTATTTACTTAGCTCCTCTTTCTTTCATGCTGGATTCTTATTCCCAGTCCCTTTAACTGGATCTTCCATTGACTCCACCCGCTTTCCCCACAGGATGAATTTCAGCGTCTGTCCCACCTTCATCAGACCCATCCATGATGGTGACGCTGTCATCTGGGACCAGGAAAGGCGACTTCTTGAAGAGCTCCTCTACCTACGGAAAAGTGCAGAAAACCCAGGTTCCGCGAGGCAGTAAAACAAATGGTCAGTAGTGATCCCATTGGCTGAGTCCTCTGTGTCTTAGGAAACAGCTCTCTCTCATGCTCTCCCGAGATAAGACGATAGCAGCACTTACTCCTTTCCCCCAGGAAGCCAGAGCAGGAACTAGGCAAGGATATAATTTTCTTGAAAAAATATAAGCACATGGTATGGACTTCTTAAGAAACCATCTAGCTGGGCGGTGGTTACAAAGCTACAGAGAAACCCTGCCTCCAAAAACAAAAACAAACAAACAAAAAAGAAACCCATCTAAATTTATTACCAATTGGACATAGGGAAGAACATATATTTAACCCTTCCAACTGAATCAAGAGCCTATAATTTTTGTTAGCACCCTGACTAACTCTACCTGGTCGGGTGGTGAACGCTGATAAGCCTAGGAGCTGAGGCACTTTCCCTCTGCTGGACTGCTGCACAGCTAGGGCTTCTAGAGATTTAGGGGTCCTCACACCTGGCCTCATGGAGTCTTACTGAAGAGGTGTGAATGAAGGCCTTACACAAATGTTCCTGATTCTTCATAAGTATAGACCACTGATACATGCATTACGGCCTTAAAATGTTTTTAAAGTACATTTATGGATTTTTGTGTATGAGTGTGCACATATGTGTGCATTCATGTGGGCCTGTGCATGCCACAGTACATGTCTGGAGGGTAGAAGACAACTCTCAGGGGTCAGTTAGATCCTTCTACCATGAGAGTCTTGGAGACAAAACTTGGGTTATCAAGCATGGTGGCAAGCACCCCTAACCCTGAGTCACCTCACTGGCCTATAGTTTATTTTTACACTACTATTTTAGGTGAGGGACTCTCTAAATATAAATATAAAGGACTCTGTCTTCTCAGTGTGGGGTCACAGGTGCATACTCCCATGCCCGCCTTGTGTGGATGAGAGGAAGCAAGACTAAGGCCCTCATGCTTGCACTGTTTCCAGGCTGGTGCTTTAGAAATGGACAACAGATTATTTCTCCTTAGCTTAAAACATCCAGATAGCTTCCTTAAGAAAAAAACATAAACAAAAAAACAAGGCCAGGCTGGAGAGACAGCTCAATTAAGAGCACTGACTGGTCTTTCAGAGGACTCAGGTTCAATTCCCAGCACCCACTGACAGCTCACAGCAGCCGTCTATAATGGGATCTGATGCCCTTTTAATACTGATATGATTACTTCCTGTCACCCTGCTTCCCTACTGCCTCCTGTCCTCTCAAGCCAGCCACAGGACTTCCTGGAAGCTGCTCCTGACTTCAGACTTTCCATCTGCTCTTTCTTTAGTCTGAAATAGTCTTCTTACAAGTGACTTGTATAATCCTTCATTCTCCTCAGATTTCTCACCAAATGAATTATGTCTAAGAGATTTGGCTAGAGAGATGGCTCGGCATATGAGAAAACACACTGCTCGAAGGGATCGTTGCTCTACTGAACACAATTATGCCCTACAGTATTCCCTATGTGCTTTACCCTTCTGTATCTTTCCACAGGATCTACGGAGCATGAAATACTCTGCAGTAACTGATTTAGTTGCTTATCTTCTGTCTTCCTAAAACTAAAATGTAAGCTCTATGCAGGCACTGACTGTATCCTTTTCATTCCTTATCTATATCTCCAGTAATTTCACTGTGCCCAAAACATGATTAAACACTCAGATGGTAGATAAATGAATGAATGAATGAGGATGAAGAATTGAGATCTTAGGGGCTGGAGAGATGGCTCGGAGGTTAAGAGCACTTGTTGCTCTCGCAGGGACCAGGTTCCATTCCATCACTCACACAGTGGTTCACAAACCTCTATTACTTCAGTTTCAAGGGATCTAACCACCTCTTCTCACCTCCATAGGAACAAGGCATGCTTTTGGTACACAGAAATGCATGCAAGTAAAATAAAATAAAAAATAAATCTAAAGAAAAAACTTTTCAATAAAAATTGGGATTTGAATTCCCACAGACATGCTTGCACAAGAACTTAAGCCCTACGGGCTGAGAGTCAAGAAAACCTGCTCACAGTGAGATCTTGTTAACGGCTTGCCTTAAACTAGGACAAGAACATGATTCAGGTGGAGGCACTTTGGGGGCAGAATCCCACTCTGCTGTGATTATTTTTAATTATAATGAGATTCTGCCTATATAAATGTTCTTTACAACATGAAATCTAATGTTTACTATATCTTGTAATATCTTTATTATATACATACAATAGAATATAAAGTTTAATAAAATTGTATTTAAATTTTTAAAAATATTCCCAACATTTTATGCTGAGAGAAAAAAAAAACAGACTTACAAAGCCAGAGACTATGAACTGTATAATGTTTAATTTTATGAAACATAAGAAGAAACAAAACTCATATACAGTGAGAGAATGCAAATCTGTGGTTGCCTGGTTTCAAGAGTAGTGAAAACAGACTAAAAAAGGGTACAAGACCTCTATTTGTCAAAACACCTTTATCTGAGTACTTTAAATGTACATTTACATTTTAATTTGTGTGTGCATATTTGCAGGTGTGTACACATCTGCGTGCACAGATGTATGCAGGGCAGAGGTCAATTTTGAGCTTTCTTTCTCAAGGTCTGTCACCTTCATTTCTGAGACAGGATTTCTCACTGGGACCTGGGTTATGCTGGTTGGCCAACAAGTCCCAGAAATCTCCTGTCTTCATTTCCGCAGCACTGAGATTTTAAATATGTGCCACCATGCCTGGTACTTTTAAAAAAAATATTTATTTATTTATTATGTATACAATAGTCTGTCTGTGTGTGTATGCCTGTACGCCAGAAGAGGGCACCAGACCCCATTACAGATGGTTGTGAGCCACTATTGGTTGCTGGGAATTGAACTCAGGACCTTTGGGAAGAGCAGGCAATGCTCTTAACCTCTGAGCCATCTCTCCAGCCCCCAGGCCTGGTACTTTTATGGATGTGCTGGGGATCCAATGCTCAGACCCTAATAAGTAGACAGATTTCATTATATGTAATTTTTCTTCAGTAGAGTTTACTTAAAACCATGCCTATACTATACCTTTGGAAAATTCAAATAAATGATATCTTGGAGGGCAGGTGAGCTGGCTTAGTGGGTAAGGGTATTTGTCACCAAACCTCATTATCTGAGTTTGATCTCTAGAATTCACTTGATGGAAGGTGTGAATGAACTTTAAGTTGACCTCTGACCTCCATGCTGCACAGTGGCACATGTTGAGTTCACACACACACACACACACACACACACACACACACACACAAACATTCAAAATAAACAAATAAATAAATGCAATAAAAATATCATGGAAGAAGTACTTTGAACTTTTAAGGAAAACCTCTTTAAGTTGAAGGGTAGTAATTTAAAATGTAAATGACCAGCTGACTATCCCAGTCACCACAATAACTGGGCAATGATGGGATACTAAAAGCAGTAGTCACTCCCGAGTACTTCTTAGAAGGAAAAAACAGAAACAAAACCCAGCATTATCCAAGATTCAGATTCAGAAATCACCTCGAAGAGCAGAGCTTGGGCTTTCTGTTCTGGCAGTAAACGCAGTCCAGCCGTTGCTTTCAGAACCACTGGGGTCCTTTTCCAATGACTTTTGGGGATTGAGTCTTTGGCCAAATCTAAGAGTTCTTGAACAGTCTCAGCACCCTTGAAAAGAGAATGGCACTAGTATTAGTGGTTAAAAGCATTAGCTTTCTTATAAGAACCCAGGTTTGATTCCCAGCACCCACATGGCAGCTAACGACTGTCTGATGCCCTCTTCTGTCCACCACAGGCAATGGTGCAGATAGGAAAAACACCCATACACAAAATGAAATGAAAAAAAAAAAACCCTCTGTTTATTACGGGAAAATTTACTCTGATAACAAGCTACCCTTTGAGACAAAACTTCTTTAATTCTCCTGCTTCAGTCTTCCATATGCTGGCTGAGATGACAGGTATGAGCCAGCACACTCCTCCTCTTAGCAAACATAATGCAATCCTCCTTTCTAAATGTCAAATCCTCTTCTGCTAATGAAGTTGCTTTCAACAGTTCAGACCCTAGCACATTTGCCAATTACCTGCTGAACTAGCAAACACATTTCAGTTCTTTAAGCTCACACTGTTTTATTTATTTGTTTAAGACAAGGTCTCTCTGTGGCCCAGGCTGTCAAAACAAAACAATACATTTCACTATATAGCCTAAATTGGTCTCAAACTCTTAGTAATCTTCCTGCCTCAGACGACCAAATGCTGGGATTACAGGTATGAGCCACCACACCCGGCCAGGTTGGCAGCTAGCAAGCCCCATCAATCCTCCTGTCTCTGATCCCCATAGTGCTGTGGTGACAAGCAGTCAAGCACGGACATGTCACCTTTTTCCATGGGCTCTGGGGTCTGAGCTCAGCTCCTCACACTTGCACAGCAAGCACTCCTAACCACTGGGGCACCTGCCCCACTCCCCAGATCTATTTCTACCCTTTTTTCTACTCCTTGTGAGTCTGGGGTATACAGTTCAGAACCTCACTAAGAAGGAAAAATGGTCTCACATGCCCTCACTATTATTACTGAACAGCACGAGATTTACAACATGAGTTTAATGACAGGGGTGTTGTAGAGTTATCAAGAGACTGAAACAGTATGGGCACAATTTTAAGGCCTTCTAATGCCACTGAGTGTGTTCAAGGTCAACTGTGTCAACTTAGTGAGACGCTCACCCAAATACGAAGTAAAAGGTTTCTTGGACAGAGCTCAAGCACAGAGCACTCACTCTGGGCTTTCTCCTTAGCATATACAACATGGAAACAAACCCATCAATCATAACCCACCTGCTTGGGTTGATCTGCAAAAGCAGAAAGTCCTGGCTTCACAGACTCAAAAATCTCTCCTTCCAGAAAGGGAAGCTGTCCTGTTTTGTCCATGAAACAGAGAGGGGGTGGGGGTTACCAGATGTCAGACTACCTCAGATGCTAATCTCTAGACATTGCTGTATGATTTAGTAGATTAAAATAGTCTCCAGCTGAGCTGTGAGGAATGCTTTGCAGAATTGTTAGGAAGGAGACTACAGGGTGTTATGCAACCCTGACGGTCCCTCTGCTCTCTCTCTGGTGGGACTCCAGCTCTTATTCCTTCCCCCAACTCTCTCTTTCTTTTTCAAACTGTTAATAGACTTTGGAGACAGTTTCACTATGTAGCCCAGGCTGGCCTTGAGCTCCCTACACAACCTCAGCTGGCCTTGAATTATGGTTCTCCTGCCTGAGTTCCTGGGCTCTTTAGATAACCCAAGGGGGGGGGGGACCTGTCATTTCAGAGAAAGTTAGTATTCAAGGTCCCCTCAGTTCCCTTTCCAAGGATGGTAGTGAAAATTTATTGGGACACTTTCCCCCAGAATCACTGCCAGCATTCTCAATTTTCTGGACCTCTGGGGTATTAACCTTTAGAGAAGATGGACAAGTTACAGCTATACTTGGACAAAACTATCTATCTATCTATCCATCCATGAGACAATGCCTGTTGTGTGGCAGAGGATGACCGTATTCTCCTGCTTTCACCTCCATGCACTAGCATGCACAGTTTATGTGCTCTTGTGGATCAAGCTCAGTACTTCACGAAACTTAGGCAAATGCTCCCCATACTGAGCTACGTCCCTAGTTCATCCCACAAGTCTCTCTTGATTCCACATTAAACTAAACTATGTGTTCAATAATATCTCTGAAGAATGATATCCAACAGCTGGAAGGTTCTCTAATCCACACCACACCCAGCACATCTGTTTCTGGAAGAAGATGCTAAGGCATAGACACATGCAGACTGCAAAGGGCCCCAGCTGCACTTACCTGCTGTTTTCTGCACAAAAGTGTAAACATGAATTCGAGTTCCAGTGCTGCCTGCATCAAACATAATCCCATAAAAGGTGCTGGCACTGACATTAACGGGGCACATGGAAGACAAGAAGACACCCTCGAACCATGTCTGCTGTTCTCTGTAGAAGACAGTGCTGCTAACACAGGCTATCATCAGCATGAAAAAGACAGCGTCCCAAGAAGTGGCCATATTCTTCCCAAGATGTGGACCAGAGGCTTTGCTGCTGAAGCAGGGCTGTTCACACTCCTGTAGGGGCTTAGGGAACAAAGATACGCAGGTTAGTCAACTGGCTTTTATGGTTAATCTATTTTAATAAATAAATGAATAATTCATTATGGAAATCCTACAGATCTCCAAGGTGGTCCTTCTCTATTTCTCATAACCAGTACAACAAGCTGAACCAGGGCAACACGGGCTCTTAGGCCTTTCTACCAAAGAGTATCTGGTTCCAAGAGGAAACTGGGATTTAAAATATACTTTCCCACACTTTGTCTTGAATTGTAGGGTGGTTTTCACACACTCAAAGGCTGTCTTCTTCCCTGCTTCTATGGGTCGGCTTAACTTTCTTCTTTCCATTTTGAGAAATTTGCCTTTATATCACAAACATGTCTTCCTCCTCTTGGTTTTGACTGGCACTTAAGAAGCTCTTTGGGGGCTGGAGAGATGGCACTGCCTGCTCGTCCAGAGGTCCTGAGTTCAATTCCTAAATTCCTAGCAACCACATGGTGGCTCACAGCCATCTATAATAAGATCTGGTGCTCTCTTCTGGGATGCAGGCATACATGATATATAAATAAATCTTTAAAAAAGAAGTTTCATTCAACTGGGCCTGATGATACAGACCTGTAATCCCAGCTATTCATGAGGCTAAGGTTGGAAGGATCACAAGTTTGAGATCTACCTGGGCTGCAAAGTGAGTTTAAGGTCAGCTTGTTCAATTTAAGAAAGTTATTTCAAAATGGAACATTTTAAAGGGGGATGTAGGTCAATTAGAATGCTTGACTAGTATGCATAAACCCCCAAGTTTGATATTCTGCATCCCATGAACCAAGCATGGAAGTACAAGTTTGTCATCTCAGCGCTTGGGGAAAGTAGAGGCCAAGGGTCAGAATTTCAAATCATCCTTGCCTACTGCGTAGTTTAAATAGGTGTGGCCCCCATAGACTCACGTGTTTGAATGTTTATCTGTAGGGAGTGGCACTATTCAGAGGTGTGGTCTTGTTGGAATCGGTGTAATCTTTTTGGAGGAAATGTGGACTTGGGCTTTGAGGTTTCCTATGCTCAAGCTACACCCAGTGACACAGTTTACAATTTGCACAGAAGAACTTGCTGGAAGCGCTTTTTTTAAAAATTTATTTTATTATGTATACAACACTCTGCCTCCATGTATGCCCGCATGCCGGAAGAAGGCACCAGATCTCAATACAGATGGTTGTGAGCCACCAGGTGGGAAGTGAACTCAGGACCTCTGGAAGAGCAGCCAGTGCTCTTAACCATGCTGAGCCATCTCTTCAGCCCCCACAACTGTATTTTTAAATGTGCCTTCAGAAGAGACAAACCCAGCAATGTGTTAGCTAACTATTTGTTTTGTTTTTAAAACATTCATGTATTTATTTATTTTGGGTGTGCCACAACACTTGATTGAGGGTCAGAGGACAACTTGAGGGAATCAGTTCTTTTTTTTAAAAAAAAAAATTATTTATTTATTTATTATGTATACAATATTTTTTCTGCATGTATGCCTGCAGGCCAGAAGAGGGCACCAGGCCTCATTACAGATGGTTGTGAGCCACCATGGGGTTGCTGGGAATTGAACTCAGAACCTTTGGAAGAGCAGGCAATGCTCTTAACCTCTGAGCCATCTCTCCAGCCCCTAACTATTTGTTTTGAATTTGTCCAAATGATGCTGGAAACCTAGCATAAAAGCAAGGAACACAACAGAGAGAACACAACTGTCAAGCCTGAGTCCTGGGTTTCAGTCCAGTGCTTGTATCCCCTGGGGAGTTACACAACCCTGACGAGTCCCTTAGCCTCCGAGGCTTCACTGCCTCCTCTGTGAAAGGGGGGTGAGAACAAGGGTTCTGTTTCTTCTATATGGTTTTCTGTTTTTAAATCACAAAATATTGTTTAAAGATTGATTATTTAATATGTTCTAATCTTTTCTGAGGTCTGATGTTGTGGGAAATGGGAAGAAACAATGAATTTGTTATTATTGTTATATTATTATCACTTACTATTATTACTGACATTTTCAAAATGTACAAGAGGCTTTTTTTCATCATAATGCATCAAAGCCATTAAAGGAAGTGTGAATGTTCTTGAAATATGTGATGAAACCTTCAGTAGCAGGGCTAGAGAGATGGCTCAGAAGTTAAGAGTATTACTGCTCTTACAGAAGCGCTGAGTTGGGTTCCCAGCACCCACACAGGGTAATTCACAACTGTCTATCCAGATCCTGGGGGATCTGATACTCTCATACAAGCACTCATCCAACACACACAATTAGAACAAAATAAATCTCATTTTAAAAAAAAAACCCAAACCTTCAGTAGTAGCATTCAGTGGAACAACGAAATCAATTCTACCTGGTTGTTTTAAACATTTATTCTTTCCTAGATGGACATTACATGAAAACCAAACCAAACAGGGCACTCTTCTTGGTGATTTCCAGCTGACCTACACTGTGAAGAGAGCTAGAGCCCTTGTGCTGGGGTTTCTCAGCCTCATCACAGATACTTGGGGCTGACGGCTCCTAGTCACAGGCTATTCCACGTATAGGAGGTTGTTTAGTGGCATCTCTGGCCTGTACTCACTAGATGTCTGTAGAAGGCTTCACTGCAACCCTCCCCAGTATATCAGCTGTGACAACTGGAAGTGACTCTGGACATCTCCAGCCATCTCTTGGCTGTTTGCTCCTGCTTTCCTGGTAGCAGTAAAAAATGCCACAGCTATCCTCTAACAGTTAAGTCTTGCTTAGTCGACTATTATGTATTTACTCCAAAATGTTCCGTTTCTGAACCTCTGCGTTGAGTCAATACTACTGGTTAATTCACAAGATCTGAAACCAAAGCCTACTTCCCAGGCTTTTTATCCCTAATAGAACACTTGGTACATACAGAGTACACAGAGTAGGGGTCCTTGATTATTCTCCTTTGTTAACCATCTGGGGTTTGTTTAGCCAAAACACTTCTCTCCCCAGAAACAACATATTACATAAAGTTAAGCAAATGAAAGTTTAAACTTGAGGTTTACAAATATTTAAAGGAGCTGTGGTTATAGAGCACACTGCGATGGGCAATGGCTACTGAAAAGCTACTGGAGCCCCGAGGCTCAATTTCCATCCTATGACTAAGAAGGAAAGCTATTATTTAGGGAAAAAACAAAACAGTGAGAATTGCTAATCTTTCAGAATCCCAAACAAAGGAAACTCCATCCCAGGAAAGCAATCACAGAAGGGGCACGTGCCTGGCCAGACTTGAAGTGAGTGGTACTCACTTCTTTTTTTTTTCTTTTGGTTTTTCGAAGACAGGGTTTCTCTGTAGCTTTGCAGCCTGTCCTGGAACTAGTTCTGTAGACCAGGCTGGGCTCGAACTCAGAGAGACCCGCCTGCCTCTGCCTCCCGAGTGCTGGGATTAAAGGCGTGCGCCACCCACCGCCCGGTCGACTTGTACTCACCTCTTAAAGCACTACCTTCGCTGGCTCTCCTTTTACAGCAAGCGGGCAGCTCATGAAGGTCAACTTAAATAGCTGAAAGCAGAAATATATTTTAGATATTCTTGTGTTTTGAGACAAAGTTGCTTTTTTTTTTTAAAAATGTAGTCTTAGCTGGGCTTGAACTCATAGAGATCAGCCTGCTTCTGCCTCTCAGTGCGATGATTAGCAGAATGCATCACCATGCCCAGCTGCTTTAGACTTTGTTCATCGGCTTTCTCACTCTGTCACTAAACTCCTTCCGGGGTCACTCGGATTTTCTGCATTACTGTAGTTTCCATAAACCTCTCCAGCAAACATTCATTGAGCAGACATCTGTTTTCTTCCAGAAGAGATTAAAAAGGGAAGAAACACACACTGGGTATCTGTTTTCATGGAGCTAGAAACTGCAGAGTCATACTTGTGTGAGAAGGTCAAGCAAAGGGTTTACAAGAAAGCGAGACGACACGAGATTCCCTCTGCCCTCGGCATCTGGCTTCTACACCTCTAAGACTGGCTATCTTGACATGGTATTAGAAGGGCTTTCGCTGTGGAGCTGACGGCGGCACTGCATTTCACAAGGCCTGCTTGCACGGCTTGCTCACTTTTTCAGTCTTTACTCACCTGCCACTTTCTCAGTGAAATCCTCCCTGCTTTCCTTTTTGAAAACTGCAACTCAGCTAACTACATGCTCTCTCTTTATTTTTCTTCACAGTGACTTCCTCCTCCCAACTCCCAGTCTACTCTATTTCCATGTTCCTCCTTTCTCCACTTCTATTTTCCATGTTCCTCCACCTACAGGGATTTTTGAGTTTTGCTTCTTATGTGTTTATGGCTAGAACAGTGATAATGCGCTGTAGGTGCTGGATAAACACCCCGAAGGGATCAAAGCAGACCTACTAGCTCAGACATAGGTCCGGATCATTTAGCACAGCATAGGAGCTTGACTTCTTTCCAAAGAATTAATCTCCCCACACCGGAGAACTTGATCCCAAGCTGCCAAGGACAGACTATTTTACATAGAAGTTTCACTTTGTCCAAATAAGTTAAGTTTTGTATGCTACACAAAACAATATAGATAGTTGTTTCCTTTTTAAAGACTGGGAAGAATACAATATTTTAAATCCACTCTTTTCAGAATTGTTTTCTCCAGTAATCTCTTGCTCATTCTCTTCTCCCCAACACAGGTAATGTGCGCCCGTCTCCTGTTACTGTCTTTTCAAAAGTAGTTTTCGGTTTGTTTCTGATGTCTTCCTATGTGGCTCAGGCTAGCCTCTAACTCAGATCCTGCTGCTGCCTTCACCTCCTGAGCTCATCACAGTTTCTTTATAACCAGAGCAAACACTAGCCCTCCTGCCAGCCTCCCCTGAGCTTCAGTTTGCTTCTTCCTCATCTTCCATGCCCTCTAGACTACAGGAGACCACAATGCCCCATGAGGTACTCACCAGAGCCTGTCTGCCTGTTTGCTAGGAGTGTTGCGTTCACTGTGGATTGCTTTTGCTCTTTGCTCCTTGTTGAGCCCTTCTGAAACAAGCCTTGCTTCACACATGAGTCACCCTGTGCTACTTTGCAACTGTGTAGATTTTTGCCAACTCATTCTCTTTTATCTTTTATCATTTATCTTTCATTCTTCCCTTCTCCACCTTTTGTGTGCATTTACTTCTATAATTGCTAAATGCCAACCAACAGAATTATTGTTTCTAAGGCAGAGTTTTCTTTTTTGGGTGGGTGGGTGGGTGGTGTTTTGAGACAGAGTTTCTCTGTGTAGCCCTGGTGGTCCTGGAACTCACTTTGTAGACCAGGCAGGTCTCAAACTTAGAGATCTATCTGTCTCTGCCTCTTGAATGCTGGGACTAAAGGTGTGTATTACCACTGCCCGATAGGGCAGAAGTTTCTTAAGAACTGAAATCTAGCTGGGGCGGTAGTGGCACACACCTTTAATCCCAGCAGGGAGGCAGAAGCAGGGGGTTCTCTATGAGTTCAAGGCCAGCCTGGTCTACAGAGCTAGTTCCAGGACAGCTAGCTAGGGCTGTTAGACAGAAAAACCCTATCCTGAAGCATAAAAACAAAACAAAAGTGAATTCTAGTGGGGCTTGGTAGCACAGGGCTGTAACCCGAGCACACGAGAGGTTGAGATATGAAGATTGAAAGTCTGAATTCACCTGGGGATAAAAGAGTTCAAGGCCAGCCGGGAAGCAGTAGTGAAAGCTGGTGTGGGTGAACTGTCTGTATTCTGTCAATCATGTTTTAAATAAAACGCTGATTGGCCAGGCAGGAGGTGTAGGTGGAAAAACCAGACAGAAGTGGAAATGATGCGAGGAGAGCAGCCTGGGGAGGAGGAAGTTGACTCCTCGCACTCCTGCTCAGGCCACCGAAGGAGCAGGATGTGAGCTGCCTCACTGAAAAATGTACTGAGCCACAAGGCTAACACAGATCAGAAAAATGGGTTAATCAGGATGTGAGAGTTAGCCAGTAAGAAGCCTGACCTAACGGGCCAATCAGCTTTATAACTTATAGAGATCTCTTATGTGATTTTTCTCTGGGACTAAACAGCTGGGGGAACTGGGCAGGACAGAAAACCCAAACAAGCAGGCCCGGCTCCCTTCATGTTACAGAAAGCCTTTAATCCCAGCACTTGGGAGGCAGGGGCAGAGGCAGAAATCTGTGAGTTCGAGGCTAGCCTGGTCTACAAGAGCTAGTTCCAGGACAGGCTCCAAAGAGAGAAACCCTGTCTTTAAAAAAAACCACAAAAAAAAAAGAAAGAAAGAAAGAAAGAAAGAAAAGAGTTCAAGGCCACCATGAGCTAAGTAATGAGATCTTGTCTCAAAAAATAAAACAAATGAAAATAAAATAAATCCTTGAATTTTACTTTTTTACTTATGTGTATGTGCCGGCCTTGCTGGGTCTGCACTGTTTGTGAGTGCCCAGAAAGGCCAGAAGGTGGCGTTGTGTGCCCTGAACCTGGAGTTCCAGATAGTCATGAGCTACCAAATGGGTGCTGGGATCCAAACCTGGGATCTCTACAAGACAAACAAGTGCTCTTAACCTCTGAGTTAAGCCATCTCTCCTTGAGTTGTTTGTACATTAGATAAAAGGTGGACAAGTTAATGATAACTTCCGTTCCTGGGATGGTCTCTAGAAAGCCAGGCAGTGGTTTTCCAACTAAGTGTCTAACATATCAGCATCAGGCTAGAGTCTAGACCCATAAAGGACATCGGCTTTAGTGGGGAGACTTACTAAAAAAATATCAGATGGGTAAACTAATGGCTACAATGTATTGGGATAAGTACTCTGGGAGAAATGTGTGCAGGGTGCTAACTGCTTAGGAGGGGGAGAAGAGGGGTAGGTGATGAATGGGAGGCTTAAAGAATGAGAGGCCAAGGTAGACCCTGAGTCAGAAGCAGGCATTAACTTGAAGAGAATTTCTGAGGATCTCAAGTATGCCTAGAAAATACAAGTGTTCCAGAATAGAGGCCAAATGTGAGGAAGGATAGTTCTGGAGGCCCTAACTCAGAGTTTTAAAGCAGTAGGCTTATTTATCTTGTATGGTTCCATGGTAACACCCTGAGGTAATTGTTTAGGTCTTTCTACTCCCTCCCTAAGCAAACAGCAATATAGATTAGCTTGGATAAAATGGCAGCATTTGGCAATAATTTGAATAATCTTATCAATAAGATAAGAGACTAGAGAAGTCCATCTGAAGTCCTGAAAACAGTGACATGTAAACCAGCCTATTGTCAATTTATCTGTGCCCACAGCAAAGCTGTCTTTAACAAGGTTAAACATTAAGCATAGGGCAAGTTTAAAATGTAACACAGATAACAGTTTTGAACAGTGAACTTAACTACAGGACTAGAAATGGCCAAAGCCACACCAAGCAAAAGGAGGTAGGTCTCAAAGGTGAGTGTGGGAGAGTTCAGCAGTGACTCATCTGGGACCTGATATCTGAAGGCGATGGGCATACATAACACCTTTTAGGTTTTCAAAGTCAAATGTAGGACCTTAGACACCCACGAATGCACCTGAAATGTGCCAAGGGAACATGCAGTGGAGAAAGGGAGTACCCGATCAGGCCATCCTGGTCTACCTAATGAGTCCCAGATTTAGATGGTGACAGCCTGTCTAAAAAAAAATAAATAAATAAAAAAAATAAAAAAAAGTGATAGGAGAAAATTAGTAAAAATTTAAAACTGTTTTTTAAAAACCCTTAAATCTATTTGTTAATAGTCTCATCATATAAGTAAAAGAATCAAAATTACACTTCACACAATATTCTGCTCATTTCTATAAGCAAAATCTAATTAAAAATTTCAAATAAAAATGAGATACATTTCTGAGAGAAAGAGGAAAATAAGTAAGCCACAATTTCTACCAGTAAGTAATTGAACAACCTACTAAAACTAAATACTCAGAGTAAAAACACAAACATAAAAGGAACTTACTTTACACTGCATACATTAAAATGTTCTAACCACAGAGCAGCAGATTGATAAGGTATTAAAGAGATACTGGTAGAAAGTGGTACTACTGACCACCAGCACAGCTCTGAAATCACAGAAAGACCTAACCACATGTCATTTGAAATGTCAATAAAACTAATAAAGGCTTAATGAAAAATCAATTTTTATTAAAGTCCACTAAAACTGTGTGCATGGAGACAGAGCATGCTCAAATAGTAAAACCTTCCCAGTGAGGTCATTCAGCTCACACTGGGGGTGGGGGTGGGGGAAGGGAGGGAAGGCTCTTTGCCTCAAAGTCTGGGCCAAAATCTCACCATGCTAGTCAGGGTGGATTCCCATCAGGAGGGTAGTGAGTCATACATTCTTTAAGGTCCTACAGTCTTCAAATCAAATACCATAACTCCCATTAAAGGATTAGAACTGATGCACTGGTAGACAACAGATATAAAACTCTTTCTTATATGCAGATTCCTTCCTTCTGTAGTTTGTCTCCGTCAGAACGGCGTTGGATTTTCAGACCACTCGTGTGTATAAGGGTCGTTCTGTACAATGGAGCCATGCGGGTGCTATTTCAAAATGAGTCTGGCAGTGCAAGCCTTCTTCTCCATTGCTGTAAGCTCGACTGAGTGGGCTACAACAATTACCTTCCAGAGCAGACAGCTGCTGCTATTGCTCCCTCCTTCCTCACAATCACAAGGTGCTTCCTTAGCCATGCGTGAAGAATCAGTCTTTTAGATAGGAATACATCATTAATCGGAGAGGGGTTCATACTGCCCGATAAACAAATGTAGTAAAAATATGAGGTGATAAGCTATCTCTACCTCATAAATAAGTATTGACTGTGGGAGGCATTTACAGCAACCCCTTTATCCAGTTTTGCTTAGCAAAGTTTCAGCTATCCACAGCTGACTGTGGTTGAAAAACATTTAAATGGAAAATTCTGAAAATAAGTTTCAAATGTCTTCTTATCAAAGCATAGTTATATTTATCCTATTTTATCATTTATTATTGTACTTTACTTATAAATTAAACTGTCTCACAAGCAGGAGCAAACAGGAAGACATTATATATAGGATTCAGTAACTTTTTTGGAGATAGAGTCTCACTATGCAGCCCTGCAAAAGAGTAATTACTAAAGATCAGTAATTACTAAAGCCCCAGTTCTAAACTTGACTGTGGGAACATATGCCCTACAGTGCACATGTGCATGTGTACTGTGTGTGTGTGTGTGTGTGTGTGTGTGTGCAGGTGGAAACCAGAGGGTGATTCTTTCCACTTTACTGAGACAAGGTCTTTCACAACTGCCAGCAAGTCCCTGGGATATGCCTGTCTCTGCTGCCCAGTACATGAGGTTAGAGGTATTGCTTCCACGCCTGGCTTCTTGTGTGGGTACTGGGGATCCAAACTCAGGTTCTCATGCTGGCACCTCATATACCTGAGCCACCTCCCCAGGCCTCAAAGGAGATTTTCTTATACTCTGTTGACTATAAAAACTTCTCGGGCTGGAGAGATGGCTCAGCGGTTAAGAGCACTGACTGCTCTTCCAGAGGTCCTGAGTTCAATTCCCAGCAACCACATCGTGGCTCACAGCCATCTGTAATGAGATCTGGTGCCCTCATCTGGCCAGCAAGCATACAGACAGACAGAACACTGTATACATAATAAATAAATAAATCTTAAAAAAACAAAATAAAACTTTTCCTAGCATCCTTTTATAATCCTAAGATATAGTAGGATTTCCTTAAAAGCAAACAAACAAACCCTTAAGAGCTGGAGAGATGCCTCAACAATTAATGAGTCTTTGCAGGGCTGGAGAGATGGCTCAGAGGTTAAGAGCACTGGTTGCTCTTCCAGAGGTCCTGAGTTCAGTTTCCAGCAACCACATGGTGGCTCATAACCATCTATAATGAGATCTGGTGCCCTCTTCTGGTGTATGTGTGCAGGAATGGAGGAAAAAGAGTCTTTTGTAGTTCTTGCAGAGGAACCAAGTTTAATTCATTTCCCAGAGGCTCACAATTACCTGTAACTCCAATTCCAAGGAATCGGACATCCCTAGCCTCCTCAGGCTCCTCAGGAACCTGCACTTATGTGTACATATCTACAGACAGAGAGACAGG